TCATTCACAGAGATTTCGGAACATCTGTGAAAAATTCACAGAATTTTTGACTCAGAGGACAAAAACAATGGTCAATTAGGGGAACTGTCTGTAATTTAACGAACTACGACCAAAACGCGACGATCACCGACCAAGAATGAATTCCACAAGCAGTGATGATGTCGGATCACAGATCCCCGTGCAGAAGGAGTGAGCAAGCCGGTCAGGCCCCGATTCCAGTTCAGATTCACACCAAAATGCGGAATATCCCTGCCTCCTCAAGACAGTGTGCTGCAAATTCACAGTGGATAAAATGAAAAGTTGCGAGGCGGAAGATGTACCGGAATACTCTTTTTCATCGATGAAATTCGCTTGCTCTAATAATTTTTGTTGGAAAGCTAAGAATGGAAAAGAGGAGAGTTAGTTTGTTTTCTCTCACACGTGTTTCGCAAATCGTACAGTTGGAACCGCAACTAAAACATGCTCCAGTACGTGTATAATAACTATAATACCACCAACAAATCACCGAGAGTACTGTACGGAAAAAGCTCTTGAGACAATCTGACAGCCAACCATCAATGATGTGCGTAACAGCTGACGATTGGTCGTTTCAAACTTCTGTTCTGCTCGTATGTACGTACACGGTACCTGGCTGGGAGGCTACAATAATATTAGTACAATCACTGACATTCAAAATTAGCGCTTGAACGGGTGGCTTGCAAATTGTGTAAATGAGATGTTTTATAAACTGCTCTAGCAACAAGTAGTGTCCCACATTCCTGTGCAATATTTATTTCTACTAGACATCCTAGACACCGCCATGGTCACTCGTTGTTGCATCTGCAAGATCGTTCACCTTCAGTTGAGGCTTCGAAAATAGCCTGGTTGTCCACAGCCCATTCACGGTACACATTGAAGGCAGCTAGTTGATCGCCAATTGCAGCACGAAGCGCCAATAGTGTGCTTTCGGTAGAGTCAGACTGTGAAGCGACTGCAATTCGTTTGTAGTCGAAGTCATCGAGTTCCAACTGATCATCTTGCTCCTGTAGGACACTGTCAATGACTGACCGCACACGCTTCTTGGATCGTATGCTCCCTTCTCTTGTCTGGTATTCCAAACCCCGTAGAGAAGAGGGCAGTTGTTTCTTGTTCTGCTCTGTTTTCTCCAAACGTCTTACCAGGCGTCGTCTGTCGGATTCCATTCGATATCGATCATCAGGTGTGTAAAAGCATTCCCTTAGCTCTGAATTCGAATAGTCTCTTCGTGATAGCACATACGTTACTGTTTTTATGTGGCGAGGAAAGTGGACCTTTCTTCTACTGCTCATGCCCAAGAGTTTTGATGATGCCAGTTGGTGAGGAATCTCTGGTGGTCTTGTGGGAGATTGTATCATTGTTGCAACTGCTGTCGACATCGTTTTCAGCACAAAAAATGGAGGAGAAATTATTGTTCGAAAATGTGACTGTGCAGTTTAAGTGTTGAGGATAGCCCGCACTGACGCCTTCAAATGCTTCTGCTCGATGTTTCTCGGAGAAAGCGGACTGACGTGAAACTGGTCGCGTGCAAGTTTTATCGGGTCGCGCTATGCTTTCTACTCAACGACCAGCCAGTCTCAGATTACCAATGCCACTACCCTAAGTATTGTGGTGTCACATCAAGGCCCAACATCTCAGCTGGATGCGGAGGGAAAGCGATAGCTCTATCATTCGGAGTATTTTGAATTAAAAAAGTTTCCGCCGGTATATCACCATAAAACAGCTGATGATTCATCATTCCTCCTTTCAAGCTTCTGGTCTACTCGTAGTACGATAGTTTGCGAGATGAAATGTTCAAATTTCCCTAAGTTCAAGGCCGGTCGTTGCACAAGCATTGACATATAAGATATTCCCGTTTCAATGGATGGCCTCCAAATGTTGTTTGATGTATATAAAAATAATATTATGCATTCACTCTACCGATAGCTAGCCACATCAGAGTGACAATCCGTTGGTTGGGTTGTTTCTACGCATTATAATTCAAAGCTGACTATGCGAACAGAATCGTAGATACCGCTGCTACCTCTCTTTGTCTACATCAGTGGTAGTATGGATAGGATATTCCCGTTTGTTTTATTTTAAAGGGTTCAGTGCTCGGATTCTCACCAGCACGTTTTCCGAAAGCGGAAACATTTTTAAGAATCGAGGTCTCTTCGACAATGAGCACCGTTGGAAACGCTCGTCGTCAAGTGGAGCTTTGAAAATGAGCACGTCATGAGCGGCAGCAATGACCAATGTATCTAGAATCAAGCAAAATTGCAATTTTGAAATCGACAAATCAAGAATCGAACAAGGAGGAGGAAAACAATAGATGTCACCCACAAATCCTAAAGCAAAGAAGTAGAGCCAACGAAAATCATGAGCATAAGAAGACGTATTTGAAACATCACCGATTGCCGTGCACGTACCTTTCCCATTCTTCCCGCCCAAGACCTGGACGGTACTTGTCTCGAAAGTCTTGCCAGTCGAGCCTATTCAGTTGCCACGCTCCATCAGGAGCCCGTTGCTCCAGACACCAGCCTGTTACGGCAAGCAATTCACCATTGGTCACACTGAATAACCGGCACTCGACCCAGGCTTCCTTTCCAGACTCGAAATCGGCTGGGAACTCCAGTAGGTAACCTTCTTCGTCATCATCATCTGCACCCACCAAAATACCGAATTGATTGTCTTTTTTACGAAATAGACCCTCCAGAAAAGCGGCAACTTCAGCATTTGTAGCAGTATCTATCGAAGCACCAATCGACCCAAAAAGAATCCTACGCCATTCGAATGTAGAAGATTCCAGCAAACACAGATATCCCGACTGTGAGTCATGAGGCTGGCGGAGCTCACGGAGCAATTCTTGGACAAAATCGACTGGACTCAAGAATGGATTGGGTGGTCTTCGCAGAATTTCCTTTGCCACTTTTCTCTGATAGGATTGCTTTCTTTGTTGGTAGGAGTCTAACGGTAGATCAACCTCAGCACTCGAGTTATTTGCATGACTATTGATCATCATCTGCTTATTGTCATCGTCACCATCATGGTCATCGCAAAAACCGTCATTCGTCATCTTGCTTAGACAGGGAAACTTGGAATTGCGCATAGGCACGAATGCTCTGCATTTTGGTGCCTTGAATAAGGTGGAAATGAAAAGTATGGCAAATGAGATGGGCACCATGGCCTATACACCGGTATTATTTTTATGGTATGGTCTCGTCATATACCGGTACCGGTAGTAATAATGCATGCGAAGATGAGGGGGAGCTGCGTGTATATTCCTTATTTCTGGCTGACGTCATACATTACCTTGCATTCTGCGTCACGTCACGAGCGTTACTTGTGTTTCGATCACTCTGACTACCATCCATGCATGTCATTCAGCTGGTGTGACATCCTTGGTGTGACATACATTTTTTAAAACTAACAGAAAATAAGAGAACGCGTGCGAGCGATTTAATAAACTCACATATTTTTATAGCAAGATGAAATTGCAACAGCCCTTCTCTACCTACCGGCATATCTTTTTCCGCCACCAGCACAGCAATAAAAAAGGAGTCTCACAATATAAAAAGTAACCGGGAGACATCTGTCAGTTGGGGATGCAAGTGTCAGGAAGCCACCGGGTTCGTTGAAGGTCTATACGATTCTTCCTCGGTGGCCGAAGATACAAATAAAGGAGGATAGAAACCAAGCAAGCATTGTTATAACAGACGTAAAATATGAGTGATGTACTAGACCCAGCTCTTGGTGACGTTTCATCCAACATGTTGTATCAAAGTTTGAAAGATCATTTGTTTCGTGTCAATGCAAAACGGCAAATGGCAATCCCACACGCAAATAATAATAGCAATGAGACTGACAAGAAGGCGAATGATGCAACGACGAAAAGACTGACAGTGAGACGGACCAATGATACGTCGATGTTATTGTTCGAGAGTCTCAAAAATCACAGTGCACTCATTGCCGAGATATTGTCGTACATCGTTGAGGATACCAAAGGATTGGCAGACCTACGAAAGGTTTCCAAACGATGGAATACCGATGTGCGTCCCCACGTCTGGAGGAGTGGTCCAGGATTTCGAAAGATTTGTGCTCCTACTGCTTCCAATGATAAGTTATTGTACAATAGCTGTTATTGTGAAGACCTGGTGAAATATGGAGCATGCAGCTATGCGGGACAACTCTATAACATTCCTACCGATGACAATTTTGCATTCTTTGTCAAGCCTGATACTAATGCCGTTATTGGACGAGAAGCTCCTGCTGAGGATGAACATGATAGTTCTGGCCAACCACAACCATGGGCATCCACCATTAGCATGCTATTTTGTTGCGATGAAGAATACATTGATGAACCCAGAAAGCGGGTCAAGATTAATCTTCCTGAAACCGGTGATGAATCATCATCATCATCATCATCATCACCTGAGTACTTGGAACGAGAAACTGCCGAGCGGTTTGCCAGTCACTGCAAACGAATAGCCGAAACAAACTCTTGGGATGAATTCCAGCGGCTTGTCGATGATGCCTTTACAGAGGGACTCTTTCTGTGTGTGGAAGATAGGCAACAATTAAAGAAAAGCGGAGATGGTATGCAGCTTGGAGAGTGCGGATATGGTTTCTTTGTGCCGGTAATCTTGACAGTTGTCATCCCGCAAGGGAAAATGGTGGAGGCGGCACATTTCGGATCGACCATGATTGTATACTTGAACGCAAAGATTCAGAAGCATCATCGAAGCGGTTACTCGATGGATAATGCAATTCCGTTTGTCTGCAGCTGGAACAACTCTGCCATGATGAAAGAAGGGGATGGCGAGTTCCTATATCCAACATTTGTAGGTTACAATGCGGTGTTGAGAGATGATGGAAGTATTTCGTGTCGTGTTCCATTAGTTATATTGGTGAATGATAATGCATTGTCAGAAGCCATTTGGGACTGGGGCATTGCCGATTCAAACCTTCCGTTGGATGATCTTTGGAGAAAAAGCCAAGAACAGCATGTCCGAGAAGGAGTTGCCATTGCTGATGACTTTGTACCCAAAGAATTGCATAACAATCTTATGAATCAGATTGATTTGCTGTTGGAAAGGCAAGTTGTGGACTATCACCCTCATTCCAACGATACAGTCCGTGACATTGTGCACCCAGCTTTATACTCCTATGTCAAGGGTGTATCGCCATTGCTCGAATCTGAACAGAAATTCAAGGTAGCGACGGATGTGCTAGAATCTTTTGCGCTTGAGGATAATCCGAAAGTCACAGAAGAGGATCCTAACGACCAGGAACCAAAGGACTATTGGGGAAGAAAATATGAAACCAGTGCCAAGTACCAATGGTTGCCAACCTACTTTGACATCGGTCTCGATGGAAGCTGTACGATATGCGACTACATCAATAATTTGGTGCCTCGACAGCAACACGAGGAGCTCTATGAACTACTGGGGCATTTGTTCTCCCAGGCGTTGCCACTGATCGAGTCTGTCTACGGATACTGCCGTGTCGTCAAGGAGAAACATATTCGAATGGAAAGCCATGAGCGGGTTGACTATAGCTACACCAGTGTCGTCAAACCTATCGAGGAGCAACCTATATCCTTGCGAGGGAAACAACTGCAAGTTGTGACGAAGATTGTTGACTATGAACTTGGGCCAGGTGAAACCTACGAAGGCGTGTGGCATGTCGAGGGAATGTCTCATGAAGAAATTGTGGCAACGGCAATTTACTTCATTGATCGAGACGAGGAAATTGAAGGAGGAGAACTTTTATTTAAACGTGCATTCCACAAACAAGAGGCATCCTATATTTTCTCGCATGTGGATCAGGTGCGTCCGAGGGATGTGGAATTCATCATTGATGAAGGACTGCAGCCACTTGGTCAAGTGAAGACGGTACGAGGACGACTCTTGGTCTTTCCGAATAGCCATGTCCACAAGGTAACGGAACTCAAGAACGCATCGATCGTCACCGATGGAGGGAAGAAGAAACGGCGAATCATTGTATTCTTCATCATCAATCCTGAAAGGCGCATCGTTTCGACCAGGGAAGTACCAGTCCAGCAAGAGTATGCAGGCGGGATGATGACTCATACTGAAGCGTTACAGCACCGCTTGGCGCTGATGAAAGAGCGAAAGTACACGAAGCAGGACTGGAACGTCCGAGGTATCGAACTTTGCGAGCATTAGTCTAGTAGTTGTTGGTTTTGCAAGGAAAACGGGGGGTGGGATGTTATAGTCTCCTTAGAACTTTACTGCGGGTGGGCACCTGCCAATAGGAAAAGGACAAACTGTATATTTGGGTATAATTTAGATTGTATTATAGTTATTCGAAATTTAGAACTAGACAGATCACCGACGAAGTCATCATCAGCAGAGCATCATCGTTTCTCCCTACTCGGGGAGCTGCGGAGTGTATCTTTGTAAAATATCTTACAAAACATAAGGGCGGGGCACGCGTTTTAGGGTTTTCAGCGAAAATCGATCTACCGGTATTTATCCGCCAGCATCAATGCGATGTGCGTGAAGACAAAAATTAGATGAGAAAACAAAACGATCGTGTCATCCTCTTGCATTGTATCAGGAGCCTTGTTCCTAAATATCTTATCAACCGGATGGATGTCGAAAGAGCCAACCTTCTTCGTCGAATAAAGGAAAATGAGATTCAAGAACTAGTGGTGACAAAGATCGTCGCACGTCTCATTTGCAACTCTCCTCAAGATTTGGTGTCAGCTCTTCAACAGAACACCAGCATTGAAAACTGCAGTGTCATTCTTAGAGTTTTGAACCCTGAGCAAATTCAATGGGAGCAACAAGTGGAGTTCCTGCAAGCCATTGCGTCACTAGCATCACTAAAGGAATTCAGGTTCGCGACAACCTCAAGTGGCTTCACCGATTCGGCGCTTCGATTATTGACAGTGGTTCTGAATGGGTGTTCTAGGTTGGAGAAATTGACATTGCAGACAATTCAACCGAACCATGATGGACTGACATCAGAAGTATTCACCAATGGAGCAGGACTGTTGTCTGAATTCCGTGGCACCCTCTCCAAGCAAGCTAGTCTTGAAACTCTGTCGTTGGATGGAATAGACGAACGATTCGACCTTGGTGGAGTCATGGAAGTTCTCCAGTCGTTGCCGTCTATCAGGCACGTGTATCTCAAAGCGCAAGCAGTGACCAATCGATACGATAGAGACACTATGAAATGTTTTCTCCAATCTCGAGCTGCTGGTGCAAGTACATTGTCCCTCAAGCGATTCCTAATGCCAGACATTTTGAGCCCCTACTTTTCACTTTTGGCAACCAACAGCACTCTTTTGGACTTGTGCCTAGAGCAAGTGGGAGTTAATGGAGAAGGTTGTGGTACTTTGGCGCAGTCGCTGTCGCAAAATTCAACGCTGGAGAGGTTGAGCTTGGCTTACAACGGATTGTCTGATGTAGCTGGATGTATCCTGTTTTCATCATTGAAGAGTAACGCTGGATTGACTGATCTCAATATTGCTGGCAATTTCCTTTCGACAGATTCATGTCAAGCGCTAGCGGACTTGCTAGGAGACCCTTCTTCGCTCTCAGTGTTGGCCAACTTGAACCTTGCTCAGAACATTCTAATTCGGGATGACGGCGCTTGCATCATAGCTTCAGCACTTGCGAGTGACAAAAGGATCAGACACTTGAACCTTTCTGAGATGAGACTAAGCAAAATCACGTCTGCCATTTTGGAAACTAACCTTGCTTCGAATCATACATTACAGCGACTGAACTTTTCAAAGAACTCACTAGGGGAATCCGGCGCTGCTCATATGGCGAACCTTTTGCGAGACAACAGGACGCTCCTTCATCTAAATCTAAGTGATACCAAGATTGGTCCCAAAGGATCAGAAGCACTAGCGAAAACTCTTACCGAAGACAATGACACTCTGATCTCCTTAAATTTGGGAGGGAACAGTATGATACTCTATCCAAGGTACCTCGAAGCTATGATTCTATCCAACTGCACCCTTCAGCACTTGTGGTTGGCTTCCCATCTATTGGAAAATGACAGTCCTATACCAGCCTTTCTAAAATTGAATAAGTTTGGAAGAAGTCGAATGCTACAAGAAAGGAACAATTCATTGCTCTGGAAATCAGCTCTAGTCGAATTTGCATCGGATTTAGGTGTATCTTACTACCTCCTTCGAATGAATCCGGCTATAATCTCTTGGATATAGATTCGTCAGCTTCAGCGATACAGTGATCGATGGATTGTGATTAGCTGGCTGAGCTCTCCTGGATATGCACATAGCATCTTGCAAGTTGTGGATGGTGGTCATTCAAAACTCTGGCATCATCAGCTTGATTGGTTACAACTCCTTGGTGCTTCAGGATTATGCGATACCAAGAATTGTCCGGTTGAACAGCTCTTTTCGTTTCTCCGACACCATAGCTTCTGCATCGGCACACGACATAGTTAGTTCACTCCCGCAGAGGAGAATAGCTCAAATGACGTCCAGCACGGAGTCAAGCATTCCATCTTTGGCACTTCGTGTTGACTGATAGAGATCTCGACCGATTGCTCAAACTACTGTTTGGTTTGGCATAGCGTTGGATCCTAATAGACCTTAGTTCCGTTTTGGTGTACCAGTATGCTTCACGCTCTTGATCAGAATAGTCATCAAGGCTCAAAACGTCAACCTTGTCAGATTGCGCCACAAAGCTGACGGCACGTGCTACTGGTTTGGATGGCTTGATCTGCGTAATCTCGTTCTTCGCGTTGGCTTTACCTCGTCCCTGCTTGTTAGCGGTGGAACCCACGGATGAAAAAGTATCACGAATCTTGCCTTGGTCTGAGCCCGGAAATGCACACACAAATGATGGCGAGACCTTGAAATCCCTTGTCTTGGATGGTTGCCGAATGGGCTTCACAGCAGCCTTGTCTTGTGCCCTGCCTCTTGTCATCTCCCGATTCATCTTGCACGTTATGCAAATGTTTGCTGTTTTGTGAATGTATCGAGTTTCAAAGGTGCGAAGGAAAAGAAAAAGGATCATGCAAGTGGGTATTATTGGGTTTCGCAATTTGTTCACACAGGATTGTATTTAAGCTGCAGCGTTTACGTTCACAGTTTGGGACCGAAGAACTTCAGCTCTAATCGAACTTCGAGAAATCATTTAGGGTGCCAGTACCACTTTTGAAAAATGGGAATTTGACATGCAAAACAAATATTGAACAATCCCGTATGCGTCACCATTGTGGTACTCACATTGATGATCATTTGACCAAAAACGGGTTAGAACTCAAGTTGGAGGAGCTTCCTTGATCGACGACTATGCAAGCGAAGTTACTTTTCGAGCGAAAACAGAGAGGCTATTGCACTAAATGCTTTGAACGACAATAATAATACTTCTCACAAAATAACTAAACTGTACAGTATTCGGTATCCAGGTGCACGCACGGTTCCGAGCAATCGCTCGCAGAACCGAGGAGCTTCCGACCAAACGCTCGAGTTTTAACGAATAGTGCCAGGTATGACGAAGAACTAACGAATTCGCTCGAAACAAAGAGGCTGTTTGTGCTAAATGCGTTGAGCGACAATATACTTCTCACAAAACCTAAAAGTATCTGGTAAAATATAGTCCTAGGGAAAGTGCCGGCATTTATTTAGTTCCGAGAGACAGCTGAATTGTGTATCGTTGCTACTCCATGCAGCGTTTCTCGTCGTGGTCCGCCGTGTCAAATCCCCCTACCGTATAGCATGAAAAAGTGAATGGGATACAAGTACAAACCCAAATCTGCGGGCAATACTATCTTGCGGTCAACTGTAGTTTGAGACCACTCTTTGGCTTATTGAACGGAAGTGTTGGTTTGGTGTTCTGGTCTGGAATCAGTGAGAAGTCAAAGTTGCACAAAAAGGCCTTCATGACCAAGAGCAATTCAATATGTGCCAAGAATTGACCGGGACACTTATGCTTGCCGTACCCAAAGATAAATGGTGGTGGTTCATTGGTGGAAAGAAACCTCAATGGACATGCTCGGTCTCTCGTTTCAAAGAAGGTTGGGCTATTACTGCCATGCAAATGTGACCACTGAATCGTCGTGTTTGCAGGGAGTGCCACCTTTCCCAATTGAATTGGCCCCGTCGTTTTTCGAAAGGTACTTCCAACCACCGGTCGAAACCGAAAGCTTTCGTAGACGGCACTTTTGAGGCTGGGAACACATTCCAACATTCCCCCGACCGGGGCACTGCTGGCAGAGATCGATTGAAAGTCAAAGCCATTTAGTTCCGATCGAATCTGCTCCAGCTCTTCTGTGGTAGCGTAATCGTGCAAAAGTAAAATTAAGTTCGTGGACATACTGGCCGTCGTATCATATCCGGCGAAAATAGAGAGAATGACATTGTCCACACAAAAGTCCAACAGCTCGTCACCTTCGAGACCCCCTTCTAGTAAGAATGCATCCAGCAGACCAACCGACTCATGATCCGCGCCGTTTTTAGCAATCACTGCCTCGCGGTCAGCAATCTTGTTAATGATAAGTTCTCTCATTTCTCTCCGCGCTTTCATGGCTCTTGGATACCGTCGGAAGAAGGGAATGTTGCGGATAATTGGTTTGTCAATGGGAAATGAAAACATTCCCTTGGCTATGGTATCGGTCCACTCTCTGAGTTGTTTCATGTCACCATCCGTCAAGCTGCCCGGTCCAAATACGGCCACCGCAATGACTTTGTAGGTGATCGCACTGACATCGTCAGCAAAAGTGGTGGTTTCACCAGTCTCGGCACATCTTTGCCAATGTCTTTTCATGGCGTCGACAGTCTCCTCAACCCCAGATAAGGATTGACCTAAGATGCTTCTTGTCGACATGGCTTCCAAGAAAACTTTGCGACCTTTGTCACTGGCTGCGTTGCCGGCAACCAAGGACGAGTGTCCCAGTGTATTCAAGACAGATTCGGGCCAATCGGAAATCAACAATCCTTGGGACTCAGCTTTGGTAAGGTTCTTGGTAATTTCTGGGATATACGCGGATACACCGTACGCTGGTTTACCCAAGAACTTTGTTTTCCAGACTCCTCCCGTTGCTTTCAGACTTTTCTCATGGAGATTGGTTTTTTCATCGTTGGCGTTGAGATTCGTAATCAGGTGTTTGATGCGTTTGATGGGATTATTGGAATAAGAGTTATCCGCAATAGGTTCGACCAGAGAAGGGGCCGATGGTGTCTCCATCTCAGCGGGTGCTGTTGCGTATAACTGAAACGGGGGAAAACTCCTGGCATCATGGATTTGGAGGGTTCGAGTGACAGTCATTCGTGGTGAATCGTTGAAGGAAAAGCATTCTGTTTGGCTCGACAAAAACAGAGAAATGGCCGGAAGCAAGAGTTTTTTGACACACCCCATGATCAGGTGCTATTTTGCTGCTGAAAGTCCAATAGAATCTTTACAGACTCAATCGCTGACTGAGGTATATGAGTGATGTGAGAATATAGAAACCGGGTACGCAGGTTGTTGTACAACACGCACATGCGACTCCTTGTTCACAGAATACCTATATCTGAACTGCAGGCTGGAGGTACTGTAGTCGCGTTGGTCAAAACGACACACTCGACTTCTATGCTGGACTGCAGTATCATGGATCTAAATTTTTTGAATAATGCTTGAGCAAACCTGCAGGTTTTCAGTACAACTTCTACGGCGGAGGATCTCGCGAATTCGTGTTTGTTCCAATCTCAATCGTCCTTTTCCCAAGTGAAACCCGCAGACTTTGGCTCACAAATCCAACAACCGAAAACCACAACACCCAAATCAGAACCAAATCAACACAATATGTTGTTCACCATCAATAGAAGTAATGACTGTCCTTTCAAGAGGTCCTTCAACAAGCTCATGAATAAATACAAGCTTATTGATCAACGACAAGTCAAGAGATTATCCAATGGCACCGATGATTACAGTGTCGCAACAGAAGAATCTTCTTCCACAGGAGACTTTACTACAGGATCCTCACAGCTCCTAAACGTGTGCGAAGAGGACTGCATGGTAGGACTTCGACAATATGTTGCCAAAGAGGGAATTCAAATGTCAGAACAACGTCTCTTCCGCTTTGCCAACTTTCACAATTTTGACCTTGAAAAGGCCAAGGATGCTGTGGATGAGAATAGAGACAATGCCTTTTTGGATCTCGAGATGCATGGTGAACTGAGAGGACAATTCATCAACAAGATGCTCTTTCCTCTGACTGGCCTACGAACCAAGAAGCACAACTCACAAGTCATTTACGCTCAGCCAAGCCAAAACAATCCCGAAGATGATAATATGACCACAGTCCTACAAAGCTTGTGCTATGTTATGAATGACTTTAGCCAAACGGAACAGCAATGCCGGGATGGTGTTGCTATTGTCGCAAACCTACAAGGTTTCACGCATGAGCACTTTGATGAATTGGAGTGGCGCCAATTCATGCTGGCCCTTCAGGGCACTTTGGTTCCCACCAAGGTTACCAGCATCTTGATGGTGAATCCACCAAGTTGGTTCAAGCAGGATATCTGGAAGAAGATGCGAAGCTCCATGCCCTTTCAGATGCGAAGAAATGTCCACATTATCTACTCCACTGATAAACTGGGCGATTATCTAATGGAAGATTACCGAGCCTACCTTCCACACGAAGTCGCTCATGGTTACCGCAGTGGCTCGGAAATTATTGAGGATTACATCGATCTGAAATCGTATGAAGATGGCCAAAAGAGAGCTGCAGCAACATTGATGGTATGACCGTGTTTACCACATCACCCTCCTACTATCGCTACCACCACCACTTTCAAATGGCACTGCGTTCAGCCACAAGGGACGAGAATGCAGTGACATACTACTTTTTCTTGTTTAAAAGAATCTATAATCATCATTACAGTTTCAAAATAAATTATCTTGAGCCATGTTCTTGTTCCACGATTAGAAACACACTCGAATGCAACTCGCCCTCCCTCCCTCAAAACTGTACAAAATGTTGAGATGCAAGCTACTACGTACATATACAGTACAATATTGAATCCCCGTGGCAAGATGGGCCTCCGCTAAATACCGGTACATGAATCTATCTTAGGGGTTGGAAGTTTACATACATTCTTACACAATATTGACTCTCCCCGTGGCAAGAAGATCGGCCTCCTGTAAATACATGAATGTATCTTTGGGGTTGGAAGTTTACATCTCACTACTTCCCCCATTATTTTGTCGTAGGTACTGAAAACAGCTTGAGCAGACCAGCGCAGTATTAGTACAAGTTCTACGGCCGAGGATCTTTCGAATTCGTGTTTGTTCCAAAAAATCTCAATCACAATATGTCCTTTTTTTTCGTAATTCAATAATAGCCACGAAAAAGCTCACAGATCCAACATCTCGCAGCCCGCACAATCAACCACAACAGCCAAATCAAATTCAAAACAAATCGCCACATCATGTTGTTCACCATCAATAGAAGTAATGACTGTCCTTTCAAGAGGTCCTTCAACAAGCTCATGAATAAATACAAGGTTGTTGATCACCAACAAGTCAAGAGATTATCCAATGGCACCGATGATGATTACAGTGTCGCCACAGAAGACTTTTCTTCTACCGGAGACTTTACTGCAGGATCCTCACAGCTCCTAAACGTGTGTGAAGAGGACTGCATGGTAGGACTTCGACAATATGTTGCTCAAATAGAGGGAATTCAAATGTCAGAACAACGTCTCTTCCGCTTTGCCAACTTTCACAATTTTGACCTTGAAAAGGCCAAGGATGCTGTGGACGAGAATAGAGACAATGCCTTTTTGGATCTCGAGATGCATGGAGAACTCAAAGGCCAGTTCGTTAACAAGATGCTATTTCCTCTGACTGGTCTACGAACCAAGAAGAACAACTCACAAGTCATTTACGGCCGGCCCAGCAGGGGCAACCCTGAAGATGACAACATGACCAAGGTTCTCGAAAGTTTGTGCTATGTCATGAATGACTTTAGCCAAACGGAACAGCAATGCAGAGATGGCGTTGCCATTGTCTCAAACTTGGAAGGTTTCACGCATGAGCACTTTGATGAATTGGAGTGGCGCCAATTCATGCTGGCCCTTCAGGGCACTTTGGTTCCCACCAAGGTTACCAGCATTTTGATGGTGAATCCACCAAGTTGGTTCAAGCAGGATATCTGGAAGAAGATGCGAAGCTCCTTGCCGTTTCATCTGAGAAGAAACGTTCACATTATCTCATCCAACGACAAACTGGGCGACTATCTGATGGAAGACTACCAAGCCTACCTTCCGCACGAAGTCGCTCAAGGTTATCGCAGCGTTTCGGAAATTATTGAGGATTACATTGACTTGAAGTCTTATGAAGACAGACAAAAGAGAGCTGAAATCTCATGAAGATAGACCAGCCGCGGCAACATTGATGATGTGACCGTTTTTTGTCACACCACCTACGCCATCCTGCAACAATTACCAGCCAGCCACCACCAGCACTTTTTCAGGCTTAACTTTGTCCACAGGGCGGGGACGAGGACACAGTAACATAAGAATTTTTCTATAATAATATCACTGAATCACCATCATAGCGACTCTAATCCTTGAACTCAAGATAGCATACATCTGTAGCATAGTACATTGCCTACCAGGGTAGTAGCCTATTGCTACTTCTTCTTGATGCTACTAGCACCACCACGACGACACTAGCTAACATTCATGTTCAGTCGTGCAACCTATATTCTTGATGCAACCGGCACTTCCTGATGGACTGCCAGAGGGTCAGTTCAATTTATTACAGTTGCTGCTTCAAATGTCTGGCTCTTTGCAAAGACCACCACAACAGCAATATTGTTTTTTACCATGGCATCAAGTTTCACTATTGATTGATTCATTCATTCATTCATTGATTCATTCGTGTGGAATTTGACAACTTCGACTGTTGAACCCAAGTGAGTTCGAACGACTTCGTGGGAAACATGCCGATTCTTGGAATTTGGCATCATAAAAAATGCTATTGTGCCACGATTGGGCTCAATGAGAGAAAAAGTATTGCTTCAAAATTCATCATCGAGGTTCTTTCATGGCATGAGGTCATTGAAAAGAACACAGAATATGTCTGAAAGACTATTCGACACTTCGTGTCAAAGACGAACTTTAAGTCTTTTGTTAAATGGTGGCGAATTCGGGGGTTTCCTACCAGTTGATTGGAATCGACACGACCACAAATGTGTTAAATACTTTAAATCCACGTTTCGAAATTAGACTCACTCTTGCGGGCTTAAAATCCTTTCGGCTTGAGAACATTTTCGACTTCGGAGAATATCTACCCTTCACTTTTGGCCTATCTCATCATCCATCATAAAATCGATCTGACACGACCCTAAGCCCACAGACGAACCCTCAACTCTCATTTCAAACCTGCAAACCACCACAACCATGCTCTTCACCGTCAACAGAGACCACGATTGCCCGCTCACGAAGTCTTTCAACAAGCTGATGAAAAAGTACCGTCTTTCAGATGTACCAAAACGACTCTCAGGTTCTGATGATTTCAGTTCCTCCACTGATGACTCATCATCTATGGAAAACTACCAAGACGGCTCCTCAGAGCTCCTGAATCCCTGTGAAAACAGTTGCTTGGATGAGCTCCGATCATACTGTGCTAAGGATGGAATTGAAATGTCAGAACATCGCCTTTTCCGCTTTGCCTGCTTTCACAATTTTGACGTAGAAAAGGCGAAAGATGCATTGGATGAAAACCGAGAGAATGCCTTTATGGACCTGGAAATGCGCTCCGATATGAAAGGCCAATTCGTCACCAAGCTCCTCTTTCCCCTTCCTGGACTAACCACCAAGAAACACCAGTCCCAAGTCATCTACAGCAACCCCAGCAGATGCAACAAGGATGATGATATGACCAAGGTTCTCGAGAGTTTGTGCTATATCATGAATGACTTTAGCCAAACGGAACAACAATGCCGAGATGGTATTGCTCTTGTCACAAACCTGGAAGGATTCAAGAAGGAAAACTTTGATCAAAACGAGTGGCATCAATTTCTCTTGGCTCTTCAGGGCACTTTGGTCCCCACCAAGGTTACCAAAGTATTGCTGGTAAACGCACCAAGTTGGTTCAAACAGGATGTTTGGAAGAAGATGCGATCTTCCATGCCCTCTCAATTCCGACGAAATGTCCACATTATCAGCTCGGACGAACTTGGTGATCACCTCATGGAAGACTACCAAGCCTATCTACCCACTGAAATCGCCCACGGCTACCGAATAGCCGATGAAATCATCGAGGACTATGTGGACCTCAAGTCCTTTCAAGATGCCCAAAAGCGAAAAGAACTTATCGTATGATCATAAGAAGAAGTTTTTGTGTCGGCGTGGGTGTGCTGGCATGGGATGGGATGGGTTATATCTATACTCGTATATGTCATTTCTGTTTGTCTCCTTGATGTTTCGTTACAACCAAGTCTGGTATTTTTTAATATTGTCAATATTAATACATCTTATATATATAATACATACCAATATCACTACTAGCAAAGATACCTACAATCCATAATATGGTATATACCTACCTAAATGCACCAAGTAGGATTTCATTTTTCAGTACACATATATATTACTAGTCTCACTCTTTTAACTATTATCTATTTAGATGTAGATAATCTCTTCCCTTTCTCCTTTTAATTTGTTCCCGCAAGTGGATAGCACTGACTGCAACAGTCGCAAGTCACTTTGTCGGAATCAGTACAGTCCGCAGATAGCTCTTTCATTTCCGCTCGTCGAATCTTGTCACAGAGCTCAATGGGCATGGTAATGCCAGCAAATTGGTTTTCGTGAATCGACAGCTTGGTGAGTGCCGTCAAGGACGCCAGTTGGGTTGGAATGTCCCCATTCAGTCTGTTCCCTTCCAGTTCCAAATGAGCCAATCGAAAGAGATCGCCCATTTCGGTAGGGATGCTTCCGGTCAACTTGTTGTTTTTCAACGAAATGTAGGTGAAATCATGGGGAAAGCCAATGTAGGTGGGAATTTCGCCAGTCAATAGGTTGTCGTGCAAGTCGAAATATTGGACATCGGCCAAGAGGGCAACCGTTTCGGGGATCTTGCCGGTTAGAACATTGTGGTCCAAACGAAGGGATTCTGTAGCAATGAGATGCGATGGAAAGACAAAACGTTAGTGAGATTGTTATTGCAATGCATAGTAAGTACCACATCCCAGTTGTCCAAAGTACGTAGTATTACTTACTCAATCCACTCAAGTGCATGAGAGAATCCGGAATATGCGCTCGGAATCGGTTGTTGTTCAAGTGCACCGTGGTCAAACGACGGATGGATTGAAAAATATCGGGAATGGATCCGGTCAAATCGTTTTGAGACAAGTCAATGTACTCGATTCGAGTCAATCGTTCAATGGACTGCTTGGGGAAGGGCCCGGAAAAGGTATTGTTGTCCAACCGCAAGATTTCCAATCGTTCGTAGTCTCGGAGCTTTCCACTGGGAATGGTTCCATGGAATATATTGTTTTGCAAATGGAGCTTGGTAATCTTTGTGAGATGATGGATCTCCGGGAAGGATCCACCAAAGTGGTTGTTGGACATGTCCAAGGTACGAAGATTGGTCAATTCATTGATTCTTTCCGTCACGTATCCATGCATGGCGTTGTAGGACAAATCGAGTCCATGCAGGTTGGCCAACCCCTTGAAATGCTCTGGGAAGGATCCTACAAACTCATTGTTGGGGACCAAGAGATACTTGAGATTCTCGTGCATCTCCGGAATTTCTCCCGAGAGAATGTTGTTTCCGAAGTCCAAGCTCAAAGTATTGGACAACTTTCCAAACTCTGGTGGAAGGGTACCTTTCAAGTTATTATTAGTAAGAGTAATACCAGTGATGGCATCATTGTCATCGTAGGTCCGACTAATGCCGGATTCTTGAGTGGCATCGTCCCGTGGGACACACTCGACTCCGTACCAAGCGCAGTATCCCGTAGCCGTCATCCATCCATCGTTGTTGGTCCATTCGTCGGGATTGGAGGCATAATAAAAGACGGCCAAAATGTATCTCTCCATGAGAGCGGAATCGTAGGTCTTGAGCTTGGCAGGATCCTTGTTGGCCACCCACTGGAGCGCCGCGTATTGGATGCTAGTCTTGTCCCCCAAGACTTCCATGGGTGTGACACCAGCCTCGGCAATGAGTCTTTGGACTTCTCCCGCCCGTCCCGACAAGGTAATGGGCAAGGCCGATCCACCATCTGACGACGAACCGGCTTTGGAAAAGTGAACCACTACCCCAATGGCAGCGGCCACGGCAATGATAATCATGACAATGTTGGCCGTCATCTTGTTGCCAGCGCCACCTCGGGCGCAATTCAAATAGAGACGATCGGCATGATAGGCCATGGATGTGTAACAGTCGACACAGAATCCGACAATCTGCGCCATGACAGGGCTGAGACGATTGCGGGACTTGTCAGACTCGAGGTATTCTTCGGATTCGGCGTTGGGAGCCGCATCGTTGTACTCGTCCGCAAAGGGAGGTTGGCCAATGTTGCGACTGCTCGAATCTCTGCTGAACATGGACATGCTGCCTGCTCTGCCAGAATCGGTGGGGGAGAATGTTTCCGGGTTTCCTCTTAAATTAATACTCTGATCTTGCGCCACAATACGTCTGGACGAAGCGGCCTTGCCAAAGGTCTTGCGGATGCCAGCGAGAGGAGAAGTCATTTTCTTCTTGCTCCGTCCACCGGGACTGGTAATGCTGATGCTTTCCCAGGTACCAGGAGCGGCAGAAGATGCTCCTGAAGTTGTGGACGCTCCTCCACTGACCGTACTGCCAGCAGAGGGACGAATGCGAGAAGTGACGGAAGAGTCAGCAGCTGCTGAAGGTATGGAGGAAGCCTGATCTGTTCGGTTGCTTTTAGCTCGGTTCAGACGATCTTGGATCCGCTCCAACTCATCGTTTTGCTGTCCGCTGGACATGATATGTTATGCTTTCAAGAAGGTGATCTTAATAGAGGATTGTGCTTCTGAAAGTCCTGAAATATTTGATTAAAACAAGTCTTTGGCAACGTGACTCTTGGAAGGCTGAGATTGACAAGTCACCAATGTGCGTATTGCAATAGAATATATGGATGTATGGATGTATGTATGTATTGCGTTCCTGACAAAGAGTTCGCAATAACACTAAAGGATCTGTGGGGTGCCTCCTAAAACCGATAGGAACGGTTTCTTGCCTCATGGGTCATAATAGGAAAGCCGGGTTACTTTTACAATTCTGACCGCGGACCGTGCCCCTATAGGTCAGTCGGATGGTTCGAAACAGGCAGAGAACCCATCGATTCATCTTTTGGTATATAAACAAAAACATTTTCGTCAAGTACCAGGCATCTGCGTAGAATCCCAGGGGGGCCCCTCCGTGTAATTTTCACCGAGCCCTCGTGAAATTTCACAGAAAAAAGATCACCCCCATCCCTTTTTCCCGTCACTGTTTTGCTTTCCCCTCGAGAAACATCGTCATTGTTTTTTTCTTCCCTCCAGAAATATAGGATACCACTCACACGAAGGTCCACAAGCACTTGGGACAAACATCACACGTGAGAGATGGCACCAAAGAAACCAAGGGCACCAAAAGGACTAGGTTCTATTCTAACAAGGAAGAAGTCCAAATCCCGAAGCTCAACTACAAAACGAGCCAAAATTATCAGTGAAGAAGAACGCATTGCGGGCCTTGCCCAAATTGCCTCTCGGCTAGAAGCTTTTTGCAAGGAACGCCACACCTCACCTGACCCTCTTCCCATTTTAGGAGGTAGAGACTCGGGTCAGGGGTCTGTTAAATGTGGTGACACAACACTTGACCGCTACAGGTCAGTCTGGAAAGGAATGCTTGATTTTTGCATTCTTATTGGCGACTACACGTCTGGAATCATTCTCCGCCAGTCACATTGCCCTGCAAAACCTCCACCAGTGTCGCTCAAAACTTGCATCCTCTACATGAGATACCGTGTACTGCCTCCAGGTACAAGTGTTATCAATCCAGATTCAACAACTGCTTTTGTGTATGGCCCCAACAAGACAGAGCTCAAAGCTGTTGGCACCTGGACTGCAGAATCCACCGTTGGCAACTTGAACAGTGCGCTCTGGACACTTCACAGGTGTTATGAGACAACCCGCGACAAGTATCAGGAACAATGCAAACAATGCCGTGAAATAGATGTAGAAGATTCAAAAAAAGGCCATGGCTGCAGTGATCATGGAGGTAATCCTCACTATTGGAGGCGGGGCAATCCTTCCGAAAGTGTTCTTTTTAAGAATGCCCTTAACGTGTTACGGGAGTACTGCGAGAACAACTACAAACATCGGCAAACTGTGGCCTTCCTTCCATTCCAACTCAGGAATATCAGGACTTCCCTCCTCTCGTCTGGGTCTCTTGAGCAGCTTATGCTTTGGTCTGCAATGATCCTTGCATCCAAACTCTTCCTGCGCATTGACGAAGTGCTTTCACTCCATGTGGATTCTTTTGTTGTCAAGCACTTTCTCATCAAAAAGAAGAAAGTTGTGGCCCTCATGCTCAAGATCAAAGGCAAAACCGACCCTCGTTATAACCACTTCCTACTGTGGGACGATGATGAGTACCCGGAATTGTCTCCAGTCCGGCCACTGCTGCTATACCTTGCCATCTCTGGCAGGAAGAGTGGATATCTCTTCCCAAAACTTGAACAGATCAACTGGGAAGATGCAACTGAACCCTATAGCTACTATCATTTCCTCAGCGACATGGAGATCCTATTTACAGACGTCCTTCAGCTCGACTTACTGCAAGAGGATGGAACAGAAATGTGTGCAGGCACCCATGCATTGAGGAAGACAGCATATCTACTTGCATGGTGGGCAATACATACACACCCCACATCCTTCCAAAGCCACTTTGAAGCAGCCGATATTCTCCCAGTTGAGCAATTAGCATCCCTGAGTAACGACGCAAGACACAAAAGTTCCCAATCTTCCTCAACGTACCTCCAGGACTCCCCAGCGTTGTTCCATGTCAATGAAAGAATGTATAATTGTCCGACAAACAAGGTTGGCACTTACCTTCCTTCCCGCATCAATTTTCCAGATTCCGTTAAGGCTGCGGCAGACCCTAGTGGCACATCTCGAAGACACAACCACAAGACCCTGCGTCAAGTTTCCACTTTCTTTGTTTATGAAAGTATGAATGTGCCTGACAACTGTGATCTGGAACGTCACCTTGTGTCTCTTTGCAAACAACTATTGACCGTCTACCACCCAGCAGACCACGATGACGATGTTGACAGTGGAGCCATGATTTCAAAGTTGGAAAAGCTTCTGCCTACAGATGTCTTTCCAGGTGTGAAGGGATGGATCGAGAACCTTCTTCTTCTTTCTGCCAACCGCCTAACATCGCCGTCTGGTACCAACCCAGGGCCTAAAGATGCTCACCAAACACCACTGAATCAAGAAGACACCAACAATTCTGACCACTGGCGGATGTCCCAAGATTTTGCTGCAGTATGTAACACTTGTCCAAAAACAGAAGCTGGCTCATTACGCCGGGTAAAATTATTTTTGGAGTTTACCGATGAATTCAAACACAAGAAAGAAGAATTCAAACGCAAAAAGAAAGAGACAGGAAGGGAGGATGGCCCAAAAGCACCAGTTTGTTTGGTGTCGTTTTACCACAGAGTTTCAAAAGTCATCGAATGTGTCGAAAAGTGCTATTACAATGATGCCGCTGTATTTGCTACCGAAAACCCCAAATTTGTATTTAATGACATTCGAAAAGATGGTTGCTATCGCTGCAAAAGCAAGAAGGCCAAAAAAGGGGAACAAGAACATGCTGAAGGTGGAGAAGATAGTGATATGTCATCCAAGAAAAGAAAGACGGCTGTTGTTAGTCCTACATCGTCCAAATTGCCCAAGAAAAACTAGAAAACTTTTAAACTAGTGCTTTATATGTGTTTCTCTTCCATTCAATATCCATTTGTTATCATACCCTAAACCGTATTGTGGTCAGTACTCGTGTATGTGATACATATCATACAAATATAGCCACCAATTTGTACATAGTCAGTGTTTTATTTGTGTGGTATATATCGCACGGGGCCTTGTGTATGTGGTACATAGCATAGGAATATAGCCTTTGTACATAGTCAGTGTTTTATTTGTGTGGTATATATCGCATGTGGCCTAGTATTTTGGTTATATGACATATATCATAAGGCCTTTTGGTACGTTGTCCTTGTTTTACTTGTGTGATATATATCACATGTGGCCCATTATTTTGGTTATATGGCAAATATCATACAGACTGTAGCCTCCAATTGGCACGTGCATAGTCAGTGTTTATTTGTGTGGTATATATCACACGTCGCATATATCATATTTGTGTGGCATATATCACATGTGGCCTAGTATTTTGTTTATATGATATATATCATATGGAATGTAGCCTCTAACTGGTATTAAGACCCCGATCCACAAAAAACCCCCCCTTCCCATACCCACTTTAGCAGTTTCCGAACCCATTGCGCACTTCTATGCGCTCGCCCGTTGAGAATTCTTATTCAACCACATCAAATTTTCCTTCCATCGGCAATGGTGAGCCTCAAGGCCGAGGAAAGCATCACCCTCTGGAGGAAAACTCGTGGGTCGTGGACATTCTCTGTATCGTGATCGTATCCATCTTGTTTGTATGAAGCGATATGGTTGCATTCGCCCCTCTCACCTCTGAAATCACTGCTAAAGAACCTCAACAAGGTACGAAAACTACTTTTGGAGAGGTTTCGGGACGTCTACAAAGTCCCAAGGCAACATAGAGCTAGAATTTTCTGCGGAAGTTGCTTCTCTTATTATACCAAAGGCAATGATGCCATTTTATATTCTTTATCTGGGTTCCTACAGGACGATTTTCAACCCAGACCATTGAGTTGCAAATTCGTCGGTCACAATGAACTTGCACGGCCTGGACCCCATGAGTAGAGAAAGTGGAATCAGAGGTTATGGCAAGCATAGTTGATATATATGTTACGTCGGGAGCGGCGGTAATTATGTTGAACATCTTTTTCTGGGCCACAATCACACAATAATTCAGAATGATTGGTTCCGTTGGTTGCTTGGACTGGACGGATAGGTGTCAAGAAGACGTATTTGCCGAGTGCGACTCGTATCTACCGTCACCATCAAGACAATATCTACATGGAGACTCGTTCGCAGTGTCGAACTACCAAAATTGACGATTTGGAGCACATCAAGGTGCCATGGTGCGATTGTTCCCCCGGTTTGGACAAGCCAGTGTGGACGCCCAGAGAAGTAAAAAGTGAAGCACATGTTGTGGCAAGCGTATTTGATAGATAGACTATGGCTGGAGCGGCGATTCATACTTGCAATCGCCTCAATTACACTACAATCTACCCTGCTTCGTTCGGCTGGTTCTGTTTGGTTGCAGAAACTGGTCGGCAGAAAGTCAAGAGGATCAATGCCTCGCATTCAACATGTGCTGGAAAGCTCGGCAGTGATCCTACCTACTCGGGGATCCATTCGGTTGTGTTTTGTAGCAAGGTATTCGCCAAAAAGAACAGTGAAGACACCACAATCCCGAGTGTTGCGCTGTTGTGGAGCATTTAAAACTTTGTCTGCAAACCTCCAATGGTCAATCTCTGTTCTGTCCATTGGTTTGCCATGGACCGATTGGTACTCGTCAAGAATGTACTGGAAAACAACACTGCGCACAAGGCAGGAGTCGTATTTGTGAGAAAGGAGGGAATCAAATATATGGATTTCCTTCCTCTGGATGAACACAACACAAAGCATCCAATGGACGCCCCCAAAATTGACAGGAATGGCCAGTTTATCGATTTGGAACAGATTGGTACCACTTGGGAGCTGCCGCTTGGTCCATCTCCTGACATTATTGTAGTTGTACTTGTTGAAGTATTCACCGCTCTTGTCGACGCCTGCATCAGGATTTGAGTGTCCCTTCCCAAAACCAGAGCGACCTTCTAAGTTCATTGCCCTTGTGAAGAAATAAGATGTGAAGAACCAGCAGAGCTGATTTGAGGAAACAAGATTGGCATCGTATCTCCGCCTGGATCTGTCCTGCAGCTTTGCAAAAAAATAATTGATAATATCGTCTCGAAGCCAATCTTTTCGTAACCGTTTCACACTCTCCAGAAAGATTTTGGAGTCACTTCCAGCAGGTGTGACAACTGTGGTGGTTGGGTCTCCGTTGTTTTGCCACAGACGAAAAAATTGATTCTTGTCTTTGTGGCTGACTTGTTTTAAACAGCAAAGAGATCCAAGATTCTTTGGAAGCGGTGTGGATTGTTGACCATGAGAGACGCGCGGTAGAATCTCTGGCAGAACCAAAATCGATTTTAGGGCACTGTCAAGACTTTCCTCCAGCATCAAATGAGTATTTGATAATGTAGATTTGAGGGCCTGAACCGGGCGTTTCTGGGCTAGAACATGGCGCTGTTCTTTGCCAATAGTAATGCGTTGTTTTTTTCTCTCAAATATGTAGGTTTTGAACAGTATCAGCGCCCCCTGGAGTTGACCTTGGGTGCAAGAGTGTTTTGAAGAAAGGTGAACGGCCTTGGCAACGACTGTGGTGAAAAAGTAGTGCACTGGATTGACAATCACACCCCGCTGGTGTTTAATTCCAAAGCTCACAATGTGGAACTGCTGAACAAGTACAGTGCTTTTCAGCCCAGCTCGCTCCAGCAATCCCCAAGTGTCCCTCAAAGAGGAATTGAGATCTGAAGTTGGAAAATTGTGGGAGAGGGAAGAGAATAACAAATGAATTTTTTGAAGGAAGGCTACACTTGGTTCTGTGCTGCGATTTTCCCACAATGTGCGAAGATGCTCCAGCAGAGGTGATTGCTGGATTGCTTGGGTTGCAACAGCCACCTTGAGGATGGTTTCATAGCAGTCATTCTCTGTTGGACATGATACCATCAACAGACTCAGAAACCAGAAACAATCATCATGTTTTATTGCTGCCAGTGGAAGAACATGTCGGAGTAGCCCTCGAATGAGGTGATGCAAGACGTAGACAATCTCAAGTTGAACAGTGAGTCTGCGTTTCACGTTTGCAAAACCCAACTGCAGCTTTCTGCCGTCCTTTTTCCCAATGGCAGAAGCCAGACTTGAGAGTGTATCTATCTCACGGTCAAGTTCAGCTGAGTTCTCAACATGCATATCCAGTGGAGCCCCGTTTTTGCAGCGCAAGTTGGTTTTGAAAATAATGCCAACTTGGAAATTGGAAAAGTAGGATGGGGAATTGCTGCGAAGAAGAAAGGTAGTTCCAAGGGCTAGCATGACGGCGTCGTTTCCAAATTGTTCCTCTGTGAAAAACAGTTTTGCAATTGTGGCGGTGCGAAGGGAATTTGGACAGGCGTAACAACGCAGTAAATCAGACTGTTCCTTCCAAAGATTTGCAAGGGGATCAGTTTTGAAAATAAGATTTGGTGGAGGCTCGTCCTTCTGTGGAGAAGCTGTGTTGGGAGTTGTTTGTGACATTTCTAAGATTGAAAGGGCAGCAGCAGTGCAGGCATCTGCTGCATCGCTTTCATCAACGGCAGAAGCGGAGATGGTATATGCTGCTGGTTGGGGTGAGGATTGTAATGGGTTTTTGTATGCTTCAGACAGTTGAGTCAGAGTGGGAGTGGAAGTCTGGGATGAAAGTGTTCCAAAGTTGAGGGACAGGTCCAATGATAGATTGGATTCCTGGGTATCCGGTGGGCAGGGGGTTCCACCATTGTGTTGGTTCATTGAGGCGTCTTGGGAAAACTGCCAAGAGGATTGGGAGAACATCCTTGGATGGCAATATATATATAGGTGCACAATGAAATTGTTTTGGACTTTATTATTTGGGCTGTACTATTGAAACCAAGTCGAGTGGGACAAATATCACAGGACTCAAGAAAAACTAAGTATGGAGCGGAGATTGATAGGGATGTATGATATATAGCACACATATCACCAGGTAAAATTTGGAAAAATATTTTGGGCGAAAAAAATTTGGTGAAAAAAAAAGGCTCGTAGAAATCCTACCTGTGAAAAATTTGAAAACAGTGATACCCCTCATTCTTCGATTCGAATAATCAATCATCGATCAATCAACGTTTTAGCATCAACCACATCATCATTCATCACTCGTTCAGTAGTTCTGCAGTCAGACACAGAAGCTCAAGACTGCTCCATATCATCCTCATGTTTCGTTTCAATAACGGAATTACTCGGAATGTGTCTCGTAGATGGCTTCGCAGAAGGCTACAAAACCAGCAACAATGTCACTTGATGGGACGAGCCGCGCAATACCAATCATCGTCAGTCTTGTCAGCCCAATATTCATCTTCTCCGTATCTCTCTGAACCAAAAGACGATAATGAGGATACCGAAGAGACTCAAAAGATCATCCAAGCAGAATGGATCCCACCGAATCGTCCCTTGCACGGAGATCAAGATCATTCTCAACTCTTCAAGACCCAAAAGGACTTGGATCGTGCCGAAGATGCCTTGCTGTTTACCGTGGAGGAGGATGAGTCGGAAGAAGAAACCTTGCGGCGGCTTGAAAAAGCCTTGGAATTGGAAGAAAAATTGGAAGTGGAACGACAAAAGGAATATGCTGATGCTGAGCAAGACTTTGACAATACTAATATTGATTGGCTTCAGACCCGACGACAAGCACTGGGAACCCAACATCCCGAGCAAGACCAAGTACCAATCAAGACACATGAACTACTGACGGAAGAAGAAGTAACGACGTTATTGACTGTGTTTGGGGGCCAAGACATTTTGGTTTTGAAGGATGACGAGGAATACCCTCGCATGGGCGGAGCGAATGGAATGGTGCTGTGCACGGCCGAGAGTCAATTCTTGGTTCGGAGCATAACCAAGAATCTTGTGGATCATTTGAAGGAACGAGAGTTGCAAGATTTGGGTGTGGCGGGCGCCAAAATGGGAAAGCACTTTTTGCAAACTACTGCTGGCAGAGAGAGCGATTGGAATGTGATTGATTGTCGCACCTATATTGTTCATATCTTTGACGCCAAAACACGAAAGGCATTGAAATTGGAAGAATTGTGGTCTGGGAAGGTATGTTTTTCTCTATATTCAAATACGTTATCCATCATTCGTCTTGCTTGCCAAATCTGACATGCTTTGCTTGTATCTCCCGCCAGGATCCATTGTGGAAACTGAATACCAATGATGAAGATACCTTGGATGACTATGTTGCCGATCACTATGTGCCATATTCGTATGGCCCCAATACAGTGGGTACGTATGGGGAGGCCTCCATTTCCAAGCTACAAAGGCAGCAATGGCTGTCGCCGCATCGTCCTGTCATTTCCACGGAACAAAAATTAAGAGATCGAAGAGCCCAGAAACGGCTACGACGGGAACGTAAGAGACAGGAGGCCAAGGAAGCCTACTATTAGAAAGTGCCTCTTGAGAGTTTGGGATGTGGAAATGTTGGATCATGATTGGGCGCCAGGATTCGTGTGTCCCTGCTGAGCGCACTCCTTTGGTGACATCAGAACAAAGAAGCTTGCATGCTGTGGTCATGCTTTCTTGTATTGGTACATCAAGAGGGAAGGTTTCAAAAGACGGAGCGAACCAGCTGTCGTGAAAAGATCATAATCAGAACAAATGCAATGATCCAAAAGCAACAGCACATATTTTGCCAAAAAACTTTGTTGTCCTCATCATCATCACCGTTCTCTTCCACCACACTGTCTTCGACTTCTATCATTAGTGTTCCTGGGTTCTCCAAATCATACTCCTCAGCAGTGCCATTCGTAGGCCTCTGCTGATCATTCTTTACTCGCTTCAGTTTTTTGGGTAGAGGCTTCATTACCTCATTCTGCATGTTGATTGTGTTGGAATAATTGCGGGTACGATGACACTCGGTGTTATGTTTTATGGCCTTTCTATTGATCTCAGAGGTTCGCAGGACTGAATGATATCGTTAAAATCGTTAGTCCTTCGCACGTTGGTGACTCAACAGTACTGTGATAGTCTCCTATCATCAACAAATCAATTATAAAAAGCGTCTTGACGGTTCCCATATTGATAGTATCATAGAAAACCGATATTTGAATATGCGATTGCGTTCTGACCATAAAAGAAAGAAGGCAAACTGTGATAGATCATCCCTGCCATAGACAGTGGTGAAACCATCAGAATTTTGTCCCATGAGGAGGTCTTATTCAGATCGTCTTTGGTTCTTCATTATTATTCTTTTCCGGCAACTTGGATACGGCACAGCATTCCAACAAAACCTCGCTCCATTGTTCTTCAGAACGGATGAAAGGAGGGATCAGCGACTTCCATCATGCTTGTGGCAAGCAAAGATACACCTCGAGCAGACACCATGGAACAAGAAGTATATAGAACTAGCCAGATTCTACAAAACTCACGGGCACATGAAGGTGGAGTACAGAAGCAGGATGCTAAAACAACGTCGAAAGCGAACTGGAAAGACCAGACTTTTGCCACTTACAAATGAGCAAATTCGATTGTTGGATAAGATTGACTTTCCTTGGAATCCGAACAAAAAAGGCATAAATGAGAGAGTCTGGCATATCAAGTACCAGGAATTAGTTGGCTTTTATGAGAAACATGGACATCTGAATGTGGATTATGGAAGCAGTCTTTATCAATGGATCATCCGCCAGCGTCAAAGACGTAATGGCAAACATTCGCCACTTACGGATGAGCAAATCCGTCTGCTGGATGACGTTGACTTTCCTTGTACTCCGAATTCTACTCTCATGGTCTGGCATATCAAGTACCAGGAATTAGTGAGAAATATGGACACCTGAATGTGGATTATGGAAGCAGTCTTTATCATTGGATAATCCGCCAACGTCAAAGACGTAATGGCAAACATTCGCCACTTACGGATGAGCAAATCCGTCTGCTGGATGAGATTGACTTCCCTAGGACTAAAAACAAGGGTCGCCCTGCAGGAATGCATAATAAGGGATGACATATCAAACATTGAGCGGAGAACATGGAATCGGGTGGGCCAAGCATGCATTCACACTCTGAAATCAGAATAGTCTGCGGTTATCTTCCGTAAGATTGTGACCCCAAAACATGCTCAATCTACGCGTGGCGGTGGCAGAGACTTGAGACCTACCGGTACGCTATGTAGACTTGATGAGAAGCTCTAAAGAATTCATAGTCACTGATACACTGCAGTACATTTTCCTTCAGGTGACCCTACGCTGCTGAAACTTGCTGGATCCAAATCGAGTTCTACCAGCAGCGTGGTAATAGTTTCGTCGTGTAGCTTTTTACATGCACAACAAATACTATCAATCACAAATCACAACATAGTGTTCTTCTTCTTATTATTATTATTATAATCAATTACAATAAACATCTAGTATACACTTGGCAGGGCTACCAGGCCTATTCCAAGGAAGCAACAGCAAATCCAAAAAGGACAAAGATGACAGTCAAGATAATCGCCAAAAATACCAAAACGAATAATAGAATCATCCATGCGGTACGCTTGTTTCGCCACCGTCTTGGCATCTGTCTGTGCAGGATTGGCATGTCCGAACTGTTCTCCGGAGTATCATCACTGTATGCCGTATTGGAACTCATCATGGACACCTCTACACGATCCTTATCCAAGATTGAGTCGCGGGAAGAGACCTCGCTGAGAGTATCGGCCAAACCCATGTTGACATCGCGAAGTTCCTCAATCGTCAAATCCCGATGATTCTTCCTTTCACCCGAAACCTTGCGAGTAGGCCAGAAAAGACTGGACAAGAAAAAGAAGGACGAGTCGTTCTCTTCGACAACGTCCTGAGCTTCAAGCCTTTGTCTCGGGACTTCTCTCAGCACCCGCTCCAGATGGGCCATAAACTTGAGAAAGTTGGTCTCTTGCAGCTTGTAATCGTCTCCAGGTGTGGAAAGAGCCGAGTGAACAATGTCCAATATTTCATCCTTACTCAAGGATTCCCAAGCCTGCTTTCCGATTTCGTCTTGGCAGATCGTATCCAAGATAGTCGCTCCGAGTTTGGAAACCTGAAGGAGACTCAGCTTTGCTGAAGCTAGTCTATAGCGAAAGGCATCATGCAACTTGACTGGAATAAATATTGGCTTTGATAGCGAGCCGTCGCCAGCCGCTTCCAAGTCATTGCCCTCTGGTTCACCATTGCAATCCATATCGACGCAAAACGAGGACATGATGCAGTCCAGCTGTAAGACTTTGTCTCCCGAGTCAATGTCAAACATTTCATCCACCTCCACCTCCAAATCAGCCAATTGTGAGCTATCGCCAATCTGCGCCGCTCGTTCGTTTCCAATAATAATCAAGGGCATCTTCTTGGACCGTGACAAGTGCCGCCGAATGTACTTGAGCATCCGATGTTGGGGTTTTCGTTCCGTCAAACAGTCCAAGACTAGTATCACAGCATCAAAGGTATGAAATGATTCGTCAATGTAATTTCGATATTGACACTCAGGGTTGGATAGATCCAATCCAGGTATGTCCACCAAAAAGAAGGGCGTGTCTTCCATGGAAGCAAAACTAGGATCATTCGATCGCACATCAAAAACCTTCTTGGCGACTCGTTTCCTATGTCCCAACGGAAGGATTCGATGTGATTTGTTGTCTCTCCTGATTTCTGTACATACAGATTCTGCTTTGCGAGAAGAATCCTTTCTCGTTGAGCAAGAGGCGGAATTATTATGGAGGACTCGGAACGAGTTGATGCCAGTGGTTGGTTTGTCATCAGATATGAACGAGTAATTGTTCCCCAAAATGGCGTTCAGAGCAGTCGTCTTCCCCGCTCCTCGATATCCTATGATTGCTACTGTAACCGCATTTTCAGCTACAGCGACTGGCGGCGCCATGGTTTACTTTTTGTCGTGCAATGTAGCTAGTAAAGGGTAGTTGCGTCAAACTAGAATGCTGGTGATGACACTGCAAAAATTGTAATCCTAATTTGCGCGCGCAGGCTAAATCTTTGGCATCCTTCTGCCGAATTTTAACGCACCGCTGGTAGGCAATCCAACCGTTCAATAATTGGGTACAAGCAAAGCCGTCAAGAACATTAACTGGCCTGGCTTGCCGGCGGAATCTTCCTAGGTTTTATCGGAAGATTCATGCTTCACCACCTTCTCACTTGTGATACCGATACGATGCTCACACTGGACGTACCTGGTACGATAGGCTCTTGAACAAACTTTACTGGGTAGGGGATTGATACTGATTAAAAAGGAAGGGGAGAAAAAGAGGTGAAGTGCGAAACATCAAGTTGAAAGTTATATTTGCAATACAGTCGATGAATCTGCACTGAAGCATCAATACATACTGATGTGATTGCTAACATAGTCCTACTGAAATCGATCGATCGATGTATGTAATTACTAAATTAGTTAGAACGCATTTCGTAGTGCCATCCATTACGCATTGCCGGTGGATCAGACATCTGCATGCATTCCTTTAGTGAGCCAGCAGAAACAAGTTTACCAAGAATACGGACAGTAGAGTTGCAACGCAACCCGAAACGGTCGACACACTGCTGGCACCAGATACGCCGCAAGTTGATGCACAGAATGGTCCACCGGCTTCAAAATCGGTCGTAGTATATGTGCATCCGGAGCCAGGAAACATCTCCGCAGCAATATTTTCATTCTTGGGCAACTTCGTTCCCCACGAGCACAAGTCTTGGTTAAATGCCTTAGCACCCGCGAACATGTCTGACGTGTCAGTGAGAGAAGAAACATCCCACGAAGACAAGTCGCGATTGAATGAATTTGTATTCGCGAACATCCACCCCATGTCCTTCACAGAAGAAACATCCCACGACGACAAATCCTGATTGAACAATAATGCATCACGGAACATGTCTCGCATGTTCGTGACAGAGGAAACATCCCAAGATGACAAGTCCTGGTTGAATGTGGCTGCATCTTCGAACATAGAAAACATAGTTGTGACCGAAGAAACATCCCAAGATGACAAGTCTCGGTTGAACAATTCTGCACCATGGAACATCCAACTCATGTCATTAACAGCTGAGACATTCCACTTTGATATGTCATCATCGAAGGATGATCTTGTATAGAAAATGGCTTCCATGTTGGTGACTTCAGAAACACACCAGGTTCCTATGGGCCAACCATATTTTTGCACGATGTCGTTGTTGCAATTGTTGTCATCCGAACAACCGTCGCCGGTAAACTGGATCACTGCATTTCGAAGCTCTTGCCCATCCTTGAAGCAATCTATTGCTGCGACAGATTGCGCAATCGCACACCAGGTGGTGGCTCCAAGAAATAGAGTAGGAAGGAACGAAGATCTCATCTTGCATGCGATACAGTTATGACGAGATTGTTGAAAAGATCGATGCGCACTCAACGAGATTTTCCAATGTACCATGTACCCGTACGACGTACGAGTAGTCAAAAGATATGCGCAGTACCAGTATGACCGTGGAAATGACTCGAAATCTTGCGTTGTAAAATACTGGTGTGAGTGTATCCGTTTTTATAGAAGGCCACATTTCCGATTTAACGCATCGAAAAAGCACAATGTAACAAAACCGTCCTTGGGACTTGGGGAAGAATCATCACTAATGAAGAAGACGGGATAAAATTTTGATTGATAACCAGATGAAGTTGATGTGTGCAACTACTATTTGAAACGTACTTCTTAATATTGTACACTGTCGCCTTGTTAAAGTAGATGAAGTTGATGTGTGCAACTACTATTTGAAACGTACTTCTTAATATTGTCCACTGTCGCCTTCTGAACATTGACCCCATATCCTTGTCTGAAGAAACATCCCATGCATGATGACAAGAATTCTTGTTAGTCCTATAGTAGTCGCACGACGGATGATGCATTCTAGAATATTCCATCCACATTCGTGACAGCTGAAACGTCCCAAGAAGACAGTTCCTGTTTGTAAGCTATCGTATCTTGGAACACAGCATACATGTTCTTGACACAAGGCCGCTGGGTAAGGGCTGGGAACCATTGTTGGAGGAGCCAATCGACCGCCATTATCCCGCCAGCCAGAAGGCCAATCAACTCGCTACGATAGGCACTCTGATCCTGAGGTAAACCTGGAGTTTGACAACGGATGACAATGCGAGCAGTTCCCTCTTTTGGAAGGAGCTGAACAGCAGCGGTTCCAAGGTCATTTTTGTATGACCCATCACTGATGATAGAAAAATCCCAAGGTGGCAACTCTTGATTTCCTTCAACAATTCTGCAGCATTCTCAACGGTGGCGTTTTGAACCCGGATGCAAACGACTAAAGAATCTTTACATAGTCTTGAAAAGGCTCTCGTGATTAGAAAGCCACACGACCAGTGTATTGTGAGGCTTTTCCGCAAGAGTGTCCGTTAAGTGGCATAAATCTGATATATTGTTTCAAAGAGAAACTTATATATTGAATAAAAAGAAACCTAAAAAACGTACCTAGCAATTCGTTGAACCGTGAATCAATACTTAACTATTATGCGTCGTTACGACAGATGCATTCTGAAAATTGCATAAAACTGATAGGCAAGTGAGAGTGCACCGGTGAAATTGTGAGCAGAATCGAAACAGAATGCCGTACACGTACCCAGTATTCCATCTCAAACCGCGCTATTGCTCTGTATCACACTTCATTTCTTCGACAGCAGAGAAAAACTGAACGCATCAAATCAAAAAGCGCCGTGTACTCGAACAACAAACATCATGAACTCGACTCCATCATTCGCAATAAACATCTGGAAACCTCGTGTCCGAGAATCCAACACTGAACTTCCTGAAGGCTTTGTTCCACTGCCTTATACTGTTCACATTGGACGTGGGAGAGTCTGTTCCGAAGCCACAGGCAATCGTCGATTGAAAGTAATAGTTGATAGCTTTCTTCAAGACTATCAAAAGGCAAAGACCAAGATTGAAAAGTCTGTAATTGTATCCAAGATTGTGGATATTGTATATGATGCATGTGGTTCAGCAGGAGCCTTTGTGAAGTACCAAGGCGGAAAATGGTTGGAAGTTGGAGACTATGCTGCCAGAGAAAAGGTTGGATCGATGCTTCGAGATGCTCTTTCGGAAAAGTACCGATCCAGTAGCAAGGCCAAGCTTGCAAGAAGAAAACAAGTCAAAAAACAAGTCTATCAAGCTGCAGAGAGCAACGTCATCAATGCAATCCTAAGTTTCAAACACGAAGAAGAGAGTACTGCTTCACCAACCTTCACTGACAAGAAAACAGCAGAGAAGGCCAAAGAACCCTCCTCCAAGAAACAAGGTCCCAAGAGTGCTCTTAGTTCGTCTTCATCGTTTTCATGGTCACCTACAAAAACGCACCTTCCCACCCCTAGTGGACTTCCAGTGCTTCGCCCCGACTTGAAACAAGACAAAGACAGCACTCCAAAACCAACAGAATTTAGCTTTCTCTCGAACACTGCACCAATTTCAAGGTCAATATTTGATGATACCAGCTACCATGGGCCCTCCGCAGCAGCTGAGTTTCAACAGCAAGACTGGCATTTCACTCTATGAGTTAGAGGCAGACTTTTGGGGAACTTCTTACTACTCGGCCGAATGGTGCATACTGGTGCTGTCCACCAAACAACGAACGAACGAATGAATGAATGAATTATTTTAAAGATATCTTATACTATTATTATACACCACAAAGCGCTATTGTCATCGATACTTCGTAGAATTATCCATTCATCCCTGTCGTAATTGCTTACCAAAAGCAGCAAATCACACAGTAGTTCTGTAGAATACCGTTCGCATTCTTCATGTCATGGCGTATACACTGCTTGAAACTGTTGTCGTCTGTCCTTATTACCACCCTCCAAACCAACGGTTGGACCAGCAGGTCAGACCTACAGTATACTCGTCTTGGTCAGACCTCCTGTTTTCGATCGGCACGCTACCACTGTACGGCAGGGCTTCAATCTTGGTTGCAACGTAAAATACATAGCGCGAAGGACACCAATACGACAGACCGTCAGGCGTATCCGGATGATAAATTGGGCGGGCAATCCAAAAAGTCTTCCAATGAATACAAAAAACTACCGTTTCAGACGACTCACATGAAACTTCTCATCTGAAAGAATAGTTTCAGCTGAAAGAAAAACAACACCCTGTTGCGACCTTAAACGAGGAACTCAACCTACCCAATAACAAACCTCCAATAACCACGCAGTATAATGGATATGCAAACAGGAGACGCTCAGGGCTTCCCAGCCATCACTTACAATCCAAATCACCAGAATCAAATTCTTCCGTCACATCAATCACCTTCCAAAATCTACAAATACCAATCATCGTCTCCTCAGCACATGGTTGTTCCAGATGAAAATGAGTATATCGAAAGCCAAGGAATTGAATATACCTATTCTGAAACTAGGCCCACCCCACCTGCGTCAGTAGCTGGATCCATTGCACGGTCGGTTGCGAAATCCCTGAAGTCCTCCTCTCAGAGCACTGTCAAATCTGCCGAGAGCGAAGACTTGAAAAGGGCTCACCACTATCAGCAACAACACAATCAACAGCAGCAACCCCAGAAGAATTCCAAAAAAACAATCTCACACACGGAACATACTGAAAAACAACAACGAGCCAAGAAAGTCTTTTGGGTTTGTTTCTGTTCTCAATTGATTGTCATTTTGATTCTGGTGATTGTTTGGACCTCAAGTCCGGCATCCTTGGTCGAAAAGTCTGTTTTGACTCAAGCCGAAAATACTGCCAGCAGTGGTGTGTTGATTGGTATCAATGATACTTTTCAAATTAATAATTGGGATGAATTCTTGGGCTTGTCTGATGACGATTACTTTGGAGATGGAACCTTGTGTCCATCTGGCATTGATACACCCATTGCGGTGCTTACCGACAAGCCTTGTTATGCGCGTCCTGACGGAACAGAAGGTGCCTACAGTGAGCCCATTGCGGTTATCTTTGAAAATTGTGCTCCTCAACCGGATGACTGGATTGGGATCTACGATGCGGAACACAACATTTTTCAGCCCGGAATTCACCGAGTGGATTATTGGAGTTGGGCTTGTGGGGATCAAGAATGTCAAAAACCAGTACGTGGGGGAATTATTGTCTTTGCAGGAATCCAAGAGTATGGAAACTTCAAGGTCCATTTGCATCGTCGGGAAGGGGAAGCAGAAGAAATGTACTTGGCCAGTAGCGAGATCTTTACAGTACAACAAACTTGCATTGACTATGTTTGGGATTAATTGTTGGGTGCTTCAAGGGAAAGGGTGTGATAGTGCTACTAAAGTGCGTTTCACAAACAAACCCGGCCTGAAGTGAATTCTGAAATATGTTATAATTCAAGAGTCAAATGGTAGTAGTCCTATACAGTCATTCTTTTGTAGCTGTATTATGTATGACTAGAAATCTCCTATCTACCAAATAGAGCATTGCGAAACGGTGATGAAGGAACTCCAGATTCTGTGGCTGCCCGATTGCGATTCGGACGAGGCAAGTCTGGGTTTTGGTTCAGGGGATTGGGGGTTGTACCTGGCGCATCATCATCTCCAATCATCTTCAACTCGATGGGCATGCATGGTGCTCTGTACACCATATTCAGCTCTTGACTGCGCGCAAACGCAAATGCTTGAAGTGCGGCTAGACTGTTCAGCAATGCTCCGACCTGTTGCCACGACTCCCGCAACAGCACAACAATCTTGTATTCAATGAATCCATGATCTGCCTCGATACGAGTCATACGAAACGCAGCGAAAGACATAAACTCTCTTGGCCGAGCTTTGACATAGGCTATCAGGTCCTCCTTGAAGGACATAATGGTTGATTCTGGGACGGCGAGTCCGAATTTCATAGCGAAATTCATGAGAGCCCGAGGTGATCGAGCAGCATTGATGATTCTTGCATTCGACAAAGCCCCATTGGAAATGGTTGCATATTCATTCGTGGTTCCGAAAATGAAGGTTGTATGGTAGAGATTGACATCCTTGACAATCCAACCTGCTGCACCACCCGCACTCGACTCGGAGATTGCGGAACTCACATTCACTCTGTCACCAATGTCATATGGTCGCTGCAAAGTGACGAATAGTAAACCCCTGAAGTAATCAGAGGATGCTCCGCTGATCATGAATGAGAAACCCAGGATAAAAGATGTCAACACTCCGAATAGTGCAATGGGGTCACTTTGTGACGGAGATAGTTAGAATGGAATGCGAGAAAATGAAACGTGGCGAAGACCAGCCAAAACTTACATCCCCAATATACCTAGCAAGATTACCACCATAATTCCGTAAAAGACAAAGTTGATGATTCTTTCAGATGCAATATTCACCTTTCCTTCGTTTACGATACTGGCTCGCAATTTTCTCAACTCCTTGTATTGGTTATCAATGGACTTGCAGAACTCCAGTTTCGTTAACGACCCATCCCGTCCAGGACGAAATAGTTTCACAAGTGATTTGCACTGTTTCTCATCGAAATAGCCCGAACTTTTGAGTGCAGTTAGCGCAACTGTATGAAAGCGGAGGGTTGTCGGGGCATGCGAGGAAATGAAGTCACTCTCCATGTACTGTTGTTTCTTGACAAGAGCATCATAAAGTCTCTCGCTTCCCTCGATTACTTCCTTACGAGTTCGGGCCATACCAAACGCAGGCGAGTATGGCATCGCACTCTCCAATACGCCAATTGAAGCCCGAAACTGAATGATCGAAGTGAGATCAGCTTCTTCCGCGTTTCCATCAGAAAGTTCAATGTCTTCCCATTCGCCGAGAAGTTCCCTGATGTCTTCGTTTTGTTTTTCAGTCAGGAAATTCGCACTTTCGACAGTCATGGCAGTATAGGTCCTTCTATGGGGCTTCTTCTTTTCTCCACCATGAGCCGATCCGTTGTCCAAGGGTGGCAAGGACAGTCCGTCCGACGCATTGTCTGGCTCTCCACTAGCTGTATACCAGAAGTCAAGGACCGAATGGTCATCCATGTCACGAGGATTCATCTCCGAGTAGTAATCATATTTTGATACCTTAGCAACTCTGGAAAGAAGCAACAGATCCTTCAAGATGTCGGACAGCTTGTCGGCGTAACGGACGTAGGAAGCTTTTCCGAACCGAAGCCCAAGCCAGAATCGTTTGACTGCCACCAGCACGCCAAGAAAGATGGCATAAACTAGTAACCCTCCGTAGTTGGAGTTTGATGTCACCGACCCAGAAGGATTGCATGCATTAAAGAGCTCAACCCAATCTTGCCAGAATGCCCAATGTCCCGAGAAGCGACGGTTTCCAAATAGAAGCGCGAAATTGAACAAAGCCCACAGAATCTGAACCGAAAAAGAGGAAAAACGGAAGTCATTAGAGTCCGATCGAGCAAATGCGAAGAGGAAAAGTCTTGGGGAGCGACGGCTTACCATCACAAAGGGCCAACCTTTCGCTTGAAGGAGGAACAGTCTGATGGTCGGCCCCATCAAACCCGAAAAGTTGATCTTGAGAGCATAGTAAATGACAACATACTGAGCCGCCCGAGCAAAACCGAGCGTAATTACTTGTCGAACGCCCAAGAACAAAAGCCACCAAGAAAGAGTGGGGCCCTTTACACCTTTCCAGTAGTGGCACTTGCTTGGATCAAAACCAAATTCAAGGCCAGCCATGGATGGTGCTGGTGTTGGTTCACCGCTAATGGAAGAGGGCGATTCAGTTTGACTGTTAAAGTACAGTGCCACGTCGTCAAAGCTTAAGCTGTCTCCAAACTCAGGATTTCCAAGGAAATAGAACAGGCTGCAAATGGCAGTATAAAGAAATCAAGTCAGATGTGGTCATTGAAGCATGTGATCAGAGCACACATTAGAATAACCTACATTGCCGCAAGAAGGGTCGACGGTATGACGATAAAGAAGAGTGCATCCCTGATATAAGACCAGACGTAGCCTTTTTTGTCAATAACGACGGACTTGAACTCTTGGAGTGATTCAAGGGATGCAATTTTCATTTTCTTGGCATACAGATTGGATTGGTGTCTCCCGCTACTGGCACTTTCGACGTCACTGTCGTCATCGCCATCTACTTTCTTCCTTGAGCTGGTCTTCTTCTTGCGTCGAAAGAATCCCCTCTTCTTCTTGGAATAGCCGTGAAAAATGTGCCCTGCATTGGCCGCGAATTTGTCGCCTTGCGACTGGGGGGCACCCTCATTACCTCGATACACTTGTCCTGGAAACTCCATCTTCGACTTTCTTTTATCCTTAACCTTTTCACCAACACCACTGTCGTTGGCTTCCTGAGAAGCTGCGTGCGCGGCGTGCATTTCATAGTGCATGCGGTTAATCGAATTCGTAATGGCAAACAATTCGTCGTCCACATCCTTGTTCTCTTCAGAGTGATCGTTTGAATGCGTATCCTGAAATAGTTCAGTCCTGGAGGAAGTTTGAGAGGCAACCTCGGAAGGAATGGAAGTGGCAGCGTCAAAAAACTTGGAGCTCCTGCCAGTGACATCGCTACGTTCGATAAAGTCCATGACAGCCTGCTCGTCAGACGCCTCAGCCGGAGCGGCTCGGCGGACATCTTCAAGCGCCACTTCAGCCATGGCCAGTTTTGTGAGCGTCGCTTCAGCCATGGTTAGCTTTCGTTTTGCTCGTCAGTAGATATGGGAGTCTTCTGCAGAGTAGGGAAGAGGTTAACGTTTGCAAACGACAAAATAAATGGATATGGATCTTGTGAAATAGAACGGATTTGTACGTGGTGGTGGTGGGAGAGGTTCCAGGAGCAGGAGATGTCTGATCAGAGGGGCTACATATGTACGATTTCAGATTTAGCCTCAACGTCAACGTCGACAACAATGATTTACCGCGATAATAGAGGCTCCTAATCTGATGTCTATCCAAAAGCATTCAAACACTCTCGTTCAACGCGTGTTTTCAGTTGTTATAACGCCTTTCATCTGTCCGTCAGTCTGCAGCCAACCGTCATAAATTAAGTCCCAAAACACACGAAACTCAAGAAACACATACAACCGTTCTAAACAAGAATATTCCATTTATAAAATTGTCGAGTTTCAATAATTGTTATCTTACGCACAAGGTTCGCCACGCACATGCTTCCGCATACAGCCATCTGATTCGCTTGGATCCTTCTAATAGATTTTTTTTATTAAAGCGCCATTTCGAAGGGATCTCCGAATGAATCCCAGAGCGCTACTCTCCACATGTTATAGAAGCGTTTAGCGCTCTAAATTGGTCTTACGGTGCCGGGTGCCGCCTCTGTGGAACCGCCATATCTCTGGTACTTGTACATGGGCAACGATTGTGGGATAACTATCATCTTGGCTAGCTGGTGCCACTGGCTGCTTTCGGTTTATTTTCTTTAGGTGGTTAGTACACCTAGTACGAGGTCCCCATGATGATAATGCTGGCAGTCATGACAATAGCGGGGAACAGCAGCAACAGACTTCAATTCACCATTCTCTTCTTTGGTTCGATCCGTAGGGAATTTGCCTGTGCATTTGGCCTGAATCAATCGTCAAGTATTCCGGTAGGAGTACTACTGTCGTGACCTAAATGTGTTCGAACGTCATGAGCAACAAGTTTCTTGGATTGGCATTGAGGCCGGTCCAATCTAGTATTGCTCCGAGTTTGTACAATACGGCGTCATTTTCTCCACTTACTTGACTTGGAAGGCGGACTACGGTAGCAGATGAAACCAGTTATATTCTTCTATTAAAATGCGGAATTCACATGTCGAGCTTGATTCTCTATAGTCCTAGAGATGTAACAAACATTAAAGTGAAAATTATATTTTGAAAGCATACGGACATGACAGTAACAATTGTAGTAATCGCATGATCGTTTATTCAGATTTAATCTATTCCCTCGTTCGAAACGACGAAGATTGACTCTGATAAAGGTGGTGTTGACACCAAAGTGATCGATCGGATTCTGACCTTAAAAGTTTTGTGGAGGCTGACAAATCGCTGCCCATACTCAGTTCCAGCAACCTTCTGCTGGTGCTTTTGCTGAGTTGGCGCATTGGAATATGAAGAGGTTGGTGGTCTTCTTGTTCTGCCATGACAAATCTTAGAGACACAGATATGTCACTGTCGGAGCTTTCGAGCAAGCCGCTCAGAAAATTGTGACTCAATTGGCGCATGGGACACCTAAGTGGTCCATCAATCTCCTCCTCGATTGCGGAGAACTTCATTGATGCTGTTTTACTCATGACATTTCGAAGCGTTTTTATTTGCGGTTCCTTCTTTTCTCCGCTGCTGGTGCTGGTGCTGCTCTCTTCATCATCATTGTAGCTAGCACTAGTATTAGCTGTCAGGTCTGTGAAGCTTCTGTCAATGATCATCTCTTTGGTTGTGTTGTTGTGGGAATAGGTACTGTAGTATTTTGGAATTTGTGAGATTGTGAGTTCGGACAATCGCAAGTCTCGTTCTTCTTCTTCTCGGTATTGGCACAACGCATTTTCGGACAAAGTTCGAAAGTGCAAGTGAGTAAAAGTGTGTGTGTCATCATACCGCGGTACACTACAAGCAGATAAAAGATCCTTCAACGGAATATTTGATTCTAAAGATTTGTCCGAAGACGCTTTAGAAGTAATAGAAAGTGTGATAAAACACCTGGAGCGGCCTGAAATGGCAGGCTTGCTGGGAATGTCCTCAGCGATGTCGTATAGATTGCCTATCAAGGATGACGGAAGCTGACTTGCCGGTGACAGACTCTGCGCAATGCAGAGCTTGGGCTTCGCTGAAAACGAGCCTGCCTAAAGATTCATTTCATTCGTGGACGTTCCGTTGAAATGGGTGAACTTCGTCGGACACTTCGTCGGACCGACGAAACTTCGTCGGATCCGACGAAACTTCGTCGGACCCGACGAAACTTCGTCGGACCCGACGAAACTTCGTCGGACCCGACGAAACTTCGTCGGACCCGACGAAACTTGGTCGCATTAGAAACAGGGTAGATTATTTTTAAACCTCTTGATCGGATTAATCCTAAATCTATTACTCAACTGAGTACAATTCGTGGTTGACGTTTGAATTTCTGAAAGCATGCAACTTCGGCATATTGCTGTGGAGAAATAAAACCTGCCATTTTCTATTTTGTGACCGTTTCTTGTTTTGTACTCGTAGGTGGTATTAAAATACCGTTTTTTGCCGTTGTTGCTTGTCATTCTTCTTGGACCAGCTTGCGTGCAACGGTATGCCAACCATAGAATTCATTTAGAATTTTACATCGATTCTTGCGAGCTCCGAAACCAGTTTCGTCCATTTTGTCCATTTCGTCCATTTCGACGAAGAATAGTCGGACTCCGACGAGAATAGTCGGACTCCGACGAGAATAGTCGGACTCCGACGAGAATAGTCGGACTCGACGAAGGGTCGACTATTTTCGTCCATTTGGACGAAGGTTCAACGGTTCGGAAGCATTTAAAAAAGGCACGCACGCCGAGTAGTTTTGAAAAGAAAGACGCGCCAGTCAACCAAACTTGTGTAAAAAATTGAAGACTATGCTATTCCCATCATTTTGTCCGAACGACACCCCCGAAAAGCTGACTCGGCGCGTGTAGGTCCAGTTACAGGCCGCTCCTGGAAAGGGACTCACTGGAAAAAAAGGGTCACTTCCAAAGGAACATTGGTGGTACACGTACGTGTACAGCACCCCCGAGCGGTTCTTCCGCCTTTTATTGTTGCCACAAATTCAAATTACTTGGTTCTGAATAACTGAAAGAAACACAAAACATACCGATGTTCTTTAACGAAAGCTTCAGTAACCTACCAACCAGTACCCGTGCTAGCCACATGCCTGACAAGAGTGCTATCTACTTCAACGGTGGGAAAAGAGAAACCGCAACAAGCTCTCTTCGAGGAGACGCCATGAGAAAAGCTTCGTCGATCAAATTCGCTGTTATAGAGGAGCATGCCGATCAACCACCACAGAATCCTATGCGCCAATTAAGTCATAGCTTCCTGCCGTGCTTGACGGAACGAGCCGAAAGTGTAAGGAGTTTGATGGCCTCAACAAGGTTTACTGAATCTGATCGATCACTCGTATTCGAAGGTGATCAGCTTATGGATCTCCCAATACGCCAGCTAAGCAAAAGGAGTTTGTTGATGGCATCAACAAGGCTTACTGAATCCGACCGATCACTTCTGTGCGAAGGTGATCACCTTATGGATCTTCCAGTGCGCCAGCTCAGTAAAAGGAGTTTGATGATGGGTTCAACAAGTTTTAGTGGATCTGATCGATCGCTGCCTTACCGTATCGTAAGCCCGTTGCAACAGGCATGTCCTCTAAAGTAGTTAAATGACTTAAAATCCTCCTGACCTGTCCACTAATCATGCATAAACATCATGATCTTTTCATATATAAACCGTGGTATATTGTATCATGGCACTATAAAAGAAGAAGATTCCACCACAGCTCCTCGAGAGAAGAGCCTAATAACTTCCATCATGTGTGCAAAGTAACACACTACAATTTGGTGGCACTGATAAGTCTGAAAAACTTCCTGGCACCGCACTTTGGTGTGACCATTTCTGAGGGTGCTGATACTGACAGTGGGGTGTATCATTGCCAATGTTCTTCCATTGAGGCTGACATTATTGTGCTCTTCTGTTTTAGGTCATGAAGAATTCACGGGCGAATTATGGCACGCGGAGGTTTTTGATTGTCCGAACACTCTACAAGCCCAAAGACCCCACAAATCTACCGGGTATAAATCTGAAAGAAACACAAAACAGAGAGATGTTCGATAACGAAAGCTTTACTACCCAATCAACCAGTACCAGCGCAAACAACATGGCTGATAGGAGTGCAAACCACTTCAACAGTGGGAAAAGAGAAATCGCCAAAAATTCTCTTCGAGACGCGTCAGCTAAGTTCGATGTTGTCGAGGAACATGCAGATCAAGCACCACAGAACCCCATGCGTCAATTAAGTCATAGCCTTCGGACTTGCTTGACGGAAAGAACCGACAGTGAGATTTCACTAGGGTTTACCAGTATGTTGAGTTTGATGGCCTCAACAAGGTTTGCTGAATCCGACCGATCACTTCTGGCTGCTGGACAGCGCCATGACCAGCCTATGCACCGCCCAATGCGAGAACTCAGTAAAAGCACTTTGTCGATGGGCTCAACAAGATTTTCTGGATCCGATCGATCACTTTTTACCTACGAGAATCTTTCTTCGTCATCTCCAGGTGTTAATATCGACAACTAGTAGGTTCTAACTACCGAAAAAAAGCGCTTGTCGATGGGAGACAATGCTCCTATGACCAATATCGACTCATCAGACAATTGCTGCAAATATAATGACGCTTTTTTTAATCATAACACCATCAATATTGTAGCATGGTATGCACCACGAACCACAGCAATTGTGATACAAGACTTTGATTCACCTTGTCTGCCGTGTACCGGTAGCCTTCCAGACTTGTTTTGCTGCTTCTGGCAATAAACTGGAATTTGTCACTCAGCCAGAACTGTTTTCCGCCGATTCGTTCGTATTTTTTATTATTATATCTACCGGTACCCGTAGACACCGCACATTGGTTGCCAGGGCCATTAGCACTACAGCGAAATTCTCCACAAAGTTTCGTTAATTGGACACTTTGCCCAAACGCTGTTCGCCCGCGCTGTGAGAGTTCCCACAATAACTCACAAAACTTATTCATTCCGAAACGAACATACAAAAGCAAAAAAGATGACAGCCAACTCTAGCAATAGAGCCTCTTACTTCAGCAAAGATACAAGTAACCCTACAAAAGGCTCTCTTCGAGAAACCATGAGAAAAGCCTCAACTAAGTTTTCCATTGCCGAGGAGACCGCCGATCACGCACCTCACAGTCCCATGCGCCAATTGAGTCATAGCCTTCGGAACTGTTTCACGGAAAGGTCCGAGAGTGAGATGTCACTATCCCTAAGGTTTGCCATGAGCGAAAAGGATCAGCCTATTCGTCGTCCAATTCGCCAGCTCAGTAAAAGTCTGAGAAGCGAATTGTCGGGATCAACAGAGTTTAACCAGAGCCTTTCGTCTTCATTTAAGTTGGACAAGAAGCAGGTTCTATAGATCGAAAACAGCACTTACAGAATAGCTATTGATGGGCGATTCCGAGAACGAAGTAGGGGGAAGGGGAACTTTGGAAACGAGAGATGCTTTAAAGTCTTTAGCAATCCGGCAAGCAAGGAGAGGACTCGATCCCATTGTTATCAACCAGTGGAAGCCGAAAAGACGGTGATCCCATCACCAAGTAACCGCCTAAGAACGCTACAAACAAAGTGATGAACAGAGTTCTCTAAAGTAACCTAATGATGCTCCACTAATCGTGTTATCATAGTTTCCGCGCAAGATAAGAAAGGTCTGCTTTCGATAACAATTGGCTTGTCACCTCAACCGATGAAGTCAAGATAAACTTCCAACTAGCAGCAACACATAACAATCATCACGCCACAATGTGTTCATGGTCTCGGGCCACAGCTAGGTGTTGCTGAAATGATTGCTTTCAGAGAATGAAATGGCAGATTTGGTAGGCGTTTTGGTGGACCACTTCCGATACCGCAGCATACTTTAGCTCTGGGTTCACTACCAGGGTAGCCTTTGGGGTGAGGTAAAGGTAGGTGCTGCGAAAAAATTGAGTATGGTACCGGTACCTTAACGACGAATATATACCGGTACTGTATATTCAATATGCAATTGCTATTGGCTTGTGTTGTGAAGACTGTGAACAAATTGAATACCGTAAGCATGGGTATGCCATCACCACGATTGATTGCACACTTAGGGAAGGATCGAAAGAACTCCGAAACAAGAGAAATAGCCTCAATGACTTCCCTAATCTTCCAAAACATATATGCCAAACGCCATTTTGGAGTCGACCAGGAGTATCGGAACGACCAAAATATTCGTCTGGCCGCTCAAGATCCGCGTTACTGATTACCAAAACAAGTTGAAGTAGATACCAAACGCCATTTCCTAAAGCATTTTTATTTCACGGAACGCTGCGTTCTTCGGTTCTAACCGAGTGAAATAAATACAGTAGATGGGATCGAATGTTTGCAACATGAGCTCTCACAATTCAAAAATTACTTGGTGTTGAAATAGCAACACAAACAGAGACATGTTCGGTGACGACAGCTTTACAGCCTTGACACCCAGCACTAGTGCCAACCATATGCCTAAAGGGCGTGGTACTAGCCACTCCTATAATAGTGGTAAAAGAAAAACCGCAAAGAACCCTCTTGTCGACGCCATGAGAAGCGCCTCAACAAAGTTCTCCATTACCGAGCCTCATTCCGACCAAGCACCGGAAATTCCCATGCGGCTTTTGAGCCATAGTATTCGGACTTGCTTGGAAAGGAGCGACAGTGAGATGTCAGTATCTCTACGGTTTGCCATTGCCGAACAAGGCGATCAGCCTCTTCATAGTCCCATGCGCCGACTCAGTAGAAGTTTGAGAAGCGACGCGCCGGCATCAGCAGAATTTCGCGCTGATGGATGCGATCGATCTCTTGAGCGTCAATGCAACAGGAGTCTTTCTTCATCGTTTTCAAAGGAGTAGTTTATATCGAGAGCGCTTAGCTGGGCGAATCGAAGGATGATCCCGAGAGGCAGGAATGGAAGGAATGGAAGAGATGACATATGATAACTCGGTACTGTAGCATTGCTTCCATATCAGCAGCCGCCCAATGGAAATCTTCGAAGAGACGGCCTTTCTTCTATTTGAATCCATCAGTCGATGCCGAATGCACACTGATTCTATCACCAATATTATATGGTCGCTCTAAACTGGTGCATGTAAGTCCTCTCCTCGAAAGTACTAATCTCCACAAATCATGAAGGAGAAACGCTAGATGGCAGTAAAAAATGGCTCATAACTCCTAGTACTAATAGCACAAAAGGATCCCTTCTCCTCTCCCTAGATTCGAATTTATTGCTTTCAATCACAGATGTTTTAAAATAGTTGTTAATATAATTTCAATTAGCTGTTAGATCAAGAGTAAAAAAGGTTAGATATTGCAAAACTATAAGCTACCTCTGTACCTCTTTTGACCCGTCCTTCTGTCGTCCGTGGTCCTACCGGTACGGTACTGCAAGGACAGTATACTGTAGGGTTCGGTCTTCGCATTTCGGACAACATTCCATTTCCTCAGCGACGAAGAAAGCAAATGTTACTTGCAAGAACAAATCCGAAGCCAAGGAAGCTTTGGTCATGAAGAACCGAACCCAACAAGAATCCCGACAACAAGTCATTCCTTCGTTCATAAACTTCCCATCAGTTGAATATTTCGTATCCTAAGAGTATCATTTCATCATGAAGACCCATCACATTGCTTTGGGGGCATTCCTTGTCAATTGTTCCGTCGTTTTGTGGTACTCCATTCATCCTCGTGATGTGCAGAACGGCGAAACGCCAACCTTGGGGGAGGCCACACAAGCCTTCTTTGACCGTGAACAATGTTTCGACATTGATAATCGAGATCTCGATGAGTGCCAAGTCGAAAAGTTTCCAACAATGTTGCCTCCAGGCCTTCACCCCTACGCTCAGCATCACGACACTGACGAGGAAGCAACAGCAGAAGATATGGGAGAAGACCCCATGCTTGACCAAATGCCAACGGCCGATTTCAAAGCCTACAAGCGTCAAGACATTTCTTCCATGTATCAAGAACTACCTGGAACTAGAATCGAACGCACCCCCAAGTTCCAAGGACTCGCCGCCAAGATGGTCAACATGAGTCCTCAACGCTTGGACTTGACGTATGACAATGGAGAAGGACCTCCCGGAAGTATTTTGGCACACGTTGGGCCATTTGAAAGCGGAGGCACCTCAACATATCCCAATCATATGTTTTACTTTGTGAAACCAAAGACCAGGGAAGTTGTTTGCTCCATGAGGATTCGCAAAGGAACCTCTGTCTACTACTGCGATCCGTTCGTCGATACAGACAAGGAGGATCCTTCGGCTGGGGTTCTGTGGGGTCCTCCAAGATCAATGGATACCCTGATGGAACAGGAAAGAGATCTTTACAACGCTGCTCTATACAATCGTGAATTTGGAAGTCTCTACGAGGACTTTACCGGTTCACCATGGTATGGACAGTTTCCACAGGAACCGCCAAGACACCACATGCATCGAGCTGAATACTTTGGTCAAGAGCATACTGTTACATCTGCTGAATCTCACTTTACTAGCCTTCCACCAGATGATGAATTGTACCATGAGCTATCGGTGCAAGAAATGATGCGAAACGAAACATCTTCGATTCCATTCCAAGCATACCGCCAAGAAGGCAAGTTGAACATTACGATCAAGGCAGTCTCAGTAGCGCCTCGAATCTTTCAAATTGATGGCTTTTTGTCGGAGCTTGAAGTCGACCAGTAAGTACTCTGCACCATGAACCTTAACGGTACAATTGCCAAACTTCCATTGCGGCACTTGCTAAAACTTATTCTCTTTTGTTCTGCAGCATTATCGAATTGGCCAATCGAAAGACACTGCGTCGCTCCACAACTGGAAGTGGAGCTGATACACAAGTCAGTTCTGTCCGAACCTCCGAGACGACATGGCTCCCACGACACCACAGTCCAGTCATGGATGCCGTTATCAAGCGGGCTGCTGACGTTCTTAAGATTGACGAGGCATTAATGCGCTTCCGTCAACCTGGCGAACATCCGGACTTGCCCAGCCGTATCCCGATCAACGAAGACCTTCAAATCGTCCATTACAACCAGAAGGCTGAGTACACTACCCATACAGACCATGGTTACCCGGATACCCGACCAAACGCACCATCTCGATCCATTAACCTCTGTATCTACTTGAACGAAGGTATGAAGGGAGGTGAGACAGCATTTCCGAGATGGCGAAATGCTGATACTGACGACGCCATCAAGGCAGTTCCACAAAAAGGCAAGGCCATGATCTTTTACATGAAGAACCCTGATGGCAACCTGGACGACTTGAGCCAACATGCAGCCATGCCAGTCATTGAAGGCGAAAAGTGGTTTGCCAATTTGTGGACTTGGGATCCATTCCGCGAGTAGGAAGAGATCAGAACCAAATTGCGATCGACAGTGCATGGGACTCTATGCTTCGTTGTTGAGCGATCCAGAGGACGACCCGAAAAAGAAAAAATCATAGGAATGATTGACAGGAGCATTGCGTCCTTATAATGAATCATCTTGCAGGAAGAGGCATAGCCCTCATTTGAATCAATCTGTTGATGCCGAAAAACATTGATCCTATTACCAATAGCTCATGACTGGTAGAAAGAGATAGAATAGAAGTCCTAGAAAGTACCCTTTTTTAAATTTTCACCAATTTTCATGAATTAGATACCCAGCCTGCCAGCAGACGATGACTCAGTTTTTCTTCGATGAAAAAACTTTCTTGGATGGATCGCTTCAGCATCGGTTGGCGCTAGTGTGTTCATTAACGATGATTGAAACTAGGTAGGTATTGCAAGTACCAGGTACTTAGCACTTCGGATCTCAGATAATTTTAGGAATTGCAAGACTACCTTTTCCTCCGGTCTTCTCAAAGTCCAGCCGGGTTCTGTATAAACTCCGTATAAATTCGGTTTTGACCTGGTATTCGTTATTCTAAAAAAACCGAAGCCGAGGAAGCTTGGGTCATGAAGAACCGAACCCACAAGTAAACAAAGAAACACAACAACAACCTTCCTCTGCTCATAAAATCCCATCAGCTGAATATTTCATATCCTAAGAGTATCCTATCCTACTATCATGAAAAGTTTTCACTTCGCTTTGGGGGCATTCGCAGCCAAGTGTTCCATCCTTTTGTGGTCTCCCCTCAACCCTAGTGTCCACCAGATAAGGAACCATCACGTCGAAACGCAAGCCTTCCTAGAACGACAACAGTGTCTCGATATCGATAATCGAGATGAGTGCCAAGTCGAAAATGTTCCATCGATGTCGCCTCCAGACCTTCATCGAGATCTGGAAGAGTGCAAAAATGAAAAGTTTCCAACGATGTCGCCTCATGAAGACCTCCATCCAGCACCAGAGGAAGAAGAAGTGGAAGAAGATCCCATGCTTGAACAAATGCCAACGGCCAATTTCAAAGCCTACAAGCGTCAAGACATTTCCTCTATGTATCAAGAGCCACCTGGAAGCAGAATCGAAAAAAATATGAAATATCAGGGAATCGCCGCCAAGTTTATTAACATGAGTCCCCAACTGTTGGACTTGACGTACGACAATTCATATGGTCCTCCCGGCGGAGATATCATCGCACACGTTGTTCCAGGTGGGAGCGGAGGCACTTCAACATTTCCCAATCATATGTATTACTTTGTCAAGCCAGAGACCCAGGAAGTTGTCTGCTCCATGAAGACTCGCAAAGGGACCTCTATCTACTACTGCGATCCCTTTGTCAAGACAGAAAAGGATGATCCTTCGGCTGGCGTAGTATGGGGTCCTCAGTGGTCCCTTGACGTCTTGAATGAACAAGAAAGAAATCTCTACAACAGGGTCCTATACAACCGTGAATTTGGAGGTCTCTATGAGAACTTTACCGGGTCACCCTGGTATGGACAGTTTCCACAGGAACCACCAAGACATCACATGCATCGAGCTGATTACTTTGGCCAAGTGCACACCGTTGTAACTGCCGAATCTCATTTCACTAGCCTTCCGCCAGAGGACGAATTATACCGCAAGCTTTCGGTGGTAGAAATGATGCGAAACGACACTTCTTCCATTCCATTCCAAGCGTACCGCGAAGAAGGCAAGAAGAACATGACCATCACTGCCGTCTCGGTAGCGCCTCGAATTTTTCAAATTGATGGCTTTTTGTCGGAGGTTGAAGCCGACCAGTAAGTATTCGAAAGAACGATTGCCAAACTTTCAGTGCAGCAGTTGCTAAGACTTCCACTATTTTATTTCAGCATCATCGAATTGGCCAAAAGGAAGACAATGCGTCGCTCCACAACTGGAGTTGGAGCTGATGAACAAGTAACCGCTATTCGAACCTCCGAGACAACATGGCTTCCACGACACTATAGTCCAGTCATGGATGCCATTTTTAAACGTGCTGCTGACGCTCTGAAGATTGACGAGGCATTGATGCGCTATCGTTTGCCTGGTGAACAAGCCGGAGCTGATTTGCCTAGTCGTGTCCCCATTTGCGAACCCTTTCAAGTCAACCATTATCCCCAGGGCACCGAGTTCGATGTCCATACAGACCATGGTTACCCAGACACTCGACCAAACGAACCATCTCGATCCATTAACATTGTTATCTACTTGAATGAAGGAATGAAGGGAGGTGAGACAGCATTCCCAAGATGGCGAAATGCTGATACTGACGAAGCCGTCGCGGCAACACCAGAAAAAGGCAAGGCCATGATCTTTTACATGAAGAACCCCGATGGCAATATGGACGACTTGAGCCAACATTCTGCAAATCCACTCATCGAGGGCGAAAAGTGGTTTGCCAATTTGTGGACTTGGGATCCATTTCGCGAGGAGTAGAGATCGCAGAAACATGATCGAATAACGGGCCATCCGTAAATAATGAATAGAATACACGTATCACATACCTTCAATACCGGAATCAATCATGCGTATCATAGTTCGTATTCACTGTGGTGGATGGTTTGGGGTTGCTTCCGCCTTTGCCCATGCTTCCACCGCTCGCTGATACTTTTTCAGCGACGTGACTCCTTCACGTTGCAGTTGCTGGACAATGGACTGACTGACTCGGGCTTCGAATGCCTTTTGGGATAAGGGCAGTAGAGAGAGCAAACGTTTTGGGACACAGCAAGATACCAAGACATTGCCAAAGTAATGAATGCGAAAGGTACGAGACGACAAGTCTTCTTGCAAGGCCACTCGTGCAAGAGTATGAGTTTGACGACCAGGCGAAGCTGTGTAGAGCCTTCCATCTTTGATATGGCATTGATCGTCGAGGCCATGCGGGTGTTTTTTGTCGCCCACGACTTTTTGAAACAACCATTTCATTCCCTTGCTTCCATTGGGCAGGTAGTACTCTTTGATAAGGGTAAACTCGTAAAAGGGCAGTCCTGTTAGTGGCGAACGAAGAAGCTTGATTCCAGTGTAAGAAACAGCGTCAACTTTGAGGCCTGGCAATAGTGGCACAGTTGAATAGATGGCTACGATTTGATTGTTGGCGCTTCTGTCGGGTCTCTGGCTTCGTACTATTTTGGCTGCTTCGTCCCAAACGTCGAGTAGATCCGAGGAGACTGGAACTTCTTCCCAGGGATTATCGCCACCCTTGAATAATAGATCTCGATGTTTTGCTGATTGAAAGAATTCACCAATCCGGCTAAGAGACAGCTGCCGATCATCTTGAGATGAAAAGGGAAGTTCTTCAGTGTGTTCGAATTCTCCACCAAATTTAAGGTGAATGTCACCTTTGTTGTTAACTTTTTTCATCTTCTTTCTCTTGTGGGAAGTTTGTTTATCAAAACTGCTGAGAGTATTGTCTTGGTCGAACATCATGTCACTAAGATTGGCATCAGTTGAAGACGACGTGTTAGGTATCGTATCGATCGCCCCATCCTCATTTGTCTTTGCAGCCTTTGAAGCAGGGTGAGATTTTTCATCAAAGAACAAACCATGAATGGAAATGATTTGACAGGAGGTGAAAATGGCGATGAGTGACAGCTTCCGAATCATCATTGATTCTGAATATCTTCGGCGGAGCCGCAACGGGAGTGAGCAAATGCGTGCAGTGCGAGCAAGATATTCGTCACTTTCTGATTCACTGTGAGAGGTACTGGTAAATGTAGTTGCTAATGGTATATCACAATTTTGATGATGAGGGTCATAATATCAAGATGATGAGAGGAGACACAATCACACGAATGATAAAATGTTGGGGAAAGCGCAAGCAGATGTTTTTTTGGACACGCGCGGATGCGTTCGTTTTAGTCCGAACAACGATCCATCCGACTAAAACCAAAATAACGCGCATAGCATCATCTGAAAGGTGCGTCGTTCGCGTCTGAGAGCAGCTCGATGAAGGATACTCAACGGTTGTTCAATTGATGAAGGGGGTACGGCGAACGATATCTTCCACTCCAACAACAAATATCCACAAAAGCAGTATTACCACCAGCACCAGCCAAACTTGACGTCCACAACAGATTAGAACCGGACGACGACCACCATGGTACTCAAGACATTCTACAACAGGATACGAAAAAGCATACCACGTATCAGGACATCCAAGAAGCACTCCACACTTAGCACAACAGAAGGCAAGAAGCAACCACGTCATGCCAAGAAACAGCAAGACAACATCCGAGATGATCCTCCTCCTTCTCAGCCTAAGAACAAGTCTCCAGAGGAAGAACTAAGAGAAGAATACCAAGAGTTGATTCGAACTTCGTACCGAATGGTGCGATGTTTGGGAGATGATTTGGAGTCGAGCTTTGGTTCGTCATATGTATCTGGTTACCGATACAGGGAGCAGACTGAGGAGGATATTCTGAAGAAAACTTGGTCTGACCACAGCAAGGTCATTCCTCGAACATCCAATTTCGCCGCCCAGAAACCCATCGAGGTGACCCACTTGTTGGATGATTCCGATGACGAAAGTTTCGGATTACACTTTGCCAATATGGCGGCCACCGTCGAGGAAGAAGAGGCCAAGGATGATGCCGAATCTCGAGAAAGCGTGTCCGTGTTTATCAACATCGACGATTGCCGTGATACTGATTCTCTTCGCCTTGGCGCTTCGTCCAAACGGGATGAAGATCAAGACATTTACTACCGAACAAGCAACCGAGGGTACTTTTGAAGCAAAAATCACGATAGGGGTTTACCTCGAAAGCAAAAGTTTCATTATGTTCCTCTCGACAAAGCTACAGTATAATGGAGGCTACGATTCTTTATGCAATGAGAAGATATTTGCAACAAGTCCGTTGGTACCACCTTCGACTTGTATTCTTTCAACATGATCCGATGCCTGCATATCATGTGGCTGTGTTTCCGAACACATCCACGCAAACAACACCATAGCACTCAAAATTGATGAATCTACTGTATACATAATCATATACTAAGATCGTCATTTAATTTCAGCCTCTTTTGTCACATCCTCGCTGGGGTGGCTGCTTTTAGGAACAATCTCGGATTGTGTACTGTGTGAAAGTACAACAGTGTCAGGTGTAGCGGTGCAGGATATAGGGTCTGCAAATGGTGAGAAAAGCAGACGTACAATACAGTAGCTGAAACTAAGAACAAATATTCAGTCGACGGATGGTGAGTCGAGCAACACCAATTGGTCCACTGATATGATCGTCAACAATCTGACGAGTCGGAAAAAAAGTTTTCAGGGATTGCGCAATTTGCATACTTCCGGTATTAAATTATTTCCCCCACCCCCGATATTGAGTTTTGGATCGTCGATTTATTGCCAAGAATACAACACACTGTTATTGTTGTTGTTGTGTGCACTATATTGTCCATTGCATTGCCTTTCCTTTTCACAACATAACGAACCTTATTTTTTCGAATGGCAATGAGATTGCTCACCAGCAGCAGCAGGAACAGTCCCAATAAGTCAGCGTTATCCTCCCGGTTTTGGAAAGTATCATCATCCCTCTTTTGCACTCTTGCTACTCTGAGCACCCGCCCGAATCCTACACTTGCTCTATTACAGCAGGTGCCTACATCAGTGTCACGGCCTGCCAATACTCTTCATCATCATTATCATCATCATTCCACCAGCAATCATCAATTATATCGACAAATGGTGTCCAGTAGTAGCAGCGATACTGCCGAACCGACACCAACGACCACGACCACCAGAAAGGGTCTCTCCCCAAGAGTCTTGGAAACTCTGGACCCATGTGTGGTTCTGATGAAACAATTGATTGGTCAATATTCGCATCTTTGGGAAGACAAGGGTGGCATATTCAGTCTGGCACAGGGAGTCGTCTACTGGGAACCACCCAAAACGTGTCAAGAAGCGTTACTCAAGGAAGTCAGCAAGCCCAGCAATTTGTTGCACACCTACGGTCCGGCCCAAGGCATTCCCGAATTGACGGAAGTTTTGGAACAAAAGATTGTTGAGGAAAATTCTTTGACCAATCACGACATTATGGTGACGGTCGGTGCCAATCAGGCCTATATGAATGTCGTTCTAACAACACTCTGTGATGATAGCAAGGCGGTAGTTTTTGCTCCGTATTATTTCAATCACGTCATGGCGCTTCAAATGTGTTGTGGGAATGACAGTGTGGTCGTCGGACCCTCGAGCTCGGAAGGCATTCCCGATTTGAAATGGTTGGAAGAAACCTTACGCAAACAATCCATTGATATGGTAACCATTGTCAATCCTGGAAATCCAACGGGAGTATCCTTGTCCAAATCCTTGTTGCAACAGGTGGCTGATTTGTGTGAGCAATACAATGCGTGGTTGGTCTTGGACTGCACCTACGAATACTTTACACTTGCACAAGAACATCAACCCATTGCTACCTTTCCAAATGCCCCCCATGTCATTCACATTTTTTCGTTATCGAAATCGTATAGTTTGGCGGGATATCGATGTGGGTACCTTTGTTTGCACAAGGATGCCAAAGTGGTGAACACAAATTCCAATTCATCATCATCATCATCATCATCATCATCAGCATCACTTCTGCTCCACAACATGATCAAGGTCCAAGACACTGTCCCCATTGCACCACCTCGCATTTCTCAAATTGCCGCCGTGGGAGCCTTGCAAGCGGGCAAGGAGTGGGTCCGAGCACAATATGCCACTTTGGATCCCAGTCGGCAACTCATTTTGGATGCGTTGCGACCTCTCGAAATCATGGGTGGTTCGGGTGCCATGTACGTCATGGCCCAATTGCCAATACTACCGGAGGATGATTCTGTGAATGGAAACAAGGCACCGGTAGTGATGGACGATGTGGAGGTTTGCCGTAGACTCGTGGAGGAATATGGAATTGCCATTATTCCTGGAACCTATTGTGGATTCCCCGGATGGGTCCGAGTCTGTTATGCCAATTTGCCGTTTGCCAAGTGTGAGATAGCAGCCAAGCGACTACAAAATGGTATTCAAAATATTGTGTTACAATAGTAGTAGTAATTGTTGTAGTGTAATAAAAAACTTGTATTTCCTCCTTTTCTATTTCGTTCTTCCTTGTTCAAAATTGGAAGAAAACAAAATGCAAAATGATAACTTTCATGGCGGGCGCATCCTTAGACCGCCACCGGGGCAAAATCATCCGATGCGGTGTTGGGAGCGGTGTTGGCAATGAACTCTTCCTCCTCTCCGAAGAAAAAGCCCAAGGAATCAGAATTGCTGGGAAGCTCATCAATGGTCCCCATGCTCTCTTCTCCATCATCCAGACTGATTTGCTTGGCAGCTGATGATGATGCAGAAGAGTAAACATTAGACAGGCCACCAACTGGCAAGGTAAAGCTGGGAATGAAATGGTTGTAGTGTTGCATGGTCTTGGTAGTAGTAGTAGTAGTAGTAGTACTGCTGTGTTGTCTTGGTACTCCTTGTGCCATGCCAAGACTAATGACATTTGCAGTATTATTCATACCACCAACACCACGATTCATGGAAGCTTGTTCTGGCAGAAGTTTCAGGGGAGCAAACAAGGGACTGCTCACATCAATAGTAGCAGCCGCTTCTACTGGCGCAGTATTAGTATTGATATTGGTATTGTCGTTGCTGTTGTTTCCATTCAAAATCATGGAACTGTGCGACGGGGATCCAAAGGACCTGGCCGGAACGCGGTTACTTCGTTTGATTTGAAGGCACAAGTCTCGATCATTTCGAATAAAGAGGGGATGGGAGTCTGTGGGATAATTAAAATGCGTGTGTGAGTAACATGATGATACTATTGTTGATGTTGCTATTGTTGGTGTTGTTGTTTACTTACAAACTCCTCGAATCTTTCCACGAACCTCACGGGAAAAACCTGAATTCGAAAAAGAGGTCCCGTTGTGATTGTTAGCAATGGAATATTTTTATCAATCGATAATACTATAGAATAGTATCATTCCTTCCTTCAGCAAACTTACCATATAGATTCATTTGGCGTTGAAAAGACTTGTACTTCGTTTGACGAAAGTACTGTCCCATGATGGATTCAGCAAACTCCTTTGGTTGGAAGATTGTGAAGGACCTTCCTTCTGGATCCCACGCCAAAATGCCTGCTTGCGGAGTGTGTTCCACATCGTTCAAAAGTCGGTGTAACTTCAATGGGAATGGTTCATCCATCCTTCGAACAGGGTTTTGGTGTTGTTCTTGAAGTTCTTGATGTTGTTGTTGATGATGATGCTGTATCGACATTGCTTCCATCATGGTGATTCGCTCTGGATCGAATAATATGAAAAAGAGAATAATATATTGTGATGATGAATCAATGTGTTAGTCTTTCTTCTTCTCAAAACTTTTTGTCAACGATTCTTTCGGAAGTTTGGACTGATATTCTTTTTACCAGATGTTCTCACTCAACAAAACACCGAAGATACCACAGTGTTGTTAAATAGGTACATCGTTGGCGGTTTGGGTTGGTCCGTAAAGGGATAGGACCACTTTGAACCCACTTAAGAGGAGTACATCGTATCCTACAGAAATTTGGATGATAAATCGTTGTTTTCCATGCTTTTTCATCATAAGTAAATCCCGATAAATTTGAATGGACATTCATATAACGAACAGGACATTGTGGTCGTTGATTTGATAAGTACTAAATCAGAATGGAGGGTCAAAAACCGAACTGGGATTGTCCCTATCTGGCAAACTGAGAATGGTGTCGGGAAGAAATATCAAAATAGCGTTTGCTTGCCTGGCGCGCGAGGTGTACCGGAAAAATAAGAACAAACTGTGTCGGATTCTGATAAATCTTAGATCAGATACCTTGAAGTTTCTCGACGATAGGGGGCAATTTGTGACGCAATCCAACCGAGGGAGGTTATCGTTTCGCATCAAGTACCGCCGGTATGATATATGGTTCATGTCGCAACCAAAACGATGCGCGGTTTTCGTTTCCCATGTGGGTGATGATTTATAATGAAAGGTTTTGATGATAGAAAACGTATCCGTTCACGTCGCGTTTGAAGCAACCAACGAAATCCGCATCCGTTAACGCTTCGGCGGCATTCTTTGGTGTCGATACCGTGTTCCCGGTACTGTTCACACTACAATACACGACTCCTCAAGAATAACTCGCCCCTCCCCCAACGCAACAATGGAAAGCCCCCCAACCCTATATTGTAGTATATTGTTCCGCCTCCCAAAGATTGCCCCTCCCCTAAATATGGCCACGTCGCAGCCGTACAGCATGAATATTCGAACGATTATGCGATGAATGAAAATGAAGGAATGATATAATGGTGGGATCAAATATTATAAAATAAAATACGCAAAGTATACCGTATAATATTATAATAGATACCCATCGTCATGGATCCAAGCAAGGCAGTTCCATGGCAAGTCGAATGGAAACGTCCGAGATGGAATCAAATATCATCCAAAGGGGGATCTGCCAAAGGCGATGATGATGTTGTTGTTGAGAAGAAGCAACAAGGCAATCATAGTCCTACTACTGCTACTGCCACTGCTACTGCTACTGCTACGACTAATAATAATAACAATATCCATAATACTAATAGTATTATTGTCGGATCCGCATCCTCTCAGGTCGATTTGGACGAGTTGCCGGCGACTTCGGTCGTCTATTCCGAGTTGGTTGCAGCATCAGCAGCAGCTACGGAATCACTAATGCTGACCGTCACCTTGTTGAGTCGACAGCCGGTGAATCAAATGAAGAAGGATGCTCATTCTACTACTACTACTGCTGCTGCTGCTGTCGCTTCGGAATTGCTGTTGGAACTACATTCGTTGCCCGCCACTACTTTGGATAACAATGATAATGTCACAAACGATGATGAGACAAATGATGACGACGATGGTGACGAAAACAAACAGGATTCATCCAAATCCTCCTCATCATCATCATCATCATCGTCACGGCTGTTGGCATCCAAAAGGTTGCAATGGCCAGAAGCAGTCTTTGATGATGCAATTACGACGCAAGACGAAATAATAATGGTAGATCAAGAATCGGAAGAGAAAAAGGAAGACGACGACGACGACGAGGATGATGATGATGAAAATGAAAATGAAAAGGATGATAACAATCATGATACTGCAAAAGAATCATCCAAAGGAGGAGGAACATCATTATCATCCTCGCCCAAGAAGAATAAAAATGCACTGTCCAAATTACAAGATTGGTTTACACTCTCACCACTCATGGGCAAATTGGAAAGAAAGTCCAAGGCGGAACAACAAGCATTTTTGGGAAATCATAATCCAAATGGATTGCTTTCGGCCGTTTTGATACGGAGGCCCAAACAACAAAATGGCGGTGCTAATGCTAATGCTGGTGGTACCAAAGAGGATGTCATGGATACCATTGCCTTGATGAGTCTGGGCATGGCGGCTGGTAATAATGCGACGGCACCATTCGGACAACAACAACAACAACAAAAACAGCAAGTAGATGGAGCATCTGCATCACCATCCAAAAAGGAAAAGATGCCTTCAAGTACTAGTGGTAATGATGAAAACAGAACGTCCAGAAAACAAAAAGACGACAACGGCAAGGATGAAAGCGATAATGAAGAAAACGAAAAAGACACTGCATTACCCGATCTTTATTTGGCCTGCATGACGGTTCGTGGACTGGTGGCCATTTACTCTCCTTGGACGTTGCTTCAGCTGGAAGAAATGAAAGCTCCGACCTCCTCGAATACAACTGAAACGAATGAAGTGCGTAAGAAGAAGAATATTGAATTCGTCGACAGTCTGGCGACCTTGTTTTTGGGACAAGAGATTTTCGCAGCTCTGGAACAATCCTGGAAGCCATTGTCGGAGCCCCTATCGACCATTTCGTTGAGTATTCTGGAACAAAACCAAGTGTACAAGCAACGGCGGAAGCGTCGTCGAGCCCTCGATGTGAGCCTATGGAATCATTTGGTGGAATCGGCAACGATACCCCATCGGACCGTGGCGAATCGGGCACAAACGTTGGCCGTGGCGGGGCCGTCCTACTTGGCCGTCTTTGGATCGGGAATTCCATACACACAAGTCTTTCGACATGATGATGAATCTACCATGGGAGGTGATCCAACTCATCTCCAATCTGTGGAGCATCAACAGATGGAAGACGACGATGGATGGTGGGATCAACAGCAGCAGCAGCAGCAGCAGCAGCAGGATGGAAAACGCAAAAGCGAGGAAGTTGCTTTTCTGAGACCACGAATCGACTCCAACGGGAGCAATTGGTCGCAAGAGAATGATGACGACGGCAGCGTGCCAAAAGTAGAGCTAATATCGGGACCAATTCAAGAATGGGTTCGTCGAGATTCGGATCTGGATGAAAATGCTGACAAGGAAAATGAAGACGAAGCAAAAGCAAATAAAAAGCTGAAGAAATGGTGGCAACGGAAAGGTTCAAGTGCGGATACGGACGACCTTCCTCTGAGTCTTTCGACTGGTGGTTTTATCACCTTTTGTTCGGTTTCGCAATGGTCCGAGACGAGGACACTCTTCTTACCATTTGTGCCGAAACAGATTTCCTATATCCCAGAGTGGAACTCCATGGAAATTGTCTTGGTAATGGGTCAGACACAGGCCATTGCGGTTCGTTTGGACTCATCACAAGTCCCAGTAGTAATTGGGAATGTGACGGATCAGCTGCAACGAAGCGTTGTGGATTCTATAGATGACAGTTTGGGAGCACAGACGCCTGTCAAAAATGAGAATTACATGAATATCAAGCGATTTCAGGTCCTGCCAATTGCCATTCCACATTCAACAGTGTCGTCTTGTATATTGTGTGGGTCGGCTCCTGGAGTGCAACCACCTTCTTTGTTGCAATTGTTTACCGAAGAGACACATCATGGATTGGTGCTACAAAAATCGCTGAAAGGGATCACAGCTTTGGGGACGATTGAGCTTTCATACGCTCCCAGCGATGTAGCGAAAATTCATGTTGGCGAAACCGAGTCGCTTTCGTCGTCGTGGTCTGTTCTTGGGCAGGTACGAAGATCAAACTGGTGTGTTCAATACTCGGCCTATTTTGCTTACTCACCTGTCTCCTCCAGGGCTGGTCATTGCTTGGCACAAACGAGAACGTCTACTTTATCTGTTGGGAGGGAGCAACCGTTGCTGGTGGCGTTGCTTTAGTACATGTGTTGGATGCATCTCCGGTTTTGGCCTCGTCTCTTCCAACGTGCGTCGATTTCGTATCTCAGAGAAGACCATATATTGCCGATAGAGCATTCGAGATCAAGACCGATCTTATGGGTCCATACGAGAGTTTTGAAACAAAAGACATTACGAACGAAGCAACGGAAAAGGATGCAATCGATCGAATAGTAGTCGAAGCAATGGAGAGTGTATCTGGGTTCAGCTCACGATCGCAAATTGAAGACGACGATGAGATTAATCGCGAATCTCACGGCTTGTCAGAAGAAATGCAGCTTTCGAGTCGTGAAAAGAGTGTACGATTACTCAGCCGATGTTCCAGTTGGACGCGATTGGAGCACACGCTCGACAAAATGGAGCGCCAAGGTGAGTGAAATGGACTTGATACCTTTTACCTGTTATGTGAACTGCGCTCACAAATTTTCTGCATTTGTCATTAGTACACATCGTTTCCTTACGCTCGGGCAATGCACAAAGTCCACAATATACTTTTACGTTGAGGCAACTCTTTGTTGAAAATGGCTCAACTTCACCTTTTCACCAAGTGTTGTCCTGGCTTGCAGATCGAGGAGATTATTTCACTGCTTCGAGTATCGCTCTAAGTCTGTTGCAGGATGTCGAAACACTGTATCATCTTTGGACAACGTCGGACAAGATTGACAATACTGAGGAGCAAAACATGCTTGAAGGCTTGCTGGATGGAATTGAACCGATCGAGGAGTTTGAGGACGAGAACGGCACACCAAGTCCTGCCACGGTGCAGTTGGCCGACATGACTGTTGGCTGTCTTGCTAAAGGGGGGTTTGAGATGTCTTCAACACTTGAGAAGTTCCTACGAGAAAATAAGCTTTACGACCCTCCGAGAGCCTGCCTGATGCTTGTTTCAACAACTGCAAAGGCCTTATCTGATCACTATGAAAAAACAGCTTCAAGCAACAATAGTGTTGAGGAACTCCTTTGGCCTGTGCGAAGTCTGTTAGAAGCTGGCGTTGCAAGAGACTGCCTTCCTACCGCATTGTTGCTACTCAATAGTACAATCCCCGATGAATTGCGTGGCAGAGAACAGGAATCAGGTATCGCCATGATTGACGTTACCACAGCTCTGATTTCTGCCATCGTTGCTTCTGATAAGAATGCAGCTGAGCTGTTGTTGGATCTGATAGATGGCACTTCCAACCAAAAATACTGGCAGTCGCTGGATCACCAGACACAATTGGTGTTGTCATTGACCTTTGTCAGCGGAGGGTATCCTCTATTGCGCCATCGAGAAATTCGATCGTGGACAAGAGATAGGCTACACTCTTGCGTCGCTGATGAAGCTTCTCCAGAGACTCAAGATTTGCCATCTGAATGGCTCAAAAAGCTGGTTTCAGCGTGCCTTTCAAATGCAGGCTGCGATCAAGACGAATTTGATACTGGCACACCCAACGAAATTGAGAAGGGTTCTATGGACTTTGAGGACTCCGTGGACCACCATCGGCGTAGAATGCTGAAGTACAGGAAAAGTCTTACTCCAGTTCGAGGCAGAGTTGGAGTGGACTTTGATTTGCTCGTTCCATGCCTTCTCATCCTGCATCGCAGAAGGATCCAGTGGAACGGAGATGACTCAGATCAAACACAGTCCTTATTGGATGCAGCTTGCTATGTGGCCGGTCGCCATAGTAACGACCAGTTCGCGTTTGCTTTCGATAGTTCTACAGTGATGAAGCAGTGTGCAATTGCAGGAAACGTTAGAGCCGCAGCCAAGCTAATTGGGGGAGCCAACGGATTCGTGTTGCACTGCTCAGACATTCTAATCAAGCAGTTAGGTGTTTCAATGAAAGATGCCGAAGCATTTTTATTAAACGATGCTTTATCTGCAGATTTCCTCGATTCGTCCGGTGGGAAAGATGATTTCCAGTTGGGAGAAGCACACCGCTATCTTTTGCTGCTACTTGATGAGCATATACTGACAATACAAACCTACGGCGAGTTCGACACCGTTCATATTAGAGGCAGAGTCGATCCAGTATTTTCTTCCAGATCAATCTTGCGGTCATGGTTGTGCATCTCGTATGGTGACAAAATCAACAGCGTTGATTGGTTAGTAAAGTATCTGCGAAAGCGATTGAGAATGGATGGCGACGAGGGAAGAAGTCCATATCGTCTGCCTTGTGCTGCGCTTTGCCGCTCGTTGTTTTGGGCAAAAGGAGGCGGCACAAATGACTCACTCTCCGTGCAAATGGGTATGGACATAACATTTCTTGTGCACCTGGCTCTTTCTTGCTGTGGACTTGTTGAATCAATCCCACTGTCAATTGCAAAAGAAATATCGGCGAAAGCAGAAAAACCAAAGCTGTATTCCATGCCACAGGTCCAATTTCCGTCTGCATCAAGGCTAAAATAGAAGAATCTTATAGCTGGCTGGTTCTATTAACATCATCATCGTCTCTTTTGCTTTCTATCGACTTGCATTGCTATCCTTTCTCTGGCTGCGAAAAGTCATTGATATTTTCTCCCGAGCGTCAGTATCGTCGAGTCGGACCCAACTGATACCGTCGTCTTTCAAGAACCGACCTCCTTCTGATTCTATCTCTGCCATGACTTTGTTAGCTACAATACCCTTTGCTCCAAACATGTCGTTGGCATCGTACTCATTTTGCCGCTCTGCAACCATATGTCGGAAGCGAAGGTTCCCCACGTGATTCTGTACTCCCCGTCCCCTTCCTTTAAGCACATCTTTGTTCGTTGGAATCAGAACTCTGTGTATATTTCTTTCCTCGGTCTCTAGTCGCTGTTGGCGGCCCAACCACTTTTGGTGGGTTTCTTTCGTTGGCATACCATGCTTATCTAGCGGCAATATTCTTGCCTGTATGCCAAATGTTTGTAGCTTGTATACAACTTCGAGATTAGATCCTGCGTGAAACCAATTGAGTGAGATTTGCAATGCGATGAAAAAGTCCATATACGTTGCTTCAGCTCATATTCCATACTCACCAGAATGATGAAGGAGACGAACTCGTGAAATTGCATCCAATGTTTTGATAAATATAGCATGATAGAAACTGCCCCCATCCGTATTTGCATCGCATATGTGTGCTGCTCTGAACTTGAATGGGAGACACTGTTGGAACTTGGCTATTTGCCAAATGCCTATTCGGTCCAGTTGTGACCAATCCAGTTTTGCCAGGTAATGAATCACTACTAATCCATTCATGTTGGTCTCAATATCTGCGGAAGCGCTCATGATTGTATACCATGCCGCTCGCACCTACGTGTGCAGGTCAAGCAATAAGTGTCAGATGCTTCCTTTGTATTGTCCACGGTGATAAGAGTACTTATTACGGATTGATACATACCATGTCTTCTGTTGATGTACCAGAGTTTTCAAGTAGAGAGGGGAAGAACACAACAATCGCACGGCCAGCAGTATCTCGAAAGGGTAATACTTGAATGAACCCGAGCCTGACACTTTTTTGCACCTGAGTACTCAAGTCATTAAATGTGATGCGACTTGTCAAGAAGCCTGGACCAAAGAGTTCAAGCTTTGCTCGGAAGAATTGGAGCATCAACTGAGCTGATTCGGTTACATTCCAATCAGTAGATCTCAGAAAAAGTAATCGAAAGTCAGGGTTTATCGTATACTGAAGGTTTTGCGACTGAGCCATAGTGAAAGCCGACTTTCCTCTAACTATTAGGGAAAGTTCAGTTGACAAGGATCTTAGTTTCTCTTGCTGAAACTCCATCGATCCAGTCGTAACTTGGTTCACGCCGTGTATTTCAAACATCACCAGTTCCCTTTCCTGTCTTGACAATTGATTCATTGGTGACGGCATAGTGTCTGCCGCCATCTCTTTTTCATTCAATGCTTCATTTTTCAGTTTGGTGGAGAAGAACGGTGGTGTGCTTGTCCCTGAGGAGTTCGAAGTCGTATGGAAGCAATCCATTGTTGTCGTATTACAACATTGATCTGTTCGGATTTTTTGTGGCATAAATCACTTGATCAACACCAGTGGAACAAATTGAAAATTCAGAAGCAAAGCGACCTATCAGTTATCCCAGACTTGATATCTTTTGGCAATGGTATTCCACTTCGGCTCCGCGGAAGGCTGGTGCCAGTATCGTTTATTGCGATAAAGCAGGAGGTTCTCTTTGCGATCTTGGAATATCAACACGTAGATAGGTCGTGAAAATGCACCGTATTGACTTTTGAGATGGTCGTGACCGTCTATTCTGATCTGTCTTCTGTACTGCTAGAAACCTGTGGACATATTGGCATGGTAGCTCCTTATTGGCTCTTGGGGAAAATGTATTTCAGAAATGCAAAATGAGAATGATTCTACATCGCACACTTATTGGACACCCCCTCTATACACGCGGATGGAAATGTCTAAAAAAGGCGCAAGAACCTCTTACAGGAGGTTCTCCATGAGGGAAAAATCGCTCAAAGGAACTCATTCCGTCCTCTCAAAACATCTTCTCTGCCTATTCGGTCGAAGTACCAAGGTACTGCTGCCAGAATTTTTGTTCTCGGCAGACATTTTACGAATACAAACATTTATGCGTTCATTAAAGAGGCGCGGCGTTACCGCTCCAAAATGTCCTTCTGCTGAACTTTCATTACGATGGTGCGGAACAGTGGGCTCCCGCCCACATCATGAGCCCATTCTTTCTTCCAGAGTTTTGTCCAGGTAATAATTGACTGGTCCGAATCCTAGGCTTCTGACTGACTCCTTCGAGTAAACTCGCCCAAGAAAACGACGAAATATACCAACACACGACCCCTCCGCCAAAAACAACTTCCGAGACGTATATGTGATGCGGAAGAGGAGCTGCTGGAATGCTGACCGCACCCCCTAGTCAAGAAAGTTGCTGTACCTATCTAATTGCCTCCACCAAAGTAAAGAAAGCAACGAAATATTTAAATACATTGAAAGTGAATGAAATCAAGGGATCATGAACAACCATTAGAACTTATTATATTGAAGAAGCGATTGATTGATCAAATAAAGCGACGACAAGAAGAAGAAGGACAAGCAAGATGAGCTCGGCACCTGCATGGAAAAAGGCAACAGAAAAAGAGCAGTCAGTTGTTTACCTGGAGGAGGAGGAAGATGATATTGCAGCCTTGTTCTTTGGAGATGGAGGAGGTGGTGCCACGGATGACAACGATAGTGAAGAAGAGGAAGAAGATGCCGCAGCCTTATACTTTGCTGAACAAGAAGCAAAAGCCAAAGCTGATAACGAGGGGGCACAAGATGACGAATCATCATCCTCGTCATCCTCGTCATCCTCTGATGATGGATCCAATGACAGTTCATCTAGAAAGTCTGACAACTCTGGATCTTCATCAGGTGATGACGATTCGTCACAGAAAGAAAATAACGACGACGCCAGTCGATCATCTCACAGTAACTCGAGCAGGGGCAGTGAAAATGCTGGGAATTCTGCCAGTGGGAGTGACAGTGATGATCGCAGCCAACGCAGCGATGGTTCCAGTCGAAGCGGCAGTGGAAGTGAAGAAGAAATAGAACTATCAGAGGACGACGACAGAAGTCGGAGTGATGAAAGTAGTCGTCAGAGTGATGACGAAAGTAGTCGTCGCAGTGACAGAAGTGAAAGGAGCAGTCGTAGCGGGTCACAAAGTGAGAATGATGATGGCAGCCGAAGCAAATCTAGTGATAGTGGTAGTGAAAGAGATGATAGTGGTGACAGTGCCAGTGACGATGGTAGCCGAAGCACTCGTAGCAGTCGCAGTAGCACGAGTAAGAATGACAGTGACAGCGATAATGGAAGTCGAAGCAAAAGGAGCGATGGCGATGGAACCAACAGTGACGCCAGTAGCAGATCAAGCAAAAGTGGGAGCAAAGCCAGCGCCGATGATGAGTCTGCTCAGGGCAGTAATACAAGCAGCGATGATGAAGTTGAAGTCTCAAGCGATACCGGCAGAGACGATACGAAAGGCAAAGACAAAGAGGAAATTAAGGAGGAAGAGAAAAGGGAAAATGCAAAACCAGCTTCTACTCCCGCACCATTTCCAAAACCTATAAACACAAAACCGGTGAAATCGTTTCCAAAGGTTGCAACTACGATACCGACGACCAAAGCTCCCGATGTCAAAGCAAAACCAGCTTTTATAAAATCAGAGGATGGTCTGGCTCCATGGCAAAGTGAATTGAAAAAGCGGAAAGAAACGGGCGCATCACTTCCAGGATGGAAGAAGCCGAAGAAGGAAGAATCGACTATATATGTGGAAGACGACGAAGATGATATTGCCGCCTTGTTCTTTGAATCCGCAGGTGGAAAACCAAAATCTGCCAAGTTCTCAATTGGCGGTGCTGGTCAGAATACGACAGGTTTGGGCAATGATGATGATTTCGATGCAGCCGCCATGTTTCAATCTGCAGGAGGACAAGCAAAAGCTGCCACAGAACACAGCAATGAGGATGACGCGGCCGCCATGTTCCAATCTGGGAGACAAACAGAAGCTGCCGTGGCATACAGCGATGATGATGACGCGGCCGCCATGTTCCAATCTGGGGGACAAACAGAAGCTCCCGTAGCATACAGCAATGATGATGACGCAGCTGCCATGTTCCGTTCTACAGAACCAACAAAAGCTGCTGAAGATAGCTTCCAGAATCACATTGAAAGTGATCCCAGCGAATATGCCACTGCACAAACTGAAAATCAAGAGCCAGATCCTATGCCTGCGAATTCTGGGGATGAAGAATTTGTTGAAGTCTGGGACGACGAGGGCGATGCTGGGGACGAAGAGGTGCTGGAAGAAGTGGAGATAGTTGAAGATGTGGAAGAAGACGGCGGAGCTTATACTGAGGAGGAAATGATAGTCGAAGTCGAAGAGGAGTTTGTCGATGACGAGACCGTCGGCACCTCCAATGAGCAAGAGATAGAGCGTAGATTTGCACACAAAAGCGCATATGATGAAATGGATAAAACTGAATCACAAATGAGGAACTATATTGCTTCCCTTGCCCATGGCGAGTCCGCTCGATCTCTTCATTCTGATCAGTCATCCGTTCCATGGGGTATGCCCACTATTGGTGATGACGATAATGCGACCCGCTACGCAGGTTATGTTCAGGCAGCAAGAGAACGGCGAATGGATGACCAAAGTTCCTTTTTCAGGCCAGACGTGGAAATGCCCACCGATAATTCGATTGCTGACACAGAAACTTTTGCATCATCCGAGCAAAGGTCAATTCCATGGGGGTTGGAAGTTCGAGAGATAGACTCCTGGGCAAATCCTGTGAGACGGCTTCAGCCAACGAAAAAGTCTGAAGCGAAAGAAGACACCGACACGATCAACAAAGAATCAACGTCAGTTTTAAGCACGAAGAGTAAAAATGCCGAGACCGCTCCAACCATATCTAGAAAGGCCCCAAAAGGGAAGAAACGGAGGGCACCGACAGGAGTTGGAGAAATGGTATCCGCGGAAGTGTACAAGACTAGCGTTCCAAACCCTGAACGCGAGACGGAGTTGTGGTACCATCCAGGATTCGCATTCCTTTCACAGAATCCGAACATGGGGCCATATTATGCTCCTCCTCCACCGAAGATATCTCAAAGCAATAGCATGAATGAATCCGAAGGCACTGACAAGGCGATAGTCTCGGATCTAGAAGTTGCCCAGTACATGTACAATACGAATGTGCCAGCAATTTCCAAAGTTACCCTTTTGTCATATGGGCAGGAAACGATCAGTCAGTGGAACAAGTTGGATAGTTTCGGCCGGCGACGCGACGATCAGTCACTTTCAACCAGCAGCGAATCAACTGAAGTGAAACTGCCTGATTTGAGCAAAACCATCATGCGTACCGCTTCGGCATGGACCCCCAATGGGAGAGATGATTCTGAGGCGTCCAGCGAGTCTTTGTCATACGATATGCTAGTTCCTTTTGACGACGAAGGCAGTGACGAAGATAAGAGACGGAATGTTGTATTTTCTCGATCTGGCAGCAGTGTATCAATCGATTTGGAGGTGGAAACTTTTGAATATGTGCCTGAGAGTTCTCTGAGTCTTCGACCTGAAAGCGAATCAACCCTTGAAAGTTCGAGTGTGAAGAGCACTCGTGGTCGTTTGCCATGCGGCATATACGGCTTTGTGTCATGCTGCTTCTTCCTAGTTTTGATACCGACAACAGTTGCTCTCGTATTGCTCATGACAGGGCAAAACAACGAGGTGGCACCAAGGACGACGAACAACAACTTCACCTCTCCTACTGGAGCACCGTCAATGGCGCCAACGCTTCTCAATGAAATAATGGAGGACACAAGTGATGCCCCATCGTCTGGTCCACCACTGCCAACAATGCAGCCTACCGTTTTTGATCCAGTAGTTGAGGAACCAGTCACAGAGGATCTTCTATTTCGACTACTGGCTTCTGCGTCGGTGGACAATGGAGAAGCTCTTCGAAATCGGCGAAGCCCCCAATTTGCAGCAATGGAATGGCTACGTACTCCAGCTGGATTCAGTGGCGTCTCAAACGATGCCGTTTTTTTGCAACGGTACGCACTGGCGACATTTTATTATTCCACATCTGGAGAGAGCTGGACAGAAAATGATTTATGGTTGTCCGAGGCAGATGTTTGCGAATGGTTCTCCTCTGGAGGAAGTTTACTTTGTAACAATGACGGCCAGGTCACTGCACTGACGCTAACAAACAATGGATTGGACGGAAATTTGCCCAATGAGATTGGAATTCTCTCCCGACTTGAGACGATCATGTTATCCGGCAATACCCAGCTGATCGGATCAGTCCCAAGAACCTTGCAAAACCTCTCCAATCTGCGAAGTATATTCATTGAAGGAACAGGACTGTCAGCTTTGCCACCAGAGGTATGCGATCTTCCGTTACAAGACTTTTGGGCAAATTGTGAAGAACTCGGCTGCACTTGCTGTAATGAATGCTTCTTTTAATTTACAAAAAAATATATATATTATGCATGTTACAATAAAGGATCTGACAGACAGAATCTAAAAAAGCATCCATGGGGAAACATAACAAAAAAGAAGAATAACAAAATGTAATGTTTACCATTTTGGGGGAATCAAATGCTGTATTCATATCATATCATGCATGCCATGATATGATTCGTGAAAACTGAGTTATGAGACAGACTTACTGTCATCTGGACCTTGGAGCTTTCCAACTCCATACACGGTATTTTTCTCGCACAGCCAGACGTCATTCCGTAGCAAGGTCAGTTGCTCCAACAAAAGAGTACCACCATTATCATTGCCCTTCATGTCCGCCACGAGCTGTGGAAAGACTTGTTTGTTGTAGCGTTCCACAAGTTTTTGAATGTCAGCCTGTGTACTAGTATTGGACAATTCCAAAGCAGCCCCTTGTTTCCGTACCACTCGTCCACAAGTAATGTGAATCAAATTCTTGGGACGGCTGGTGAATTCTCCCATGCCCATGACTTGTTTGGCATCTGTCACAATGTCGGTCTTGAGCTTGTCATAATAATTATTTCCAACACCACCATCATCATCATCATTGTTGTTGTCGTCGTCATCCACAAAGCCAGCAATCATGGCTCCATCCGGAGTGAGAATGAGCGAATCTAGTGTTAGCTGAATGGGTGAATAGCGAAATGTCTGTTTTGCCAAACTCTGGGCCAATTTGTCTCCATCATCATTCGTAAAGAAATAAAATTCGTCAAGTTCTTCTTGTGTCATCTTTGGAAGCAGCTGAGGATGTTCTTGAAATATGGCAATGGTGATGTGAGGGACCAAGGATTTCACCCAAAAGAATAACTCGTCATCGTCACCCTTGTGATTATTCTCATCATCATCATCATTATTACTATTATTATTGTGTTGCAAAGTAGTAGCGATGGCATTCAATTCCTCACAAAATTGATCAAAGGCATCGAGACAAGTTTGTACCAGTTTTTCATTTCCAGGGTGAGTATTTTCCCTCGTCAGTGCAAAGACTCCCAATGGTCCAGTTCCCTCGGGAAAGGTCGGAACTTGGAATGAGTTCTTACTACTACTAGTCGTCGTAGCATTGGTGTTCTCTTCAGCAGCAGCACTCAATGCCGAAGAATCCAAACAGCATTTGGCAAAGCCGTCGGAATCAGGCCATGGTTTGATCATGGATGATGTCTGTTGAATGATGGACGCATAGATATTGGACAATGACAGCTTATTGTCGTTCTGATCCATCATTGTGCTGCTAGTACTGGCCTGAAGAAGAGGATGATGATGAGAATAATAAAAAGTAGGACTGATGAGTGCCGCCGATTCTTTTAGTTTGATCAGGACTGGCAAAATAGAGCAAAGATAAAGAAGTTTTATCATCCATCTCATGTTCTGACTATAGAACCATGATGCGATATATGCTCTGGTTGTTGTTGCTCTGCTTTTATGAGTATCTTATTGCGGTATTGAAGTGTGTGGTCGAATATGCTTTTTATGAAATCGAATGAATCAATCAATCAATCGATCAATCATTTTTTCGTCACCCAAGATGAGCGTGCGTGTCTCTCTCGTGTCTCGACCTCAAATCCGAAAAACAATGCGCAATTTGTGTTCACATTGCTTATTCGAAAATCGGTAGATTTCAGTATTCAATCTTCACCCCTGCGATCAGAATATAAATGCAATAGGACCCTAACAATATGCGGCATGTTACAGTACCAGGTACGGTAGGACCCAAACAATATGCGGGCATATTACAGTACTGTACCAGGTACGGTAGGACCCAAACAATATGCGGCATTTTGCTCATCATATAGCTGTACGATGAACGAAGAGCACTCAAATAAATACGCGGCATCAATATAGATTGTCGAAAGGAGCACCAACACTCCTTCTCTCTTGTTGCAGAGTGAGTCAGTCAGTCACTCATCGTCGCCACTTACTGACATAAGAAAACCAAGACAATGGTTCGAGTCTCATCACTTTTCGTTTCGACGATCCTCTGGTGTTTGATGTTGGCACCTTCCCTTACTACAAGCGCATCGTCTTCGAGCACCTTCAGCTGTTCCAACGACGACGTATCGGCGCAACAGCAAGTCAATTCCAATGGATGTGCTTGCTTCAGCGAACAGATTGAACTACGAGAAGCCGTCAATCAGTTCATCAGCGAAGGTTGTTCTGACACCAACAATTGCAACAACTGGGTCGTGCAAAAGTATGGTTGGCCAATGGGATCCTGGTGTGTTTCTTCCGTCACCAACATGTTTCAATTGTTTTATGGACGGTCTTTCTTCAATGATGACATTTCATCATGGGATGTTTCATCCGTTTCTGTGATGACATACATGTTCTACCAAGCCACATCTTTCAATCAAGACTTGTCATCCTGGGACGTCTCTTCCGTCGTCAGCACATCTTCAATGTTCGAGGGCGCATCATCCTTTAATCAAGATTTGTCATCCTGGAATGTTTCGGCTGTCGGTCACATGGGGAAAATGTTCCATCAGGCATCATCGTTCAATGGAGACTTGTCATTGTGGGACGTTTCCTCTGTCACGTATATGTACTGGATGTTCTACGCGGCCACATCTTTCAATCAAGACTTGTCTTCATGGGACGTTGCATCCGTTACAGATATGGGAGCCATGTTCCACTCTGCGTCATCCTTCAATCAAGATTTATCAGCGTGGGACGTCTCTTCTGTCAAGCAGATGTACTGGATGTTTCAAGAAGCGTCATCCTTCCATCAAGATTTATCAGCGTGGGATGTTGCATCCGCCACAGACATGCAATGCATGTTCTACGGGGCACACTTGTTCAATGGAGACTTGTCATTATGGGACGTCTCTTCTGTCAAGCAGATGTACTGGATGTTCCGAGACGCGCCATCCTTCAATCAAGATTTATCAGCGTGGGATGTTGCATCCGTTACAGATATGGCATTCATGTTCCACGATGCGTCATCCTTCAATCAAGATTTATCAGCGTGGGACGTCTCTTCCGTTACAAACATGCGACAGATGTTCTCGTTTGCATCTTCCTTCAATGGAGACTTGTCATTGTGGGACGTTTCTTCTGTCCTAGACATGCAATACATGTTCAACGAGGCATCATCGTTCAACGGAGACTTGTCATTGTGGGATGTTGCATCCGTTACAGATATGGCATCCATGTTCTACTCTTCGTCATCCTTCAATCAAGACTTGTCAGCGTGGGATGTTTCATCCGTTACAGATATGGCAGCCATGTTCTACTCTGCGTCATCCTTCAATCAAGACTTGTCATCATGGGACGTCTCTTCTGTCGTCAATACATATTCAATGTTCGGTGGCGCATCATCCTTCAACCAAGATTTGTCATCATGGGACATCTCTTCCGTCACAGACATGCAATTCATGTTCTACCGGGCATCATCGTTCAATGGAGATTTGTCATCATGGGACGTCTCTTCCGTCACAGACATGGCCTTCATGTTCTACGAGGCACCATTGTTCAACGGAGACTTGTCATTGTGGGATGTTTCTTCTGTATCTAAAATGGGGTCCATGTTCTCCTGTGCGTCATCCTTCAATGGAGATTTGTCATCCTGGAATGTTTCTTCTGTCGTTAACACCAAGAATATGTTCGACGGGGCATCATCCTTCAATCAAGACCTATCATCTTGGGATGTTTCGTCCGTTACAAATATGGCATTCATGTTCAAATTGGCCATTTCCTTTGACCAAGACTTGTCACCCTGGAATGTTTCGAAAGTCAAGTACTCGGAGGGAATATTTCAAGGAGCTGTTGCTCTCGATGAATGTATCGTGTGCCAGTGGAGTGATGCTTGGAAGAGACATTTTAACTGCATTGGATGTGAAAGTCCAACCAGTGCCCCGCCAGCAAATGCAACATTAAGTCCAACCAATGCCCCGTTCAGTTGTTCCAAGGACGACGTTTCGGCGCAACTACAAGTCAATACCAATGGATGTGCTTGCTTCAGCGACGATGCTGAACTACGAGAAGCCGTGGATGAGTTCATCAGGGACGGTTGTTCTGACACCAACAATTGCAACAACTTTTTCGTGCAAAAGTATGGTTGGCCAATGGGATCCTGGTGTGTTTCCTCCGTCACAGACATGGCCTCATTGTTTGATAACGTATCGGAGATGGGTTATTTGTTTAATGGATTATTTGACTTCAATGATGACATTTCATCATGGGACGTTTCTTCTGTGACTACAATGAGGGGCATGTTCTCATCAGCATTGGCTTTCAATCAAGACTTGTCATCATGGAATGTTTCTTCCGTCACAAACATGAGAGATATGTTCCGAGGCGCGTCATCCTTCAATGGCGACATTTCATCATGGGATGTTTCATCCGTTACAAATATGGAATCCATGTTCATGTCGCTATCATCCTTCAATCAAGACTTGTCATCGTGGGATGTCTCTTCTGTCACACAGATGCAGAGGATGTTCCGAGGCGCGTCATCCTTCAATCAAGATTTATCAGCGTGGGATGTTTCATCCGTTACAGATATGGCAGCCATGTTCTACGAGGCACCATTGTTCAACGGAGACTTGTCATTGTGGGATGTTTCGTCTGTATCTAACATGGGGTCTATGTTCTCCAGTGCGTTATCCTTCAATGGAGATTTGTCATCCTGGAATGTTTCTTCTGTCCTACGTATGCAATACATGTTCAGCAAGGCATTAGCGTTCAACGGAGACCTGTCATTGTGGGATGTTTCATCTGTTACAAATATGGTATCCATGTTCTACCAGGCCACATCTTTCAATCAAGACTTGTCATCATGGAATGTTTCGAAAGTCACGAGGGCGGATAGAATATTTGAAGGAACTATTGCTCTTGATGAATCCATCGTGTGCCAGTGGAGTGATGCTTGGAAAGGCCTTTTCAACTGCATTGGATATCCAACCAATGCTCCAGCATCAAATACACCAATTCCAACAATAAGTGGAAGCGCAAGTCCAACCAATGTCCCGATTTCAGATACTACATCACTTCCAACAATAAGTGGAAGCGCAAGTCCAACCAATGTCCTGATTTCAGATACTACATCACTTCCAACAATAAGTGGAAGCACAAGTCCAACCAATGTCCCGATATCGGATACTACACCAATTCCAACAATAAGTGGAAGCACAAGTCCAACCAATGTCCCGATTTCAGATACTACATCACTTCCAACAATAAGTGGAAGCACAAGTTCAACCAATGTCCCGATTTCAGATACTACATCACTTCCAACAATAAGTGGAAGCACAAGTTCAACCAATGTCCCGATATCGGATACTACACCACTTCCAACAATAAGTGGAAGCACAAGTCCAACCAATGTGCCAATTTTGGATACTACACCAATTCCAACAATAAGTGGAAGCACAAGTCCAACCAATGTCCCAATTTTGGATACTGCAGCAAGTCCAACACCTTTGCGACCGGAAGATTCAAGTGCAACGAATTCGAAATCTTTGTATGTATCGATCCATTTGCTGCTGCTCTTGCTGCGTTTTCAGGCATACTAAAGGTTTAGTTTATTTGTGGATGCAATGCCTTCTCCTAATACTAGGTACATGTTGTGAAATTTTAATTATTGCCTTTATACGCAGAGCACACAATAAAACAGCTCTTATTGCTACACGAAATGTGAGTCGAATGGAGATCATGGCTGATTTTTTTTTGCAGGACTATACCCGTTTCACAAACAGCCCAATAATCTGATGATGAAAAGCTCCATTAGTGATCATATCGGATCACCCTAGTGCTCACAGAGCTCAATCTCTCGGACATTCCAATCTTGCTTTGTATACTTTCGCTCCTCCATCAGCTTCAGACGGTGCTCAAGGGCATCACTTCGTTTCATTGAACCCCCAGCATGTTCTTGTTGGACAGCCACCTCTTTTGTGGATACGATACGCCGTTCTGGATTGACCAAGAAGAATACAATAATTCTTCGTTTCTTCTTGGTTTCAGTGTCCTTTGTAGTGGAAGTATTCTTCAGTTCTGTCACCTTGTGCACATGACTGTTGGGGAAAACCAACAATCGTCCAGCCAATGTCTCAACCTGTCCCAATGGCAACAAGCCATCCGAAATTTTCTCTTCGAGTTCTGGAGGACGGGTTTGATCAACACTCGAAAAGATGTACCTTGCTTCTTGCTTGTGAAATGCTCGCTTGAAAAGAATATCACCTCCTTCAATTTCTGCGTCTCGGTCAATAAAGTAGATTGCTGTGGCCACGATTTCTTCATGCGACATGCCCTCCACATGCCAAACCCCTTCGTAGCTTTGACCTGGACCAAGCTCATAGTCAACAATTTTTGTGATTACTTGTAACTGCTTACCTCGCAATGACACTGGCCTTTCTTCAATTGGTCCAGCTGGTTTGGGATTGTAATCCAAATCGTCTTCTTCGTCTCGAATATGGTCCTCTTTCACGACACGGCAGTATCCATAGACCGACTCGATCAAAGGCAATGCCTGAGAAAATAATTGACCTAACGAGCCATACAACTGTTCATGGTCTGAACGGGGCACCAGATTATTGATATAGTCACGGATGATACAGCTTCCGTCTTCGGCAATATCAAAGTAGGTTGGTAACCATTGGTACTTGGCACTTGCTTCGTACTCTCGACCCCAATAGTCGTTTGGTTCTAGCTCAATGCGATCATCTTCAGCAATGCTGGGGTCAAATGACAAAGCTTTGATTTCTTCTTCAGACTTGAGCAAAGAAGAAACACCCTTGACGTAAGAGTATAGTGCTGGATGGACAATATCCCGAACAATATTGTTGGAATGTGGATGGTAGTCAACAGCTTGACTTTCCAGCAGCAGACCAATCTGATCCATGAGATTGATGTGCAATGTCTTGGGTACAAAGTCATCGGCAATGGCAACGCCCTCTCGTACCGGCTGCTCTTGGCACTTGCTCCATAAAATGTCCAAAGGAAGAAAGGACTCGGCGGCTCCCCATTCCCACATTTCCTCTGCCAATCCATCGTTAAAGTTGATCGTCATAGGAACCTGGCATGACAGGCCTCCGCCTTCGTTCTCTTTCACATTGTATCCAACAAAGGTAGGATAAATGTGTGTTTCGTCCCTCGTTAAGTTTGGGTTTTTGTAGTCATCCACAAACGGATAAGCGCAATCTAGCTCCGTGTCGTCTTCCGGTTCCATTTCAATTTTGACCTTCAAGTATACAATCTTGGATCCACCAATCTCAACGAGCTTCGCTCCATGGTTTGAGGGTAGTCTCAACTTCAATATCACGGGTCGGTGTGTGTCGTAGTCGTCTTTGCTCATATTGATGGTTATTTCATGATGCTTAGCATGTTCCAAGTCCTGCAAACACAAGAACAGTCCTTCGGTAATACCATTGTCGGCCATTGTCACAAAGTCTTCAAAGGATTTGGTCTCGGTGATTCTCTGGCAGTAGTTGGCAAAGCGGCTAGCCTCGTCTTTCAAAAAGTCATAAGAATCTGACTTTTCAATTACACATTTCTTGCGTTGAGTACCATATCCACCGTCATCCTTGCAAAACAGTAAGGCGTCCGTAGTTGCCCAAGCTGCTTCATCCCCATTTGCCATGTCACCATCTTCGGCATCACCATTGCCTTCCGTTTGTTCGTCCTTTGGCGAAATGAAAAACTTGAAATCAAATAAGGATCTTGAACCAAACTTGTTGAAGTTGCGGCCAGCAAAACTGCCTTCTCCAAATTTGACCAGCTCTTCACAAAAATAATAATTATTCCTTGTGGCAGCGCAAATCTTGCGAAATCCAAAATCTTGCAGCACGTGCAATCGCACATTGGCATTCCATTCTTTGGATACCAATCGAAGATCCGCGAGCCCTTTGGTGTCTTCGATGACAAAGGAGAATATTTTTGCAATCAAGGCACCTTGATTGTTGAGCATCTCAGTGCCTCTAGAAGATAATGATTTCGGTTTGAACGTTATAGAAGGTGAGGCTTTCGCTGTTGTGGTGTTGGAGGCTGATTCAGTGATTGTTGTCTTGTTGCTGACTGAAGAAGATGAAGAAGAAGGGGGTGCAATTTGGGCTGGTGCTGTAGGGGAAGGTGCCGACTCGGGAATAATGGGTGCTGCTGCCAATGCACTAGGTGCCGCCTTTTTATCATTCGAAGTATCTATGGTTGTTTTATTGCTCCTGGCAGCAGTCGTGATCTTTAGAATCTTTTGCTGCTTCTGCTGAGGCGTCAAGGAAGTATCTTTCATGACATCCTGAATGGCCTTGCGTTTGGCCTTCTGAGAGTTATCTTCTTCGGGAACATTCATTGTAGAAACAACTCTTGGGCCATCAGTTGGTGAAGCTTTCGCGCTGTTGATGGTGCTAACGATGCGCAGTAGGTTCGGTCATTCTCTATTATATTTTACATGACATTCGTTTTGAAAAGATTTGGTTGCGGGAAAAGCCGTCATATGGCCCGCTTGCAAATAGTGTTTTGAAACGGAGAACCCGCCGCCAGTGGGAACATTCATCATACTCTATCATGGTACATACATATATTAACCTATATTATGTTGAGGAATTGTTTTTTATATAAATTTAGAGTTCAATACGAGTAATGAGATTGTTCCTTATTGCGTTTTAAAAAATGTTAGGACCGCTGGACACGCACATTGCTACTATAGTACTCAAGAATCGAGGCTGCTTCATTATCCAAGGTATGAAGTAATACCCATGACCTTGTAACTGTTGCAGTCAGCGCAAAGCTGACTGGAAACTCATATTGTCGCGTCATGATCGTGATCCTTCTACTACAAGTTGAACAGGGATACTGGCTGGTGGTCCTGCTGCCATATAGTGATTCGGTCATCAGCCTTCAAAAATCAAGTGACTGCTACATCATTGGTGTAACGATGAGTACTGTGGCAAGATTGAGAATCTTTTTCAATATGACACCGCCCAATAATGGGAGAACTGTCATCAACCCGAATATTATGTTTCCCAAGAACCATAATACGTCGTTGTTGGTCATGTATTCCGTAGACTGATCAAAAAGACAGCGACAAAGGAAGTTATAGGCAGGTCAAAAAGCATAAATCCCAGTTTTCGGTAGCACTGGGTGGCAGCCTTGAAAGTAGCATATCCAGTATGATTATTCATACCCAAGGCCGACTTGCGATAGATTCCAAGCAGCTGAAACATGCCGCCAGTAAAGGCACCTCTGCAATGACGCCGATTCCAGAATAGAACGAAAATAGATTTGGTAGAACCCAGTCGTTCTGTTTGGAAGAATTTTCGCTTGAAGTGGGTGCTCGTGTAGAGCGAGACGCAATGCCGAGTTGAGAATCAAGACTGTCAAAACGCCATAAGAGGAAAGGACGTCCAAGTGTTGAGATTTCTTGTTGTCCATATCTAAAACCACCTTTGTGGCAGCTCCACCACACGGAAAGGATGCTGCAGAGAAATCATTGGGAGTGCAATACCCTCGGCAAGAGATGCAAGTGGATGAAGATTCGGGAGGCCAGCAAGCAGTGATGTCATCATGAATCTGAGCCTTATTGTGGCAGCAAAGAAGACGACAACGAGGACAAGCTGATGCATAGAATGTGGGATTGCAAAACAGCGAGGCGAGGCTGTTGCTTCGGCGTAATCATGGTATTGGTTTCAGAACCTCGACGAATCCGTCATCTTGCAAGAGATGATTCATCAACCGCATGCATATAGTACGAGTACAAGACAATATAGTACGATAGTGAGAAAGCAAAGGGTATCCGCAAACTGTCAAAACTGCGTACCATATATACAAGCAATAATAAAAGCGCCTCCCACGCGCGGCCGAGCAGTTCTACTATTATCCTGACACAAACGTCATAATCCGATTGGATGAGTCTGGTCGTCGTACGATTGTTTTCGAATTGATGATGCTGACGAACAACAGACGCGCACTGAGAGATGCATGTTACAACAATAAACCTGTTACATTCAGTTGTGCGTTACGATAGCTTCATTGCATTGATATTGGCTTTAGAGTTTGCAGCTGTAGCAAAAAGACAAGGATTGCTTGATTCCTTCAAATTCAGACACAACTTTTCACCTACCACTATCAATACAATAAAATAGACAATGGGAAAGAAAGGAGGAGGCAGAGTCCGAGTCAAGCAAGTGGGCCCCAAGGGTCCAAAGGCGATGGTGAATCCTATGGCGGATCTTATGACACCGCCAGAAGATATGATCAACTTGCCGCCTCCTCCAGATCGGTCCTTTCAACTATTTTGGCCTATAAGTAAGTTGGATCATCCATACTTCGAGGGATATGCTGGTATTGGTACCACAGACGATGTGAAATCGGCGGCTGGATTACGTTCTCGTCTCAAAGTGCTTATCATGCTGCTCATATAATACACTCTACCATCCGTTGAAATTTGACAATCAATGCTAACATTTGCCAACATTTTTTTCTTTTTGAATCTTGTTTTTGTTTCAGGTCAAACCTTTTCCATGGATCCCGCTGGTTTCCAATGCATTTATCCCAGTTATCTAGATTCTACCAAGACTACCAGCAAAGGCCGCCGGATTGGAGCGGAAAAGGCGGTCCCAAATCCCACCGTGTCGGACATTTCGCAAGTCTTGCAAACCTTGAACATTCGACATGTCTTGCAACCAAACAAGGGATACTCCCGAGACATTGAAACCTTGTGGGACAATCCTGGACGGGTCTTGTTTGAACCAACCGACAGTTATTCCAAACGACAACTCCTCCTTGAAATTGCCTCCAAAATTGAAGCCTTGCCGGCCAGAATACAACGATTGGAACAAGAAAAGATTCAGGCTGAGATCGAACGCAAAAAGGAAGAAGAGGCAGCCTTGCGAGAAAAGCAGGCACAAAAACAACAAAAGCAACTACAGGCACAGCAGTCCACAAAATCAGGAAAGTCCAACAAGAAGAAGTCAAAGAAGAAGCGATAGGGACATTGGCCGGCTTTGTCTTTGGCGATTCGCTTATTGGTCAAGGGAATGGTCCTAATTTGAAAGCTCTTTGTTTTTCATTATGCAATCCTCCAGTTATCTGTGCATCATTTATGATTTACTTTAGATTACAATTCTCTAACATTGTTTGTTTGTTGTGTAAGCAATGATGTTTGCTTACAATACTTCGTTCCCCATTTATGATCATCTATTCTCTCCCATGATTTTTTTAAATTTCAGCCTTGGTTTTCGAGAATCGTCGCTTCATTTTCTTGAGTCCCTTGGATAGTTTCCGTTGCGACTTGCTGTGGCGGCGGCCTTGCTTTTTATCATAATGATTCAACAAGGAGCTGCGTGCCTCACGACCATACTCGCTATCATAGAGCTTGGCATCATTCTGTTGGTAAGGATATCCTCGATGATTTCTATCACCACGGAATAGATTGTTCTTGAAATCCGTTTCAAACCCCGACTCGGCATTCGGGTGGGGGGTGCGTTCTGGTGAATATCGAGTCTCATCGGCAGTAGTGGCAGTCTCGGTCGAGTTGTAAGACGCATTGAGGGCTGCCTTCTTTTGGCTGATGATATTGTTGGTGCTTTTATTTTTGCCTTGTCCTGGAAAGCCTTTTTCGAATTGGGCCCAACCAGTTCTATGGTCGCGAGTCGCAGTGGGGTCCACACCAAAGTCATCAAAGAGTTCATGCTCGTGTTGTGCTTGGGTTGGTGCTCTGCAAGCATCGTCGTAGCAACCGAGGGAGGCAAATTGGTCGCCCATTTGACAAAACATACCGTCTTCTTTTTCTGGTTGCTGCTGTTGTTTGGCCATTTTTGCTGCTTTGGACCGGCTTTTCTTGACAGTAGTTGGATAGTCGTCACTTTTCTTTGTCGTCTTCATTGGTTGGTTCGTTTCTTCCAGCTTTGCATATTTGGTTTGCACCGGATTATTATTAGTAGTAGTAGTGTTGTTCAGAATGCTTCCATCTTCCGTGGCAAAGCTGGCCGCAAGCTTGACACTCCGCACATTGTCACTCGCATTGCGTTTCAGTCTGCCCAACAGAGACTTCATCTTGTTCTTGATCATGGATGATGTACCATTTGTATCCGTGTCTTGCTTCTGTCCTTCTTCGCCGCTGGGATCCAAATCGGCCATTAATTCTTGTTGCAACGCTTGTTTGTTGGGAGAACCAGCAGTAGCTCGAGCCTGATTGTGAGTAGTGTCATTCCCATTGTCATTTGCCCAAAGCCCAAAAAAGACCCAACCTTCGGATTCATCACGCCCTTGTTTAGAATCTTTCGCTGCTGTCTTTTTGTTATTGTTCTTGTTGCTGGCCTTTCTCGTCTTAGAGGAAGCGGATCTCTCACCCATGGCGGATCTCTCACCCACGACTTCTTCCATTTCATCAAAGGAGTCGCCGTTAGGTTGGGTACAACTTCCCAATATGGTCTGCAGCCGTAGCAATTCCCAAAGTGTTTGTGGAGATTCACTTTCCCCACCACTAAAAAAAGAATACTCTTCGGCAGTTTCGTCCCAATGGGCATTTTGACTGATCTTGCTACTTTTGGTGGGAGCAGAAGAATCATCGTTTTGTGTAGTCTTCTTCTTCGTCTTATCGTGTGTATCATCATGATAGTCCAGCTCCAATCCGGCTTGCTGCTGTCTGTTTTCTCCCATTTCCATAATGGTATCAAAGGACATGGATTCCGTAGGATAGAGCGGTTGAATCCCAATCCGATTGTTGTCAATGCTGCTAGCATCACTGTGGGAGGATTCACTGTCGTGTTCTGGTACAGGACGATCATCGTCTTGGTCGTCGTGATCCGTGTAAGAGAAGGACGATGACTGATCGTCGTCGTCGTCGTCCTCGCTGGATATTTCTTCCACAATGGCACCAGGATCGTCGGCCATCATTGCCGCCATCATTTTGGTAGTGATGGAATTATTCTCCATGAATTGACTGGTGGTTTGACTCAGCACGGAATCCGAAATACCATCATCGAAATCAGATCCAAATTCGTCCAAGAAATAATAACTCGAAGACGCATCACTGGAATCATCATGAAGCATGCGATCGCCGTCGGTGGCTTTCCATCCTGCTGGTGGTAAGGAGGATTGAAAGGAGGAACCGGAAGCGATAGATGCTGGCATATTGGATACGTCGCTGGGTTTATGTATGTGTATACAAGTATTTTATTGTGCAGCAGGTACTTGGTAGTAGCAGTGCAGTTTCATAAGTCACACCTTGTGGATGGAGTTGTGCAAGTTGAGTGAGTCTAATACCGAGACCGTCTAGACGTTCGACCTGAAATTCTTGCACCTCTAAACTTCGTCTTGTCACTCCAATCAAACGCCGTCCGACCCTACTCAAAAAAGTTTGAACGACTGATTCACACGAATCAGGCGAGTATGCATGGCCCTCATTGGAGCTCTGTTTACATTGTGCAGGCAGGTGGGATTTTTAATGGTGTTTTCAGCCAATGAGAGCTAGTCAAATCATTAAACAAATCAACCAATCGATTGTGGTCTGAGCGGTTTTCTCCACTACAGTAGTACTACTCGTCACAAAATGATGAGGATGGGACTGGACAAGGTAACGATACTGTCGAGGCTAAACACGGCCCTAGCAGTATACTGTTGTCTTATTAAGCACTGTTGCATCTTGTTTTAATGTCCAATCTTAGCATTGTATCACATCTAGCCACCAATCTTAGCATTGCATCACGTCTAGCCACGCTGAAGAAGAATGAGGGGCGTTACGCACCCTCACCTCCAGCACTACCATAGAAAATGCACTCGAGCGAAGAGCCCATGGACAGTCATTCTTCTTCTTCCCCTCTTTCTCCCCGCAACATAGGTCTACTACAAACTTCGCAGCAGTGACCCTATCGTACCAGCATGTACCTAACGGTAGACTGTAGTAGTCCTATAAAAGAGTCATTGGACGCACCATCAGACACTCGGCTGATTGACTGACTGACTGACTCATTAATTTTTGTCACTTCCCCATGTTTGGTTGCACCGTCCCTCCATGTAGTACCTGGTACCATGGTACCTGGTACCGTATTGGCTAATGTAGACACACCAAATAGAATTTTTACAACCCAAACGTTCATTCAAAAGCAACTTGCTGTGAGATTGACGCCTTGCTGCGTTGGTAATATTTTTTTAGTCCTACGGCAACTTTCCGTAGTTCATTTCCTGTGTGGGCTTGTTTTTTATCACTTCCCCGCGTCATGTTGGTTGATACCGCCTCCTATGCAGTTTTTACCAAATTCGGCCACCACATATAAGTCAAACAGAACTACCATCCCCAACATTTAAGCAAAAAAAGATATTTCCTGTGAGATTGACGCTCGGCTGCATTGGTCATAGAATTTTATCCTACGGGAACTTTCGGTAGAAAGTCATTCCATTCTGCATGCATTTTTACACTGGATATTGTGAATGGATTGTCAAGACAATGGTTTGCAAGTTTCGCATTCCCCCGGAATTCTAAATGACTTTGTGGCTCTATGTATGTTTTAATATCACGAATGATCACGTGCGTTAACTAAAGACAATCACACTTTAGTACCGCGCTCTGAACATTCTTGTCCTACATAAAACGAACTTGCAACACTTTTATGTAATATTTTCATTGGAGAACGGAGAACCTGCACAACCATTTCCGGACTTCCTTAGTATTCCGGAATCCGAAACTGTGTGTGAACGAGAACTCAGAAAGGCATTTGAACCAAAATGAGAATTTTGCTAAAGACTACGAGTACAACGGTACATTATCCACTTTTTTTGGGATAACTTTCACTCACAAAATCTACAGTGGATCGCTTCATATTACAAATACATCATGTGCATCTCTGCTGAACATCAATTTGTTGCCAAGAGACGACGAGACAGGGCTTCCATGGCTGCGTCCTCCAAGGCCGGCAGCGGACCCGAACAAGTATTGGTATCCGCCAAAAAGGACGAGCTTCTCGAAGCCTGTCTAAGATACGATTGGGATCAAGTCAACCATTTGTGTCGCACCTTTTCTTCTGTCTTGATTCGGAAGAAGGATAGCGAACACACCGACTTGGTTCGTCAACAATTGATCTATCAAGATGCCTGGGGCAACACGGCCTTGCACGCCGCCTGCCATTACGATCCTCCTTGTGTCATCCTAAAACAAATTCTCAAATTGGCAAAGGCTACTGGCGTCTGCCATTCTCTTTGCACGCTCCCCAATGCCAATGGAGCCATTCCATTGGTCGTTTGCTGTACGACAGGCGGAGCTTCCTTGACTTGCCTCTTGCTGTTGCTGGAAGAAGTTGATTCCAAGGAGCAATTGTGCGACTCTGAGGGCAACTCGGCTATTGACGGACTTTTGAAGAGGTATCTAATGTTGCGCAAGTTGCCCAAATTTGCCAAGCAAATGAAACCCTTACAGGAAATCAACTCTGTCCATTCTGCTGGAAACAGCAACTCATCTGTAATGATCGAAATGGATGACCTGACCGTTGCTGGCTTTGATAAATGCTGGACCAAAATGGAACTAATCATGAAAGCCGCTTGGGTTCTCGATTTCCAATCGTTGGAAGATTGGAGTCCATTGCATGGGGCTGCCAACATGGCCTCGCAGATTCCACCAGAGCTCTCGGAATTGTTGGTCCGATGCCACGCAAACATGGTTTCTACTTTAGTTGGAGGAGCACTCCCATTGCACTTGGCAATTGGCCAAAGAGCAAATGGCAGCACACACCACCAAGACAGTTGCACAGCAAGCTTTGTGCAACACTTGATCCATGCGGATTCATCCACTGTTTCCCATGTTAACCCCAAAACGGGACAATTGCCATTGATGCGAGCCATTGAGGCTGGTTTTTCATGGCAATGCACAGCAGATACAGCTACAAATGATGGTATTCTAAAGCAATTGTGGGCTGCCTACCCGGAAGCACTGGAAGAACAAGATTCCCAATCTGGACTTTATCCTGCTTTATTGGCAGCAACTACCACCACCACCACCACCAAGTCAGATGACAATCATGCTGACCAGGTAGAAAATATCTTTAGCATGCTGCGATTGAACCCTTCAATCGTTGCAGGCGGCTAAGCTATCATAAAACAAGTAACATATCATTTTGAACATCAACATGAGACTTTGTTGTAGCAGCTAGCTAGGAGGTAACTTTCTTGTCAGCCAATGGAGGTTGCATATTAAATAGGTGCCGAGAAGCTGGAGAGTTGGGAATCCTTCCTGAGTATCATTCAGTATGTAACTTTGTTCCATAGGTTATTAGGCTTACTACTTTCCCTCTACGGAACCATTCGATTGTTGTTTCCGTCTTCTTTCGTACAATTCATAGGCACCCTTGTTGACACAATTGCCCAAAGATTCTTGGACTTTTCGACAAGGAATCTTTGCCTTTTTGTTATTGTCCGATTCTTCATAGGCAGTGCCGGGAGCTGACAAAATCCGAAGCGGACCCTCGTCTTCAAAGCACTTCTTGAGTTCCCCCAAATCCTTACCACAGCCAATAGCAACCGCACGACAACTCCATACCAAATGTTCTTCCCGAGCACAAGTCTTTTCTACATCCGGATGATCCTTGGCAATCCCTCTCCAATCAAAATACTTGATGCTCCTCAAAGGCAGTCCTCGTTGTTCGATGGCTTCGGAATCTGATCTTCTATTCTTCAAACAGGTCTTGAACAAATCGTCCAAACTCTTGCAATGTGTCTGAAGACGCTCTAACCGTTGGTCGTCTTGGAATTTGGCAAACCTCCCCATCAATGACAGAGAAGACGATGATGATTCCTTAGTATCGTTGGAAGACATTTTGATGGTTATTGTTGACGCAATAAGATAATGCGTGATTATTATTATTGTGTGATGGACAATAATATATAATATGCAATGGTACGCGCGACTGCAAGACGACTTCAGGTAGAATTGCAATGCCATATATCTCTACTACTTTCCTGTCAACACCTGTTATAGACGTCTAAGAGATACAACGATTGGTTGAATGAATGTAATGCTTTATAAAGTAGTTGCTAATGATACGGTCTAAATGTAAAGGATGATGTGGCTGCTGCCGCTGAAAAAGAGTTGTGTGGTTGGCAGGTGCGAAAAAATCTCATCCTTCGTTTTTAGTAGTAGTCTATAAATCCTCTGATTTCATGAATTCACTGCTGTCTTCCATTTCATCCATTACTAGCATTGCCAGATCTAATGAATCGTCCTTCTTCTCCTTTCTCACGCTATATCGTACACTGTTGTCACTCCTGGAAAACAAACCCCGTAAGTTTCCACCAGTGGATTGCTTGGAGCATTTCATGGAATTGCTATTCCCTTGATAGTCCCGACAAGTAACATGATCTTGCGACATGGCCACTTTTCGTTCCGCCCTCCAAATGTCCAAGGCAGAGGGTCCCGTGTCTTCCTTTTTGTCGTTTTCATCAGTATCAAAATCATCATCCAAACCCTTCATAAAAATGTCGGATAGAATGAGACTCTTTTTGTTGATCCGTCTTTTTCCTGGTGTCGTTGGACTTAGCTTCGGCGACTTTGGTGATTTAAGTGCAGACGCGCGGCCACTGTCGCTTTCGTCGTCGTCATCTAGGTTGGTAATTCCTAGCTTATTGATGATGCTGTTCTTGCTGAGTTTTCGTCTGGGTGCTCCCGTGGTGGCCGGGGCCCGACTTTTGGGAGATCGAGACGATGGTTCGTCGTCGTCGTGGTCTAGATGATTGATGGCCAACTTGTTCATGACAAATTTCTTTCGTCCTCCTGGAGTTTTGGGTGAGAGCCCAAACAATTTGGGAGACAGACTCTTGCGTGATCTGGATTCCGAGTTAACAACACTCCTCTTTCTTCTGCCGGGGGTTATGGGCGATAGTAGTGCTTTCAAGCCTTGCTTGAGATTGCCTCTTCTGGTGCTCTTTCGGTTAGATTGAAGAGGTGATCGAGAGTCCGGTCCCCTCACGGAGCTTCGAGAACTCCTTCCAGAATAGTCTGACACTGGCATTGCTAATGGTGCATCAAATTCAACACTGTTGGAGTAGCCCATTAGCTTTTCAGCGCTGAGTGTACTGGATACAGGTGAAGTAGTATTATAATCCATTCCAAATATTAATAGAACGATTGTATAAAACTGTGATAGATGGATTGGTTGATGTTTGTATTGTAGTCTTGAAACCTACCAAGAGTGACAAGGCTTAGGTATTGTGATTTTACGATCAGACCCTCTAGCCAAAAATTTAGCCTGTTACCGTGCGGCGTTTTCGAACGTTTCGCGTGGCGTATGCGAAGCTTTTCTATGCCTAAAAGGACGTTCAACTAATAAATGTTACGCAGACACTGTTCTGATCTGAGTTCGATTTCACTTATTGAACACTTGAGGTTACATTCTTATTTAGAACCTTCGTGATATTTTACGAATAAAGACGCGGCTGGGGTGAGAACCATAAAGCTTTCGCTAACTAGCTTTCCGGGGGCACGTCGACAAACTTTTGACAGCCGTCCCTTTGACTCACCAGAATCCACCAGAGTTGGACCTTTCTGGTGGTACCACTAGTAGCAATTTGACACGACTCGACGCGACTTTTGAACAGTCACGAATCGACTCATTCGATGCGTTTCCCACTCCGACCGCTTGACTTACTGGAATCTATTGACACCAAACTTTTGACCCACCGGAATCTACAGCCCAAATCAAAATTCTGAAACACGAAGTAGAATACGTAGAACTAGTAGGCCACGTCACACAATCGGTCTAACAAAGTACTTTCACATTTTTTGCGCGCCTTCGTAGATTTTCGTTGATTTTGTACCAAATAATCAAAGCAACAAATCGTCATTTCCATCATTAACCTTCGAACCCCTTGTTGACATCAAGAAAACATCGAGCATCCCGCTTTTTTTGCAGAATACGCTTCTAAAGATATCAAAGAAGCAAAATGTCAAATAAAAACTACATGCCCGATGGTTCTAAATAGTGAAAATCTACCAAAAAGGCAGATGGATTTGATTTCACCATGGTGGTAAGTTCTGAGGCACCTGTATTCATCACCCACTGCAACAAAGTCGATGCGTGGCTAACAGCACCTGTATATTGACATTAGCTACCCTGTTCCCATGAAATGATTTGGTCTCATTTGTTTCTTTGGTCCCAAAAATGACCGCTGGCGCCTACCTTCAACGTCCAAAAAGAAGTTTTTGAAGGGTTTTGGGACACCACAGAGTCTCATGGCACAAAGAGCTTCATAATTTCGCGGAGGTTGCTTCTATTGTTATACTGAGGACCTTGGAATCGTGTGGTGTTCGATATCAGGGTGTCTTTGTGCAGATTATCAACCGAGTCCATCATTTGGCAAAACTCGTCAAAATCAGATGAAGGTCCCTGTGGCCGCCATGGAGACAGCTATCCATTCGACAATACACCAGGACCTCCCTTAGATACCTACAGTCGATAAATTTTGGGACCCATTCAAAGATTCGGTCTGGATCAAGCAGACAGAGGCGGCCAGAAAAGAGGTACGTTTGTTGAAAATTCTGTAATTGTCGAATTGTTAGCCTATTTCCTCAATCTTCTTTATTCTATCACGTATTTGTCGTCCATGGGTATATCAAACAAGGTTTGGCGGTTTGGAATGGAATATTTCAAAGTCAAAGTGATTGAACTGCACCTAATTGACCTTTCTGGTCAATTCGGCATGCAATCCAGAAGTGGCGAAGAATCTATCCCAGTCAATGTGTCGCTATCCAGACACGGTTGGATCCCGACAAAAGCTATCACTATACATACACGCATCGACTTTGGGTGCTGTTTTGCAATGTCGAGGCAGAAATGAGATTCCCTTCTCTGATTTCCTTGCGAACATTTCAGGTGGCTCGGATGAATGTTTCAAAATTCCATGTATTATAAGCCGAAATTTGCAATTGAAAGTGCGCACACCTATAGACTATATATATTAAACAAACAGTAGATGTTCAAATACAAGATTTGTAATCAAAACAAGGTCTTATCGTACAAGAAGGTGCTCTTGCCTCTTGTTTCAGAATTTCGGTCATTTGGCAGTCGAATAAATCAAATTTAAAATCCGAGTCAATCGAACGTCTCGTTTTGTACCACGGCTACGGATTTTCCACGATATCCGGTCTGATTTTGATTGGGACCTGTAGTGAGAGACGTTGACACCACTCCAACATTTTGTTGGCTAAATAAATTTTAATTGTTTGCATTGATAAATTTACAAAGACTTTCGTGCACCTTCCTATTTTCAACGCACGAATGGACGACGACTACCAGATACCTCAATTTCTCATTCATTCATTCAGCGAATAGACTCCCATACTTGCCGTTTCCGATTGTTGACATCCTGCAGCATCTATTCATAGACTGGCAATGCCACTGAGATGATTTGGATGAGTCGTCCCAGAACTTGGCTTTTGGTGGTGTGGAGCATACTCTTTTTGCTTTCATTCTCTTCCGTTTTGTATGCATCGGCCGACCAAGAGGAAACTGAGCCATTTGTGGAGGAATCCATACTATGGGCAGGAATGGACGATCCAGATGCAATGTTGCTCAAGGAAATCGAATGGGCTCAGAAATCCATGGAACTGTATCATGAAAAGAATGGGGTATATCCCTCACGGACGTCCGATGATGATTCTTCCAAAGAAGAACATCATCATGATGTTACCAACATTTATTCCATGGATTGGGTGGAAGAGTCTTTAGAGAGTTTGCGCCAGCAAGAAGTTGACTACAATACACGAGACTCTAGACGAAAGAACAGGGGTGCTCGCTTCTTGCGGGGGGCTGGTTGACTTGTTTCAGGCAGAAACATCTGCTAGCGTGTACATGCGTTTCGCACGCCTGTTTAGCAACTCGAATCCATCCATCTGCTCACATTATCTCGATTCTCGTTCTACTGGTATTGACGATCATCCGCAAAATGAGGAATACAAAATCATGGTGAAAGAACAACGAGAACCACAAGAATGCGCGCTTAGCATTGCTGGGTAGTTCACTTTATGATCCGTTGGGAAATAGATCTATTGCACTATATATGGGAGAGTGCACATTGTTTGATGTTTCTGTCTCGCTATGCCCACTCTCGCATCGTATACTACTCAAAATATGATGGACATGACGACTCACGATGTTTGGCCTGGCTGGTGGTGGTGGTGGTGGATTGACTTTTGATTATCAGTATTAATAAGCCGAAGAGGGCTTCAACAACAACATGCAAAGCACATGCTATATAAGTTAACAGCTCATGTCAATTTTGTAATCGTTTGCAATAGCGGTCTGCCTTTGCTTCATTGACGATCGTCTACGTAGTGCCGAAAGGAGGGGCGTTTTCTTCCAACGCCCCATTTTCCAAAACCCACCCTTCCCTGCTTTTAGTCAAAGTCCAAAAGCGCAATTATAGATTGGATGACAACAAGTCCAGCACCATCACTTCCACAATCAACAATGGCCACCCAATCTCTGTCAGCGGTAGTCCAAAAGCTTCACGACTATGTGCAACAGGGTCCAACCGATTTTGAAATCACAATTCTGCCGACCGTCATGACCAAGGAAATGGAAACGGACGAGCTGAGTTTGGACGAGTCCTTGGTGCTCATGGAGGGTCAATTTCTGGGGATGGACGCTCGCAGTCTTCCTTGGATGACACGAGTCATTCGAAAGGACTACAAGGCATTGAAAAAAAAAGCCATTCTGCTGGATGCAGCTGCTGGTGCTGCTGCTAATGATGGATCATCTACCTCTGCAAGTAGCATGACAGATGTCAACAACAATGCTCTTCATCATCATCATTCCCAAATCCTAATGGCGACCAATGCACTCATGTTGGTGAATCCCGATCATTCCACAGCCTGGGGAGATCGTCGAAGGGCCTTGATAGCAACGTCAGGAGATTGGGTTCGTGAAATGCAATTCTTGAATCTCTTGATGACACAGCATTCCAAAGCGTAAGTCTAACATTTATACATGGCTGACCGACATCCATGTCTCTGACCAACTCACTCTACATTTTGACATTACGTCCTTTCAGTCCATCCTCTTGGGGTCACCGAAAATATGTGCTTCAGCAAATAGTAAAGGCAATAGTAGTAGTGAAGGAAATAAGTGACGACTACGAATCCAAGCTGGTGGATTTGGTACACAAGGAGATTGCCTTTTGTTCCAAGATTGCCGACAAGTTTCCAAAGAATTATTATGCTTGGACGCATCGACGATATCTTTGGTCCTCTTGTATACTGCCACATCTACAGCAATCCTACCATGCAACTATTATCGTTTTGCTGAATCAAGAGTTTGACGCACTGAAACTCTGGCTCGAGCAACACATCAGTGACCATTCGGCAGTGCATTACCTTGGACAAGTATTGGAAATGCGACTACAACAACAACAAGACCAACAGCAGCAGCAACATATTCAATCATCATCATCATCATTGAACGACTTGTCGATATCCATTGCTCACAATAGCTTGAACCTTGCCAATGCTCTATTGAAGACACATCCAGATCACGAGTCACTGTGGATATTACGCCGATTGATGGTCCAAATCTTGTTTCAGCATGCCCAGCAACATAGTGTCACAGATTCTGCAAAAGTTGCCATTCTTTCAATGTTGGAAGATCTGATCGATGAAGTATGGACCAAGGCTCATTTTTCTGAAAACAACAGAGACTACAATATTAGTGGTATTACTTCTGTTTATGCCTGGTCCTTTTTGGTGTGGTGCATGTCCCAGTTGGGGCTTGGGGGCCAAGACAGACCAAAGAGACTCCTAGATGGACTTGCCTTCCTTCAATCATCTGAGAATAAAAGCCATGTATATCATGAAATGTGGAAGACAAATGGGGAGGAAATACTGTTTGCAAAGTAGTGGAATCATGATAAAAGGATAGCTGCTATTTTTTGAAACTGAATGCAATCTGCTGAAGAAATTGAATCATAGCTCTCAAATTACATATTTTTCACTAATATTACCAACGGTTTGAACATGTTGACATCCACGGTGCTTCAAGCAAATCAATCAAGAATTATTCTCCGAAGAGTGGAGGCAGAAAGGAAATCACATTCCCAAGAATGATATCCGCACCACAATTGACGCGACACGCTTGACGGTCCAAGATTGGATCTTGAATGCTGCCGATTCTTGCTCGTTTGAATCGATTGCCTTCCTCCTCGTCGTCGTCCTCCAACATTGCATGGCCATCACCACCACCTTCATTCAAATGTATGGCTTGGGTATGCCTTAATAATGCGAGCTGTTCCAAATGAAAGCTTTGATGAACAAGCTTTACCTTGGCCGTCCAAACGGAAAGTTCCAGCAAGGACAATGCTTCGTGTCGTTCCATTCGGGAGAGTTTGGAATACAACTCTCGTACAATATACCTCCACGATTGCCGTTGTTGCTGTAGTTGTTGGGTGGTGTTATGACCACGAGAGTAGAGTAATATTTCAATGTGCTCCACCATTTCTTGGTAATGAGAATGACGACGGTGAAATAAGGGCAAGTGTTGGAGACGGTCCAACATGGTGCTTTGCATCATGGATTGCACAACTCCCGACGAGGAGGAGGAGGACAACTCGTTGCTACTAATAAAGTTGTCCACAAGGTACTCAATAGGAGTATTCCCATGAACATCCTTCTCGAATTGCGCACTTAATGGATACACACGTTGTAGTGTATTCAGTAAATGATAGTTTGGTTTGGTCGACAATGCCAAAATGTGAAAGGGATTCATTTGGAATAGATCGACCGGGCACTGGTTGCATACTAACTCCTCATCATCACTTCTGAATGATCTGTTATTGTCACCATCGTCTGGTGGTGGTGAAGTAGTATCAAGCAGATGAGTCTGAACCCTTCCAATCGTTTCAAAGACTGGTCGATAGGATTGATAATAACACAATTCATGAATTGGAAGTTTGTGGAAACGTTGCTGGAACGCGGATACCAACATATCACTACTTCCATCATTATTATCAGCAGTAGCAGCCGAGTTTTCCTGTCCTCCCAAAGCTTCCAGCACCAATTCTTCCAACTCGGGGCAATCCACAAATATTCTGTCTCCCAAAGCGGTACCGGTAGTATTGTTCCCCACTTGTTGTTCATCTGATGATAATGATGATGACGATGACGATGACGATGAAGGAAGTGCCAAACTTTTCAACATAGTGCAACCACACAGGGCCTGTGCTTCAATGGACCGAAGGGTATTCTTGGGTGGCAATTCCAAGGTTTCCAAACTGGAACACGAAAAGAGTAATTCTCGTTCCATCTCCACCACAGTCGAAGGGATCCTCAGGCGTTTCAGTCCAAGACAAAAGGAAAAGACTCCATCCCGCAGCATGAGCAATCCTTCGTTCAGTTCCACCGTTTGCAATTGCGTGCATCGGGTAAAGACATTCCGTCCCACCACCCGCATGGAATTTGGCAACTTAATTTTTTGCAAACTGGTGCAATATCCAAAGGCAAACTCGGAAATGACTTCCAAGCCTTCGTAGAATTCCACGGATACCAAATTGTGGCACTGACAAAAGGCAAAGGCTTCAATGGTATTGACATTGGAAGCAACCACTAAATGGGTGACTGTGCGTGGTATGGTCGTAATTTCTTGTCCCGTGTAGACCACCAACACTGGGTGAGGAATACCATTGTTGTTATTGTTATTCATTGTTGTTGTTGTTGTTGTTGTTGTTGTTGTTGTTGTTGTTATTGTTGTTGCTAGTCACCACTATGGCACCCATGCTTTGGATCTACGGTAGATACTGTACAGTACGTGACCGGGCAGGTACAGTACGGTATTGGAGTACCTGTACAGCGAAACTACAATATATCATACAGTACTGAAGAGGCTGATGTGTACCACTTTTTGCAGAAGCAGTAAAGTAAAACAAAAGATTTTGTGCATCCAAATTCGTTCGTCAGTTGAACATTGATGCGACACACTTTGCGACACTGTGATGCAAATACATAGAGAACGAATCGTCAGAACGAAATGAATCTTCCGGTGACCACGTCACTGCCACATTCCCACCATTTTCTTTCCCATTTTTCTATATTTTCGATTTGAAATCATAAAAATTCGAAGTTATTCGTTCTCCTGAAACTTCACCACAGCAGTAGACAGAAACGCTTCTCCTTCTGCTTCAGATCCTTATCCTCATCGATCATCACCTAAATCACAACCAATAGTTAGACGCACCACTACCTATTCTCAAGATCGTTACCATGTCACCATCACCATTACCATCGCTACCACGCACCATGATTTTATGTTACTTCTTCCTTCTTTGTTTATCCACCATAACCAACCACAGCATACAATCTGTCAGTGCCTTTCACAAGACAACAACTGCTTCTTCACGACGAATCATCAACAATGGACGATTTAATAATGCTGCTGCTGCTGATGATGATCAATTGTTGTTGACATCCACAACTTCGTCAACGGCAGAAGTTGACGAATTCAGATCTGAAAGAAGAACCGATACAAGTGAATCATCATCATCATCATCATCACCGTTGTCGAGAAGAGGCATCGTTAGTGGTATTTTGAATCTCAAAGGGGGTTCTTCCACTGCTGCTTCTCCTGCTACGACGACTACGACTACTACCACAAGAACAATCTTTCCACCTCCCATTGACACTATCATTCCGTTTGTGCGAAACAAACAAGCATCAGCAACGACAACCTCTGACTCTGATACTTCCACTACTACTACTACTACTACCACTACTTCCTTGCAAACATTTCTGATCCAACACAAGACCACCCTCCTGACCATGGTACTCATGGGATTCTCAGGAGTGGTCGAGGCCATTTGTTACCGTCGTTTCAAAATGTATCCCAACATGATGACGGGGAATACCATCAAAGCCATGGATGCCATCACTTCCTTAAATTGGCAAGGGATTCAAGTATCCTTGGGGTTGATTGGATCCTACATGAGTGGGGCCACACTTTACAAGTGTTTGGACCGGGCAAGGATATTCCAAAGCAGGAACAATCATCGTCGTAGTATTCCCAACTTGGTGTGGTTGTCGGCCATTAGTTTTCTCTTGTTTGGATGGTCGGACGTTGTCGGTATGACGTCTAACATGGACGTTTTGCGACTCTTGCCCATGGCCACTGCCTTTGGAATGATCAATTGTGCGACGCAAGAAATGACTGGTTTTGTCACCAATGCGGCGACCGGGCATTTGGGAAAGATTGGATTTGGATTGGGGGAATCTCTTGTCATGAATATGCTTCCTCGGGCCGATCATGTTGTCGATCAGAAGACCATTCAGTATGGAATTACCAGTGCACTGACGATTGGATCCTTCATCACGACTGTCATCATTACCAATCTCATTGGTTTGTGGCTAGATGCCAAACATTCATGGGTGTATTCACGATTACCACCCTTGGGATTGAGTTTGGGTGCTGCCTATACCATTTTGTTGACAAGCTACCACTACTTTTTCGAAAAGGACGTCGCATGCAAATGATAATGAGAATTCGGTAGACAGACCTCCACAGTATGCAATATCTAGTATGCGCATACCGATACAATAATCACAATGGATTGATGGGCAGGCAGAACTATCCGCTCACTCGTTTGATGGAAGCATAAAAAAAAACTGTTGGACTTTGCAAACTTTGCGCGATCGGCCTCGATAAGCAGACAAATGGCGACGGTCTTGCAACAAAGTATAGTTTGTTCATTCGTTCTAAAAAACGGCATCTGCGTTATCTATCTTAGTATGATAAAGATTTATACTTTTACCTTTGTATTTTAATAGTCCTACATTATTATTACACTTGAATATAGTTTATAGGTCTTGTGTGTGCATTCAATCTAAGTATACAGACGACAAGGAAATCAAACGGAGTCACTCATTCGTCCCCACTCCCATGCATTACTATAGATCCTTTCGACCGGATCCTGGAACCTCCTTCATTTCAAACATGAGGAAATGTGCAACTTCCCCGTTCTCGGTCTCTTCGACTTCAGTACCTTCAATGGTGATTGGCCCATCGTCGCTGCCCACAATTTCGCAACCGTCATGTTTCTCCATTTCGGAAGAACCATTGACTTTGAGCTTGCCTTCCACACACAACAAATATGCCTGTCTTCCAGCAGCAACGTTCACAGAGACAGATTTTCCTAAGTCTAGTTCTGCTGCATAGCAGTTCACGTCTTGGTTCAACTTGACCGGTGTCTCATGTTCCGTATCTTTGACGGATGACGCCAAGTGTCGGACAACATTCTTTTCTTGATGGAATTGGGCGTCGTATCCGCCGTAGTTGGGAGTCAATCCACTGCTACTTGGGACAATCCATGTTTGGATGAATCGAAGTGGATTGTCAGTACGATTGGCCTCGGAATGTGTGATGCCAGAACCTGCTGTCATGAACTGAATTGATCCACGGCCCAAAGACTGTGAATTACCAATGGAATCTTCATGCGTCAATTGGCCATTGACAATGTAAGTGGCAATTTCCATGTTGCGATGAGGATGGGCTCCGAATCCTCGTTGGGGTTGTACTAGATCATCGTTCATGACTCTCATGACGCCGAAACTAGAATTCTGATTGCTGTGATATTCGGCAAAGGAAAAGTGGAATCTTGATTTCAACCAATTTTCGCAGGTCCATGCTGGGTCAAAACCAGGATTGCCTGGATTCCCAAACCTGTACAAGACGAAAGAGACACGCGACAGTGTACAGTATGAGTAAGCGGTTTATTGCCTCCAGATACACTTCAGTGCGTAAGATCAAACATACCAGCTTGGATTGGGTTCGGAGACGTAAAGCTTGGAATTGGGAATGACTTTCAACATAGTTTTGCGTGCTGTCGCTGCCATTCAGTGATCGATTCTATAGGATAACTTCTGTTCGATTCGTTTTCGTGGAGTAATGATGATGATGATGATGATGGGCGCAAGTACGTTAGCGGTTTTTCAGCTTTTTCGATAAGAGACTCTGCGGAATTCCGAAATGTGCACACTTCGAGGGGGCGAGGACAGACGCCATACCACGTCTATATGTATGTCACATGCGACGCAAAATCATCGCAAAATCTTGACGTCAATAAAGATGACTTCCATCAAATGAATGAATAAGATACAGCGCAATACTCCTACCGGTACAGTCTCACTCCCTCGAGATAAACAAGATGCTTACTTTCCACCAGCAAGCCTTCCCCTTCTTGCGCCAGTCTAACATTCCCTTCAACAATCTGAGTCACCTTCAGTCTGCTGTCGTCAGCACCACGACATCGACGTCGCTTCATGCTCTCCCGAAGAATCCACTATCCAGATGGGCATCGGATTCCGCCCTTGAGCTTCTTTCGGCGGCATCTTCCATACGTGGAGGAGCTGCAGCGACCAAAGTAGCTCTGGATATGGCCAAGGAAACTCAACACTTGGCTGTCCTTTCCTCCTATGGCGTGCTGTCCGTCTTGATTCTAAATTCGGCATTGCGTCTCTACACGAGCACCAAGTTCAAACGCAATCCTTCCGACAAGAACGACTGGGTGTTGCCAAATCTATTTGCTTTTTGCGCCGGAACATGTGTCATTACAGGTGCCTTTACTGGTATCATGTTTCAGCTGTTGGGAATCTATCACAAGTCGGCTTTGAGTATGGGGAATCATGTTGCCTACCTCGCGTTTAAGGAATCGACGGAAGGTTATCTACAGCTGGGATTTCGCACCTTTTTGACTTGCCTTGGCTCCTTCGTTGCGACATTCTTGATCAATTTTAGAAATATGACCGACGAAGATGAACGCTTTGGAAACGGACTCTTCTCCATGATGGCAGTCTTCACACTCCTGGGGGGAATTGTGCTGAGAAAAGTGCTCCATCTGGCAACGGTTCACATATTTGCACCACTAATCTCCGTTTAGGTAGTGCGAACGAATGTCATGTTTCTAAATTTGTTGGCTGTCAGTTATTGTTTTTTGTGCTTTGTTTAAGAAAATTCTGAAAATGATGGTCAGTGAGAGAATGTGCGAAATAGACCTCAGATTATTAAAATAAAGTCTACAAAATTGGAGGTCTTCCCACTAATATATATACATATACATTATGTAACAGCATATCCAAGTTACCTACTCGTAGTGGTACAATTTGTGTGTGTTGACGGTACACTTGTATCACATGTATCGGTACCTGGTATCAGGTACAGACCGGTATATAGTGTCACCAGGAGGAGCGCATGTTTGTCAGGAGGAGCGCATGAATATGCGATAGTATAATCCAGTACCAGGTTCAAGGTACTCGTACCTGGTACCTCCTGGTACTTGGAATGGCAGTCATCAGGCAAGATTCAAATCTGTGCACTGTGCATATATCATATGATTTGATACTATCATTCGATTTGGTACCATACTTATAGTCGAATACTTTGTTTCGGGGCACTATCGCACACGGGATCATTTCGCCGGATATTTTGAGATCTGAATTCGTCAAAAATAGGACAACGGAGGTATTTTTTGATTGATGGAGTATAAATTCCAAAGTATTCTGAAACTCGACCTCTCTCGCATTGAGGGATATGTCCGGAAGATTGACAACGATACTAAGTAGATGTCCAAGCGATCTGTTCCCTCGGTATCAATCAGAAGCGCGGTTGTTTGGCGTCACCTTTTTCCAGTTCTGTTTTATCCGTACAATATCCCACCGTACAGTGCACTACAGTAACAAAGTAACGGAGTTCGCGTTATTTTCATATGGCAGGTCAGCCAAAACTTCAACCGAAGAACTTCAAGCAATTTGAGAAAACACCCACAACTTTTGAAAACGACAAACTCACAATCGTGAAAAAACAAAATCTGAAAATGGATTCTTCAAACTACAAACTTAGTATGCAAACCATACAGTACAACAATGATGCTGTGACCAAGCTGAAGGAAGGTAAAGCTATTGAAGCCTTCCATTTGCTGTCCAAGGCTTGCCGAGCCGCACATGATGCAGCTCACAACGACGACGATTCCAATTGCAATCGTATGTATCAGTATACGTGGCTTGATTGCTCGAAAGCTCTGGCACACAAAATGAAGGGAACGAGAAGCTTTAACGATGGCAGTTTGCCATTTCTCTTTCTCCAATTCCTTTGGATCGAACCTCCAATGGAATACTGTTCCCCCATGGAGGAGGACATGGAGGAGGAAGAAATGTCAGTCCATGTCCGAGGTTTCATTTGGGTGCTGTGGTACAATCTTGCCATTGTATCCATCCTACTGGGCAACCCAGTTGAAGCACGCGGGCATCGCTTGCTGAAGCAATCCCTGGACCTGTTTCGCTTGGTTCAAAGCGTTGTGGATCCCCAACCATTGTCAAAGCATTGGGTGATCCTCAAGCTGTCCATTTTGAACAATGAGGCCTGTGTACTCAGTGAGCTTTCTGAATCTCGACAACGCTTGGATCGACTGATCAAGATGGGACTGGCACTAAGCAGTCTCTCAGACATGCTAGACCCCGAAGATCGAGAGCAATTTATATGGACGGTCAAGTCGATGGCGGACGACCGCTTCGCTGCTGCCGCGTAGTATTGTTACTTGACGCATATATCGGCACGCTACCTTCCCTCTGCAGCATTTTTCCTCTCTGCTGCAGCAGCAGCAATATACGGTTATCGTTTCCTCCTCTGGCTTTTTTGATTGCACCAAGTTCATGCGAAGCCCTTCCAGATGCTAAATCTAGTATCTCCTCTTGGCGCGCTGCAACATTTTTCGGGCGTTACGCTTCAGTTGCTGGGAATCAATCAACCACATCGCAATAATAGAGTATTTACACCAATACTGTAAACTATAATGTGTAATATTTAGAACGAACTTTACTGTTTTGATATTGTCGTGAGGAGGTTGCATTCTGCTTGAAATCACAAGGATCCTATCGGGAGGTTCTTGCTGCATTCTCGTTGAAGCCACCACAAGGCTGAAGTCGTTTCGTTTTCGAGCTGTAGGTAACTTGTGATACGTCCGACGCTTTATAAAAGGCCACTTTTCGCTCAAAACGCTTCTCTTGGATCCATTATACCCTTCGCAGATACAGTAGTACTAGTGTAGCGGCCAAGAACAACTGCACGAGCAATAAGTCCAGCAGACACGCGAGACCGAACCCCCCGGACTTTTCGAATCTCAACTTCAATGATTCTTCTGACTACAGTAAAATACGGCTGCCTTCATCTGCGTCAAGTGTTGCTTCGGCTGCTGGGAATCAAGTGCCACTGCTCAAAGGTGCCAGCCGTCCTCACACTCTTGGGAGGAGGTATTATGCAGAAACTGTTGCTTTATCTGGCAACGGTACCTATCTGCACCAAGCAATAATGTACCTAAAATAATTTTCTCGATCTCTTGAACATTCGTTCAAAAACACTTGCTAATGGTACAGATTGACGCTGAAAACCTAGTACCCAACCCCCGCAATGTTTTTGTGACAAATGCAATATATTTGTCGCGATGGCGAGGGAGTGTTCTCATACCTAGCTGTCCAGCACTGTGCTAGTAGGTACTACTCATCCTTGCTACTGTCGTCGGTCTTGGTGGAAGATGCGACAAATTCAGATTAGATTTCTTCAGCATGCTTGTTTAGGAAAATGAAGAACAGCAGAGCATCTCACGAAGGATGAAGGAGATGAGTAAAAATTAGGACATTGCCGTCACATGTAGTTTGGAAAGCTACGTGTGTAGAGCATCACTTCACTCTTTCGACTGACTCCAGAACAGTATTATTTGCAAGTACCGTTGTGATAAGATATATATCTGGAAGGGTCATGGTGGTACAACAATACAAAGCGGATGATGAAGAGAACTGTTCTGTGCTCCCGTATTAGGAAGTTTTTGAAAGAATGGTAAAAAATGATGAATTTCCCGGGGAGCGCATTATATTCATTACGATCGATCAACGTGATTTGGTAGTGTACCGTACTTATTTCGGGGAGCGCATATGATCGATAAATTTGATTTGGTACCATATCTATTATCAAACGATTTGTTTCGGGGCACTATGGCACATGGGATCATTCCGGCGGATCTTTAAGTCTTTGCATTCTTTCTCGGAATAGAGATCAACGGGGTATGTGAAAATGGTGGGGTCGGATGTAAAACATGAGACAATGAAGATATATATTAAAATTTGGAGAGGTGTAAAGAGCAGTTGAAGTGAGATGAATCCGAAAAAGTAGAAATTCCGAAAACTGGACTTCTGGTATGATATCAGTCAAATTATTCGATCAGAAGCAAAATTATTTTGCGTCAACGTAGAGTTTCTCCGTACCAAAACTTCAACCAAAGAACGTGAAGCAATTTCCAAATCGTTGAAAAAACACCCACAACTTTTGAAAACGACAAACTCACAATCGTGAAAAAGCAAAATCTGAAAATGGATTCTTCAAACTACAAACTTAGTATGCAAACCATACAGTACAACAATGATGCTGTGACCAAGCTGAAGGAAGGTAAAGCTATTGAAGCCTTCCATTTGCTGTCCAAGGCTTGCCGAGCCGCACATGATGCAGCTCACAACGACGACGATTCCAATTGCAATCGTATGTATCAGTATACGTGGCTTGATTGCTCGAAAGCTCTGGCACACAAAATGAAGGGAACGAGAAGCTTTAACGATGGCAGTTTGCCATTTCTCTTTCTCCAATTCCTTTGGATCGAACCTCCAATGGAATACTGTTCCCCCATGGAGGAGGACATGGAGGAGGAAGAAATGTCAGTCCATGTCCGAGGTTTCATTTGGGTGCTGTGGTACAATCTTGCCATTGTATCCATCCTACTGGGCAACCCAGTTGAAGCACGCGGGCATCGCTTGCTGAAGCAATCCCTGGACCTGTTTCGCTTGGTTCAAAGCGTTGTGGATCCCCAACCATTGTCAAAGCATTGGGTGATCCTCAAGCTGTCCATTTTGAACAATGAGGCCTGTGTACTCAGTGAGCTTTCTGAATCTCGACAACGCTTGGATCGACTGATCAAGATGGGACTGGCACTAAGCAGTCTCTCAGACATGCTAGACCCCGAAGATCGAGAGCAATTTATATGGACGGTCAAGTCGATGGCGGACGACCGCTTCGCTGCTGCCGCGTAGTATTGTTACTTGACGCATATATCGGCACGCTACCTTCCCTCTGCAGCATTTTTCCTCTCTGCTGCAGCAGCAGCAATATACGGTTATCGTTTCCTCCTCTGGCTTTTTTGATTGCACCAAGTTCATGCGAAGCCCTTCCAGATGCTAAATCTAGTATCTCCTCTTGGCGCGCTGCAACATTTTTCGGGCGTTACGCTTCAGTTGCTGGGAATCAATCAACCACATCTCAATAATAGAGTATTTAGAAAACGTTTTTCAGAATCAAATACGAGAAGTTGCATGTTTTTGAAGCCGCATTGGATTAGTGCCGGATCCCATTTCCAATTATGTACAATGCCTCTCTTCGCTTCAAGAAAACGCTTGTCGCAAAGAGCAAGGATGTGAACAAGAAGACCGCGAAAGCTAACCTCTTGGAATCAGTTTCACTGATCTTTTTTCAATAATATACATGTACCGGTATGTATTAGTCCTAGTCCTGATCATAAAAATGACATGATGCGAGCTGCTGAAGTTTTTAAATGTTTAGTTTACTACCGGTAGAATAGAGAGCCTCCGAGATGTCACGTTTTCCCACTATTTCGTCGTTCCTCTGGTGGCATTTGTCCGACAATACAGAGAACTGCTCAACTCAATAATAAAATCAACGGATTCGCGATGTGATGTTCACGAATGGAATTGTTCGGCCGGAGAAAGGTGAAAGGTGTACGGTATCATCTGATTCGTGACGAGCGGTTTGGGAATGGTTTAAAATTGGTTGACGTCACCTATTGTTTTGGACTGGAATTCACTGTTACGCTAGAAGGCACGTGTACCACTACGAGTACCGGTCACAAAAATTCCAGCCACGGGGAAACCAAACTTCAACTGCATCCTCAACTGCAACTTCAACTGCAACATCAAGTAATCGTAACGATGTCCAATGTGTCTGACGTATCTCACAGAAGATGCATACATTACCTTAGTACCACGACCTTAACGCGGTATTTAATGTTGTATTGTTAGTCGTGTGCTCTGAGAAAAACGCAGTGTCCACACGGCTTTGTGACTTCTGGCCCTCTTATTACGCACCATCCAAAATCTATTACTCTTGTGCCGTGGGAACACTTTGCACTACGGTTGCCTTCATCTGCGTCAAGCTTCAGGTGCTGGGAATCAAGTACCACTGCTCAATGGTGGTAGCTGTCCTCACACTCTCAGAAGATAGTATTATACAGAGAATTCTGCTGTATCGTGGCAACGGTAGGTCCTCCTACCACCGCACGTATTTGCACCAAGCAATAACGTACGGTTCCTACTATCATAAGACAATTTGCTCTATCTCTAGAACCACACGTTTCCTTGCGAATGGTATTGACGCTGGGAAGACCTAGTACCTAACGGCAATGCAATATCATATTTTACATATCTATGTACAACGATGAATGAGATGGTGAGTCAAAATATGACATTGACATCAAAGGTATTTTGGAAAGCTACGTGGAAGAGTGACTGACTCCGGAGCAATATACTTATGAAATTTGAATTTTCTCGGAATAGCTGACGTCCTAATATAAAAGAGGCTGATGATAATATATTTTAAAAGAAAAACGGTTGAATTTTACGTGAGGAGCGCATGTACCGTATTGATACGGTACACGTACCATCCTTATTGTCAAATATTTTTTGTTTCGGGGCACAATCAGACGTGGGATCATTTCGGCAGATGATTAAAAAAAGAGAAATATATGTGATGAGGAAAAATAGGACAACGGAGGTATTTTTGGAGAGGTGTAAAAAGCAGTTGAAGTGATGACTCCGAACACTTAAAAATTCACAAATAAACTGAAACTCGACCTCTCTCGCATTTAAGTAATTATCCGGAAGATTGACAACGATACTAAGTAGATGTCTAAGCGATCTGTTCCCTCGGAGGAAGCTGTATCAGTCATTCCTTATCTGATGATACAGATTGTTCAATCAGAAGCGCGGTTGTTTGGCGTCACCTTTTCCAGCATTATTTTTTTAAGGAAGTTATCGTAGCCTCCAGTAGCAAAGTTACATTAGTTGGCGTCAATATTGCAGGTCAGCCAAAACTTCAACCGAAGAACTTCAAGCAATTTCCGAATCGTTGAGAAAACACCCACAACTTTTGAAAACGACAAACTCACAATCGTGAAAAAACAAAATCTGAAAATGGATTCTTCAAACTACAAACTTAGTATGCAAACCATACAGTACAACAATGATGCTGTGACCAAGCTGAAGGAAGGTAAAGCTATTGAAGCCTTCCATTTGCTGTCCAAGGCTTGCCGAGCCGCACATGATGCAGCTCACAACGACGACGATTCCAATTGCAATCGTATGTATCAGTATACGTGGCTTGATTGCTCGAAAGCTCTGGCACACAAAATGAAGGGAACGAGAAGCTTTAACGATGGCAGTTTGCCATTTCTCTTTCTCCAATTCCTTTGGATCGAACCTCCAATGGAATACTGTTCCCCCATGGAGGAGGACATGGAGGAGGAAGAAATGTCAGTCCATGTCCGAGGTTTCATTTGGGTGCTGTGGTACAATCTTGCCATTGTATCCATCCTACTGGGCAACCCAGTTGAAGCACGCGGGCATCGCTTGCTGAAGCAATCCCTGGACCTGTTTCGCTTGGTTCAAAGCGTTGTGGATCCCCAACCATTGTCAAAGCATTGGGTGATCCTCAAGCTGTCCATTTTGAACAATGAGGCCTGTGTACTCAGTGAGCTTTCTGAATCTCGACAACGCTTGGATCGACTGATCAAGATGGGACTGGCACTAAGCAGTCTCTCAGACATGCTAGACCCCGAAGATCGAGAGCAATTTATATGGACGGTCAAGTCGATGGCGGACGACCGCTTCGCTGCTGCCGCGTAGTATTGTTACTTGACGCATATATCGGCACGCTACCTTCCCTCTGCAGCATTTTTCCTCTCTGCTGCAGCAGCAGCAATATACGGTTATCGTTTCCTCCTCTGGCTTTTTTGATTGCACCAAGTTCATGCGAAGCCCTTCCAGATGCTAAATCTAGTATCTCCTCTTGGCGCGCTGCAACATTTTTCGGGCGTTACGCTTCAGTTGCTGGGAATCAATCAACCACATCGCAATAATAGAGTATTTACACCAATACTGTAAACTATAATGTGTAATATTTAGAACGAACTTTACTGTTTTGATATTGTCGTGTGGAGGTTGCATTTGTCTTATCGTGAGGTTCTTGTTGCATTCTCGTTGAAACCACCACAAGGTTGAAATACGAGAAGTCGTTTGGTTTTGAAGCTGCAGTTGACTTTTGATATGTCCGACAGTTTATAAAAGGCCACTTTTCGCTCAAAACGCTTCTCTTGGATCCATCATACCCTTCGCAGATACCAACAAAATCAAGCTCAAAGTGCTGTAGATTTCAACCGCATCGCAGGACAGATCAGATTTGTGGTAACATTTTTTTCTTTCATGGTATTATACCCCTAAATGTCGATGGTGCGATGATGCATCATGACCATTTTTAGCGAACTGTTCGGCCGGAGAAAGGTTTCTCATCTGTTCGTGACGAAGGGTTCGGGAATGGTTTAATCAGACGGAATGGTTTGACGTCACTTATTGCTTTGGCACTGGAATTCGAAGATTCTACCAGAACGCACTGCGGTACCGGTTCCCGTTACGAATTGCCGTCACCAACAAGCCGAACTTCAACTTCAAGCAATTGTTACCCGGTGCAATGTGTTTCCATATGGCTTTGTGACTTCTGACCCTCTTATTACGCACCATCCAAAATCTATTACTCTTGTGCCGATGGGAACACTTTACACTACGACGGCTGTCTTCATCTGCGTCAAGCTTCAGGAGGTGCTGGGAATCGAGTACCACTGCTCAATGGAAGTAGCCGACGTATTATATAGATAATTTTCTTGTTTTATACATGGCAATGGTACTGGTAGGTAGGAGGCACCTTCTAGTTGACTAGTAAGCAATGATAAAATACAAAGCACTGTATCTCTAGAACACACGACGTTACCTAACAGTATAGTTCCCCGGCAACGTATTTGTGACAAATGCAATCATACAGTGTTGCTACATACTACTCATCGCATCCTACAGCTGGCCGCTACTAGCTGGGACTGGTACTACTAGACTAGTGCCGCGCTGGTACTGTCGCTGAACGAAGTACCTCCTCTTTCTGCTTCTTTCATCTGCACATCTGCATTGCACCTTCATTTCATAAATTGGACGATATTCGTGTAAGAGCAAACTTGATGAGTAGAATCTCATCAGTTTACTCTCTGGATGGAGTTTCCCCAAGTATCAGGGACCGGTACAGTACCCTGGTACCTACGGAATGAGAGTAGATTGAGAGTAGATTTTATCCGGCGCATGGCAGACCTCGGTGGGATCAAATGATACGGAACAATTGGGTTTCCACGTGGGATGAATACTGAGAACACAGAAGCGTTTGGTGTCGAATGGACAACAAAAGTTCACAAAGTCAGTCCGAAGCCCTGCAAATTCAGACAAATTTGTTGTTCGACATGTTTCATCGTTAAGAAGATGTTCGCTCGACGATACACCGAACAATCGGCCGGAGGAATATGTGTCAGCTAGTTTGATCAGAATAGGTGCTTTTTGCCGTCACCAATACCTTTGGTAGACTTGTCGTGTGGTTCGGCAATAGAATTGCCGTCTCCAGCAAACCGAACTGCAAGTTCAAGCAAATCCTCAAACTTTTGAAAACACTCACAAACTTGAGAGACAAAAAATCTGAAAATGAATTCTTCAAACTACAAACTTAGTATGCAAACCATGCAGTACAACAACTATGCTGTGACCAAGCTGAAGGAAGGTAAAGCAATCGAAGCCTTTCATTTGCTGTCCAAGGCTTGCCGGGCTGCAAACAGAGCCCAAAAGGGTAAGGACTACATCAGCTGCACCAACCGTATGTATCAGTATACGTGGCTTGATTGCTCCAAAGCTCTGGCACATAAAATGACTGGGACGAGAAGCTTCAACGACGGAAGCTTACCATTTCTCTTTCTCCAATTCCTTTGGATCGAACCTCCAATGGAATGCTCTTCCATGGAGCACGACATGGACGACGAACAAATGTCAGTCCATGTGCGAGGATTTATTTGGGTGCTATGGTACAATCTTGCCACAGTGTCCATATTACTGGGAAGCCCAGTTGGAGCAAGCGGCAATCGTTTACTGAAGCAATCCCTCGACTTGTTTCGCTTGGTTCAAAGCGTTGTGGATCCCCAACCATTGTCAAAGCATTGGGTGATCCTCAAACTGTCCATTTTGAACAATGAGGCCTGTGTACTCAGTGAGCTCTCTGAGTCTCGACAACGCTTGGATCGACTGATCAAGATGGGACTGGCACTAAGCAATATGTCCGACTTGCTAGGTCCCGAAGATCGAGAGCAATTTATATGGACTGTCAAGTCGATGGCGGACGATCGCTTTGCGGCTGCTGCCTAAGTCATCGTCTTACCTCATACCAGCAAACAAAAGCAGCGGCAATGACGCATCTTCTAGTGCAGATGAACCATATTGTGAATGCCCGTAGTCGCTCTCTTTCGAAGGGATGCATTTGATGCGCTTGTGTACAGGCAGGCCTGGTGCTTGAGAAAGCAAGGTATGGACAGAGCCATATGGTCGCCAAATAGGTGACTATCCTTTACCATAACTACAGCCACATTTGTGGTTTCCCCAATATGCGGGGGGATAATTGTAGTGTGAATGAACCATGTTTTAAAAAAAAGGGAATTAAAATGGGACATTTCAGCCTAAAATGGTACCTCTCTTTCTGTCTTCTTCGAATAAAAACCTCGGATGGGACCTTTGAGCCTAAAATACAGTACCCGGTGGTACATCTTCATCCTATTCTTGCTTCATCGTCGATCCTCAGGTTGGATGGTGGAGAAAACCTGTTTGACTTTTTAGTTTCCGGCTTCAGTTTCCAAATCGGCATTTTCAGCAAACCGCCCCAGCTTTCTTGCTGGAGAGAAACCGATTTCTTCAAAAGGAAACTTCTAGCGGAAAAGTCCCTCGAAACATCATTTTCCGGTTGGCGTGGAAGTAGCCAGGACGGCAGAGGTTTGCACCATCTCCTTCAATTACCTACTCGAGTGCAACACGACATCATCGAAAGCACAGAGACAATAAAGGCTTTTGGAATCTCCCTAGAAGTAAAATCTATTGGTCTTGCAATTGTGAGCTAAATTATTCCTTACTCTATTTTCTAGTCTTGCTTCTCAGTCATGCACAGCATCTGGTATCTTGCCATGACTACATTCAACTCACTTCTCCGTATGCATTGATCTTGCTTTGATCTTGTCAATACTTCTCACATTATTGTCAGGCACTGTTCAATCTTACACAAGATGACCTATTCTCTAATGCCTCGTTTCGTGTTTCTGCTCCTCATTCTCCAATCTCCAAATATCTCAAAATACATCTTCAACACACCCATTTCTGGTGTCGAAACCCTCACACGTCCATCTTTATCCTGTCGATGCAGACAGTCGGCATTCATTTCAAGGGAAATGTGAATCAAGGACTTGATCCCATAACCTTACCATGTCAAATATAAGGTATTACGGAATCGAACCGCTGCGCCTACCAGGCTACCCTAATCTGACTAGTCCAATCTAAGTATGTAAGAATACACGTTCCAACAAAGGCAAGGAGGACAGGCCTCCAGAGGCCATTGTACAATTCATCTTACTTCACTGCAAGAAAGTACTGGAGAGTGGGCAGTCACAGCCCACCTGTCCTTCTCTGCCGCATTGTTGACAATATACTGTACGTGAACCGACTATCTACTGTGGTTTCGTTGATGAGAAACGTGGTTTGGGAAAGTCAAGATTTGGGACGAAATCCCCAAAACGTCCCTCACTATTTAAAAGTCCGTCAGATCTACCGGTACTGGCGAAAACAGCTTTTTTATGTCTGCCTGACGGATCTTGTGTTTCGTCGCGACTTCTCACCTACCGGTACAGTAGTGGAATTTGAACAGCAGGTGACGCTGAAAGAGCATGCATAATTGCTTTGATTGAATGCGCTCGACTTTTTAAAAAGGAATTATTCGCTTACAATAAGTGGAGAAAGGTTAGGTTTTGATTTGAATTCAGTTTACAATAAGTGGAAAGGTTAGAGTTTTGATTTGAATTCCGTTTGGAAGTACACCAGTACCCCTTTGGTCTCAATTGGATGTCCAGATTGAGAAGCACTCTAAGTGTGTTGATCCAGTCCGCAAATATGTTTCCGATCAGAAGAAATGCTTTTTGACGTCACCAGAAAAACCCTTCTCCTCACAAAATGCTGCAAACAGGCAATATAGGCACGATAGTGAACATCTCATAAACCCTCACTTGTATTTGAAGACACACAATCTTTGAAAATGAAATATTCTAACTCCGAACTCAGCCTACTAACGATACAGCGAAACAATGAAGCTGTATCCAAGTTGAAGGAAGGCAAAGCGATCGAAGCCTTCCATTTGTTATCCAAGGCTTGCCGAGTTGCGCACGTTACTCAAAATGTTGACAACTCCAAGTCCCATCGCACCTATCAGTATACATGGCTGGATTGCTCGAAAGCTCTGGCACATAAAATGAAGGGGACGAGAAAGTTCAACGACGGAAGCTTACCATTTCTCTTTCTCCAATTCCTTTGGATCGAACCTCCAATGGAATGCTCTTCCATGGAGCACGACATGGACGACGAACAAATGTCAGTCCATGTGCGAGGATTTATTTGGGTGCTATGGTACAATCTTGCCACAGTGTCCATATTACTGGGAAGCCCAGTTGGAGCAAGCGGCAATCGTTTACTGAAGCAATCCCTCGACTTGTTTCGCTTGGTTCAAAGCGTTGTGGATCCCCAACCATTGTCAAAGCATTGGGTGATCCTCAAACTGTCCATTTTGAACAATGAGGCCTGTGTACTCAGTGAGCTCTCTGAGTCTCGACAACGCTTGGATCGACTGATCAAGATGGGACTGGCACTAAGCAATATGTCCGACTTGCTAGATCCCGAAGATCGAGAGCAATTTATATGGACTGTCAAGTCGATGGCGGACGATCGCTTTGCGGCTGCTGCCTAAGTCATCGTCTTACCTCATACCAACAAACAAAAGCAGCGGCAATGACGCATCTTCTAGTGCAGATGAACCATATTGTGAATGCACTTCAACTTTGATGTGCTTGTGTACAGGCACAATCAGCAGCCCTTGTGCTTGAGAATCAAGACGAGCTTGAGGCCAGAGGAGGACATGGCAGTAGCCAAATGAGTGACTCTCCTATGCTATGTCGCATTTCTTGCTTTCTCAACAGGCGGAAAAGCTGCTACAGGACGAACCTTGTTTCATCTGGTTGTAACAAACTGGGAAATAAAATTGCCCCTATTTGACCACTCCTATTTTCTTTGGTTTCTTTTTATGCAGATTTCATATCTTCGTTTTCGAACCTCCGGAAGGTTTCTTCCCATCCACAACCTCTTTCAGGACGGCGGAGTTTTGTTCGATCTGCTTCAATTCCCTTGAGTGCAACACATTATAGAAAGAACATCGAAAGGGCAATGTTTTGAGTCTCAAGAGGCCATTGTACTATCCATGGTTTTCTCAACACAAGAAAGTGCTGGAGAGTGCGTAGGCAACATTGCTCCTACTTGTCTGCCGTATTGTTGAAAATACTTGAACGGAGTGTTGCTGTAGTACCTAACAGTGAGAGCTGAAACGTTGTTTTGGCCAATAAGTTTCGGGGGGGGAATAATGAGAAGTCGGTGGGATCAAATGACACACGAAAAAGAATTTCAATCGTATCATACCGGAAGGTGCGTACCGATACAGTACGAATAGGTAGTATTACCTTGGGTGTGTTCCAAGCGAGACCACAAACTTGCGAAACTTGATTTCGTGGCGACTTCTCATCTAATAAAATCTGTAAAGGTGACGCTGAAAGAGCATAATTGCTTTGTTCGAATGCGCTCGATTTCAAGGAATCATTCGCTTACAATAAGTGGAAAGGTTAGAGTTTTGATTTGAAAGTACACCAGTACCCCTTTGGTCAGCGAGACGTGTATCAATTGGATGTCCAGATTGAGAAGCACTCTAAGTGTGTTGATCACAATACGCCATTCCGCAAATATGTTTCCGATCAGAAGAAATGCTTTTTGACGTCACCAGAAAAACCCTTCTCCTCACAAAATGCTGCAAACAGGCAATATAGGCACGAGTGAACATCACATAAACCCTCACTTGTATTTGAAGACACACAATCTTTGAAAATGAAATATTCTAACTCCGAACTCAGCCTACTAACGATACAGCGAAACAATGAAGCTGTATCCAAGTTGAAGGAAGGCAAGGCGATCGAAGCCTTCCATTTGTTATCCAAGGCTTGCCGAGTTGCGCACGCTACTCAAAATGTTGACGACTCCAAGTGCCATCGCACCTATCAGTATACATGGCTGGATTGCTCGAAAGCTCTGGCACATAAAATGAAGGGGACGAGAAAGTTCAGCGACGGAAACTTGCCACTTCTCTTCCTTCAATTTTTGTTGATAGATCCTCCAATGGAATGCTTAGCCATGAGTGAGAAAGAAGCTTCAGTTCATGTGCGAGGATTTATTTGGGTGCTATGGTACAATCTTGCCACAGTGTCCATATTACTGGGAAGCCCAGTTGGAGCAAGCGGCAATCGTTTACTGAAGCAATCCCTCGACTTGTTTCGCTTGGTTCAAAGCGTTGTGGATCCCCAACCATTGTCAAAGCATTGGGTGATCCTCAAACTGTCCATTTTGAACAATGAGGCCTGTGTACTCAGTGAGCTCTCTGAGTCTCGCCAGCGCCGTGACCGACTGAACAAAATGGGACTGGCACTAAACAATATGGCCGACCTGCTAGATCCCGAAGAGCGAGAGCTTTTTCTATGGACGGTAAAGACAATGGTTGAAGACCGCTTTGCTGCGGCAGCCTAACTTTGAGCCCCAACGAAACCACTTTCCTCGTTGGGCATGAATTCCATTCCAAAGCCACAATAGTCGGTGTTATTTGGTCTTCTGCCGTCTTGAATAAGAGGAAAATTTCAGTCTTCCCCTATAACCGGGACGTCGCACCTTTTCGACATGTCGAGTTTCCTGTGCTCTGTTATAGTCTATCCCACTGCTTGGAACCTGACCAAGTAAGATCTCCGCTTCCGAGACGGAATCTTTTCAAAATGGTTGCAGTCCTCATAATCTCGGGAGACCGGCAATGTGCTGAGAACGATTCTCAAGCTCGCAATAGAACGCAACCTATCACCAATAATGTGAAATCGATTGCTCTCCTCATATGCATAGTAATAGAACTAGTGTCATGCTTTGACCTTGCGACTAAATCGAGTTGAGATTTTGGTACAATTTGAAGAAGTACGGTCTTTAAAAATTGAAGCCACCTCCCTTTTAGCTTCAGGCACAGAAATGAAGTTGTTATTTATTTAATCTATAGCATTATGTTCTTTGCATCATTCGGGTCTATCATATGTGGTCATGCTGTCAAGTTCCAGACATTTTCGATGAAAACAACTTTTGTTTTCATCTTGTTCTTGAATTGATGCCTTTCTTCTTGTTCCGATTGAAAAGATAAATCAGAATGATATCAGCTCGAACAGTAGCCCCTCGCCATGTAGTTAAAAAAACGGAAGAAATAATATTGGTCCAATCCATCGACAGCTTCATATCGGCAAAACGGACAAGAGAAAGTAGGAACTCACAACAATCGATACCAACTACACGTGTACCTATCTCTAGTGTTTTCCAAATGCAAATCGTTGATCTTGATGTTTTCCGTTTGAGAAGGTTCATGATGCGCAAAACTCGATTGCATTTTGTGTCTGGGTCCGTACCGGTAGGACTCATCTCCACCAGTTTCGTGATGCGAAAAGGTGAGATTGAATTTCCGACGACGGACCCAAAAACTGCCGGAAAAGTGGTCAGTAAAATATATATAGCTGTCTAAAATAAATAGAAAGAAGCTGATTGATTCTTCCTCAAGTGCATAAAAGTCGAAATCAATCCTGATTTTCGACTTCGCTCAGTCTATTTTACTATGACCATCGCGGTATTTCAGAACACTCTAGCTGTAAAGTATTGTTTCAATTAGTCTTGTCAGCCAAAGCGAACCGAATCCTTATGTGTAATTTATCAAGCAGCGTCAAACCATAATATGTTTCCGATCAGAAGACATGCTTTTTGCGTCACCATGCAGCTTCTGATCACAGAACAATACTGAAAGGGTAATCCCTCAATCGGATTGCCGTCATAAAAACACAAATAACACAATCACACGCAACCTTTGAAAATGAAACATTCGAATTACGATCTCGCTCTGCAAACGATACAGCAAAACAATGAAGCTGTATCCAAGTTGAAGGAAGGCAAGGCAATTGAAGCCTTCCATCTGTTATCCAAGGCTTGCAGAGTTGCACATACAGCCCAAGACGATGAGGGTTCCGACTATCATCGCACCTACCAGTATACATGGCTGGATTGTTCCAAAGCTCTGGCACATAAAATGAAGGGAACGAGAAAATTTAGCGATGGAAGCTTACCATTTCTCTTTCTTCAGTTTCTTTGGATAGATCCTCCAGTGGAATCGATGAGCGAGGAAGAAGCTTCTGTCCATGTGCGAGGATTCATTTGGGTGCTATGGTACAATCTTGCCATTGTATCCATCCTTCTGGGGAGTCCAGTCGGAGCAAGTGGCAATCGCCTACTGCAACAGTCTCTTGATCTGTTTCGCTTGGTGCAAAGTGTTGTGGATCCTCAACCATTGTCAAAGCATTGGGTGATCCTCAAACTGTCCATTTTGAACAACGAGGCCTGTGTACTCAGCGAACTCTCTCAGTCGAGCCAACGCCTGGACCGGTTGATCAAAATGGGGCGAGCACTAAGCAATATGTCAGACTTGCTAGATCCCGAAGAGCGGGAGCAATTTCTATGGACGGTCAAGTCGATGGCGGACGACCGCTTCGCTGCTGCCGCCTAGTCTTCCTTCTTCATGCCCCAATCAAAACGACTTTCATCTTTGGGCTTGCATCAACTCCCAAGGATCATTCGGTTCGTATTGCACACGGGAATCATGACGCTTCCGTCAACTTGAAAAGAAAGGTATGGCAATCTTTCTCACCTACAACTGGGAACCTTCATATCTAGGTTGCTTCCCTCCTCCATCATCTTGATTCCATTTTGTGCAAAAGGACAGAAAGCGAAAGCTTTTAATGATCATGGTAGTCCTCGCAGTATCTGCAGACAAGTATGGTGCTGAGAAAGATGCCCAAAATAATACAAGAATAGTCAAATATACTTTTCTGCTCAGGCATAATTAAAATGTCCTGCATTCATAGCGCTCTGCCTCGAAACAAGCCCTTGGGACTCCTGCTCTGCCCGGTAAGGCATAGGTACCGGTAGGCACCAAGACTTCCAGCGTTGATCAACAATCTCCTTAGGATGAAGTAGCATGGCCGATGGATCAAATACAAGAGTTGAAAGGTAGCTTCACAATAACGCGTCTTTTATTAGTCTACTAATTTGTAGCATCTACGACATTGCGTGTATAAGACTAAATTAGATCAGATGCTCGCCTTTTGGCTTTGATACAGTACATCACGAAGTGCTTCCGCGAGGAACGCTTCTGAGACCACAGAAACGTGTCGTGGATAGTCTTGATCAGAAGGTTCACAAACTGATCCGAAACTAGCTTCACTTTCTGATGAGAGAAATGCTCACGAGCGAGCATCACGAAACCAATGATGAATATAATTAAAGTATAAAAGGCCCAATTTCCGTTTCCAAATAAAAGTGAAACAGAACCAAATAAAAGTGAAACAGAACCCTTTTTATATATTACCGTGTACCAGTAAATGGGTGCGTCAATCATAGTCCGATCAGAAGGTTTACTATTATTCTGCTCAAAGAGGCCATCTGCAGGTCCGAAGGTCAATGGCAATATAGTACGAGCGAATATCACAAAATTCAACGACAAAAATTGGAGATGGATTATTCGAATTACCAACTCGGCATGATTACGATACAACAAAACAATGCTGCTGTATCCAAGTTAAAGGATGGCAAAGTGATCGATGCCTTTCATCTGCTATCGAAGGCTTGCCAAGGTGCACATGCAGCCAAAACGGAGGAAGATTCCAACTATGATAGGAGCTATCGGTACACGTGGCTCGATTGTTCGAGAGCTCTTGCGCGTAGAATGAACGGGACGAGAAAGTTTAGTGATGGTAGCTTGCCATTCCTCTTTCTTCAATTTTTGTGGATAGAACCACCAGAAGGATGCTATGCCGTGAGCGAGGAGAAACAAACTTCAGTCCATGTGCGAGGGTTTATTTGGGTGTTATGGTACAATCTTGCCATTGTGTCAATACTACTAGGAAACCCAGTTGAAGCCCGTGGTAATCATTTGCTAACACAATCCCTCGATTTGTTTCGCTTGGTTCAGAGTGTTGTGGATCCTCAACCATTTTCAAAGCATTGGTTGATACTCAAGCTGTCAATTTTGAACAATGAGGCATGTGTACTCAGTGATCTCGCGGATTCTCACCAACGCTTGGACCGATTGATCCAGATGGGTCTAGCACTTGGCAACATGTCGCACCTTCTCGATCCCCAAGATCGAGAGCAATTCGTATGGACGGTCAAGACGATGGCGGATGACCGCTATGCTGCAGCAGCTTAGCAGTGCTACTTCACGCTTTTCACCTTCATGTTTGGATTTGCTTTCAAGGGCTCATTCAGTCCGCATTTGGTATGACAATCCAAAGTGCTTCTATCACTTATAATGAATGGGATAGAAGTCGTCTTGCAATTGGGATGCCGCACCTTTTTTGACATCTCTACTATGTTCCTTTTTCACCACCACCGTGATTAGCAGTCTTGGAGAAAATACATGCCTAATCCCGCGGATTCGGGATCTTCTGTATGATCGACTCGCACTCTTGTACAATAGACACCTCAGAAAGGTCCAAAATCTGGTAATGATGATCGCCAATAAAATAATGTAACACCAGCCACCACCATCTATAAAGTAAAGTTTTGTGTTATCTGCTTAGAAAAGCGTCCTGCTTCTGAAATAACGACATGATATTTCAATCTGAGTATTGATGAACCTTTACATGAATTTCTGATTGATTCAATCTAGTATCTTTCAGCTGATAAGGCACTCCCCTCGTCATTGTATTGCTTTTTCTAGCCAACACCACCATTTTCTCACACAACAAAAAGTTTAAAGTTACCCTCTTGATCTGGAACTCGAGCAAACTTTGTTTGTGGTCGCTTCTTGAGAACAAAATATTCGAATTGGGCAAGCCCAAGCAAATGCCGAAATTCTTCTTCCGGGTCCATTAGGATGTTCCCAACATTATCTAAAGGAGATGCATCGTCATGTGTAGCAACTAGTATTGTAAGGCCGAACATTTCCGGCTCCCCAGACATGAGCTCGAATGATATGGCAAGCCCCATTGAGTAAAATAATATAATGGCGGGAAGCATGTTGACGGAATCCACGGCTGCATATTGAGAGATCACAACCAGAAAGGCAAAGAATACGGTTCGTCTCCGGATCGCTACGGTTGGAACTATTTCTTTCTGGTGTTTTCGAAAAACATATCGTTCGTCTTCATTTCTTCGATCGATTACTCTCCGTCTGAGAGAAATCATGATTGGTGGGTGGAAGATTGTCTGCTGTCATTGGATTGGCTTGACTCTCTGGGAGGAGGAGGTTCCCGATGAGGTGCTCGATGTTTCCGTTTTGTGACGGAAATGCGCTCGCAGCTCTATACCGCGGTATACCGTACAGCCATGAACATCATATCTCCATCGTCTTGCAGTGGACACACACCGTCAGTAAGTCGCACGTGAACGAGCGAAAGGTCTTGACGAGTGTCTTGACAAGCAGAGCAAGCCAACACGGTCAACATTCGCGAACGCGAAACAGGAAATACCGTAGATAGAATATGTACCAACGTAGAAATCCTGCCAGCTCTACAGACTACTTCTGTTTCGCGAATGTTGGGAAAATACCGGTACATAACATGCTGCCCTTTTCTTTTCGTCCTTCGGTTTACCCTTTCCTTTGCCTTTACCTTTATTAGGTTGGTCTTTTCCTTGGTACAGGTTCACTCCCGGATTCTTGATCACATCCATGTGAATCTTTAACATATCTTGTGC